AAAAGACACACCTAAATGGTGTTGTTGGTTTCTTGTATCCGCTTTCTTGAGGGAAACAAAAAGGTTTAAGGGCATGAAATCACAATTCTGGAATTGGTGAAAATCATTTCTTTGTAGTTTGAGGGTCCAGGTGTGCCTTTTTTATGCACGTTTCTTTTGGTGGTTTTAAAGGGAAACCGCGAGAAGAAACACTGCTTTTCGTTGGGGGGAGTATATCCCCCTTTGTTTGGGGACTTTAAAGAGAAACCAAGAGGTGGTTTTTTTGGGGGGGGTCTCTAAAAAAGGGACCTTCAACATTGGTGCCTTGTGTTCCTCGTTGAAAACAAAAAGGGGGGGAAAGAAAAAAACACGGGCACCCCACAAAAAACACACACACAACACAAATAAACGCTTCAAGCCTTTGACCCCGCGTGAAGCTCTTGGGGGGACAGTTTTTCGTGGTAATTTCCCTGCAATCGCGACTTTGTAACATCTGGAAACGCATTTCGACTGCGTAGGTTTGCACAAAGTATTCATATTTTTTGGAGTGCTTCATCCGGGGTCCGTTTTGGTCGAAAGTCTTTTCTAGGTGACCTCGAAACCCAGCCAGTGTCTGGTGTTTTGGCTTGGTGCTTCATGGTATGGAACCCGGTTTGGAGGTGTTCTGGGAATTTCCAATCCCGCAAGAACCGGGGGTTCAATCCAACCCAGACTCCACCGGGCCCGAAACCAGCAAGCTAAAATTGTCAGCCGGACCCTCGGAAACTCCCTAAAATATGATGTATTGCCCGAAATTATGTGGTCAACACCCTTTTCGCATGGGTAGTTTAACGGTTAAGGAGACTTCTTCCCCGCCTGTGTAGCAGAGGTCTCATCTTTCTCAGTCGCCTCGCGGGCGATTTCGCTCTTGGCCGCTTTCGGCGGTTCGGAGCGACAGACCAGAGGACCCAAGCCAACCATTTGCGGCAGACGGAACAAGCGAGCGGCGAGCTCTGGCAATGTATCTCGGTACCCTGCAGTACTACAACCCCGGAAAGCTTTGGAGCTGGGAGTCTTGCCCCATTGAAACCCCCCAATGTGCCCATAGGGGAAAGGACAACTTGAGCTTTGGACTTGCAGCCGTCAGCACCCCCACACGGACTACTGACTTCTTGGACGAGCGATCCGGATATTAAACCGAAACGCAAAACAAACAACAAAACAGCGGGCTCGACCAAACAAACAAAAACAATTCGGGGTGGGGGTGGGGGGGCTTGAGATCAATGAACACTTCGGGGTAACGGAGACCCCCAAACACGGCGGTTGTTGCCATTTCTAAGGCACTCAGAAACCACTACATATCGGGGGTTCCCCCCCCGAAAACGCGACAGAACGATCCAAGAAGTACCCAATCAACTTCCATACCCCGTCGTGGCACAATTGCTATATGAAGCCAGGAAGGTTAGAACAGAGCATCATGTTTTTCACAGGGGGCCCTTTTCCTGTGACACGGTTTTGGTTGAGCCATGGTGTCACAAAACCGAAGGCCATGCAGATCCAAACACCAAAATGGTATAGAGTAATTTGCATCTGCGATTTCTACTCCAAAACTTGAAATACATCCGTCAAGGATTATCGTTGTGTAATTTATAGGCAAATGAAATTTCGATGTCATTGAAGCGGCCAAGGGAGCTCTCCTGGCATTAAGATGGCTCTTTAGGCCAGGCAAAAAATCGAGCCGAGGGTAGATCTCCGCAGCCATGAAACCTGTCTCCCATTTCGATTGTGCTCAAACTCAGCTTGCACTTCGGACCAACTTTAAAGCACGCTAAAACATTACTGAGTATACCTAGGCCTGGAACCTCAAGAATCGGTGAGTTTTCCCGCTCTTTTATGGGTACCCCTGCTAGATCCCCCAGTAAAGAGGTTAGAATAAGGGTACCTTTTTTTCTGTAGTCGATTTTGGTAGGGGAACCCTCCCCCAAAAACGAACCGGTAAAAGTTGGCACTACCTGGGGACCTAGTTACATCAACTTACAGTGCAGTGACTTCGCATGCAAAACCCGCACTGCACGATGTGCATCTGCCTTGCCTCTGCCTAGTGGAACGTGACACTTTCCGTGTGAATGATTCACGAAATCCGAGTCTCGCACCACCGAACTCAGAAACGCAACGGAATGATTCGATTTCCCAACGTCAATACCAACAGACTATGGTTTCAAGCATGGTTTCAAGCAGTGGTGCGACGTAGATTTCAACCATCCACACTACCAACATGGGCCATCTGCATACTGCTGACTCGCAAAGGTCCCTTGTTCTCACAGAAAGTGGACCTTGCCAGTCTCCTTCTGGCCCTCAAAAACTCAAAGGAAACCTAAAAGTCCCCAGTGGATCGCAGCCTTGCAGGCAACATTTTTTTGTTCCTCTTGGCTTTTGTATCGTGTGGCAGGCAAAGCCCTTGGTTGCCTGTTTGAATCCAGGCGAATGGGTATAGTGGGGGTTCACAACAGCGCACATCTCAAAGTAACCCTCATTTGGGCCATACGCTTTTTTCGGCTCGCTCGAGCCACGCCTCCTCGGGAGTCTCCTGCTGGGCTTGGAGGTTTCTTTCGATCACATCAAACCGAACTCACTGGAGGTGGTTTGGACCATTTTCCTCCACAAGAGACTCTGTGATGGGTTTCATGTGAGTCGTTGGGGGGAGAGGGGGGGAGGAATTTCAGTCTTTTGGGGGTGCCCAAAACAAACCCAAACCTGGATGTTGCGCCCTGAGGACCCAACGGCTTGCCGTCGGGGTGTAAGCAAATCCCTGGGCTCTGCATAAGCCCGACTGGCGGTCTCATAGCCAGGGCCTGTCACATTTTGTTCTGGACCCACCTCACTCCCCCAAGATACTCAAAGAACTTTAACCTTAAGAGTCTTGGTACCGGTGCCTAAAAATGCGCCTTTTTGAGGCCCTCAATGGAGGGTTCAATGATAGGGTAAAAGAAATGCGAAACACGGAACGAGTTAGGCCGACCCATGTTAACACATAACCACGATTGTTTAAGCCAATGCTAACCAAGCCCTTTAACTTGGGGGGGGACACCCAACAAAGGTGGCTACCCTCCCTTCAAAACCCACGAAAAGTGGGCTCCCAACAGAGACAAACTCACCTCGCATTTCGCTGAAAAGGAAATTCAATGCCCATGCCCACCAAAGGGTCCGGGCCCATCCTAACCCAGTGCTTCCACTTAGTCACGAGGTATTCCAAACCCCCGTGGTTTCCTATAGTGGCTTGCCCGGCAGCCCTGAAAGCGCAAGACACCCATTTTGAGGGGATAGTTGAAAACCAGCAGATGGCCAACAGGACCCCCATTTGGGCGTGGCTCAAGATTTTAAACCGCTGGCGAAACGGCAGGTGTTAGTCTTTGTTTCCATGTACCAATGGGATCATGTTGACACATTTTGTTTCAGCCACCTTCCTTTTTTCAAAACATATATACATGTGGGAGTGTTGCTTTGTTTTTCCGGGTACCCCCTTTTCGGCCGTGTTTTTTTACGGGAAATCCCAAAAGGGACCCACCACCCACGGGAATTTTGGCGGAGACGCCGGCCGCCCGCGTCGGTGCCCGAACCGGTGCCGGAACCGGTGCCGTCCTGGGGCGCGGTGAGGTGGCAGGGCAGCTTCAGCACCGTGCCGTCCAGGTCCAAACCTCTGCCGCCTGGAAGAAAAAAACAAAAACAACCGGCCCAGCGCTGCGGCTCATGGCTGGAGGCTCATGGCCCCAGCCAAATAAAAACGAGAGAGATATTTTATTTATTTTTGGGCCTGGCTCGTGGGAAACAACAAGGGGGACCCCCCCAAAAAAAGGATGTTGATTTTTTGCGGGCAACAAAGACGGGACCCCAAAAAGGCAAAAAGACCCCAAAAAGGGGAGACCCCAAAACTACTTATTTGTTTGGCCGTTTTTGGTTCGTGGAAAACAAGAAGGGGACCCAACAAAAGGCCAAACAAGTCGAAACGGGGAGCTACTTCCGGGGAAGCATCCGGGTGTCTCGCTCTCGAATCAGGAACCAAGGGTCCTAATTTGGGCGCTTGCCCTTGCTTACCCAAAACGAACCCCAGGTAAATGGATTTGCAGAATCTTACTGAAGCTGGAATTGGGCGGGGGCGTCAAATCTTTTTTCTGGAGACTTTACGGAGAATACTCAATGGACACCATGATCCAACTGGATGTTTTGGCCTTTGAGGCAAACAGCTATTTTCCTTGGGAGTTGTAGAGGGTGACACGCAAGCCCTTGGTTCCCTACAACACCATCCACTAGGTTTCATGCGACAAGTTAATGTGTCACTCTAAGCGGGTCATACTGCGGATGTTGACCTCGGATCTAAGTAGAACCCGCCCTATTCATATGGGGAGGGTCCAACAGTACTGATTCCCAACTAAACTCAGGTTGACCCCCCCCCCCCGCATTGAACTGGGGGTTGTTTTTAATCTGGGGCCGACATTCGGGTTCCTTGCCCCCATTAAAAGAATGGTTGACCCAATTGAGATGATGACAAATCCTCAGTTAAATAATGGTTGTATCAAATCCCATTATTTTACTGGTAGACAACATCCTGTGGATTGTTGCCAAATCGAAGAGTGTCGCACCACTAAATGAATGAAACCATAACGTTTGTTTTGGTATTACTTTAGGAAACAATATTACTTTTGGTATTACTTTTTGTATTATTTTTATTCCGTTGGGTTTCTGAATGGCAGTGCGAAATGGATTTCGCAACCATCAACAGTACGTTGTTCTGGATAACACACAAAGACACAGCGACCCACCCACCAGCGCACGCAGGCACGCGCACTCTGTCGCGGGCACACAGACACAGACCCCACAAAGAGGAGTAATTGTCTTACACAGACCCAACACAAACCCAACACAGACCCAACACAGACACAGACAAAGACACAAACACAGACCCACATAAACTCAACAAAGAGGCAAAACACGGGTTTGTCTCAACCGGCAAGTTGCTGAAATTTCTGTCGTTTTCCGAAAAAACACCCAAAGATAGGCCTTCCGAGTTAGTTCCTTTGGGGGGTGTCCATGTCTGTGCGTGTCTGTGTGTCTCTCTGTGTTTGTCCGGCCAGGAATTGTCAAAGCTTTGAGAATGTACTCATCTGACATCAGGAATCAAGGCTTCCATTTGCTTAAGTCGCTGGGGAAAACATATATAACAAACATCCAGTAGTGATAAACTCCCTTCACAACCAAAGAGAGAAAACCAACAAATTCATATTCTTTTCAGCAAGTGGAAGAAGGCAAGGATTTTCATCAAAGCCCTCAGAAACCGGAAGCCAAACCGGGCCAACCGCCCAGTCCAGAAAGCCTTTTAGGTCCAAAGACGCCATGGCTGGTCTAAAAGGCGGAGGTGCTCCTCCCTTTGAAGGCACCCCCAAAGGACGGACTCTGAGACTCTGAGAAATCCGGGGTCAACAGAGACAAACCTGGCTTGAGGAACACTCTACGCACAACTCAAAAACAAAGAAGCACAGGACGCATAAAGCATGAAATCACAGAATCAAACGATCAATACGACTAACTTGACTAACTGGCTGGTACTTGGAAACCTACGATTTTCGTGCTTGCTCGATTGTGGCAAAGCGGCCACCCTTGTTGCTCTAAATGCCAGCCAGCCAAATTCATCAATAAGACAATGTTGACCCCGGATTAACCAACCCTTCCTAATAATAGGGGGGTGGGGCCCCGAAGCCGCTCCAATAGTGATGAACCGGGTGGACCCCCACTAAGTTTACAGGGGAATCATATCATTCCGTTGCGTTTGTGAAAGGTGGTGCCATTGACTGTAGGGAACCCAAACACATGGCTGGTCAAACATGAAGTGACCCCAAAACTCACTTCCTGAGTTGACGGGCAAAGTAACCAAACTTGTTGCTTGCCACTAAAATGGTCCAAACCCCACAAGTGACTAAAGTCCATGAACTGAGGAAGTGCGGTAAACTGGGTTGCCCTAGCAACTGGAACCATGGACTTCTTGAAGGGGGCGCTCGGGTACGTCAGGTAAGTGGTTAGTAAGCCAGGTTATAACCCGCATACACTTATAACCATGACTTTTGTGGGTTGCCAGGCTTACTAACCACTTGCCTGACGTACCTTGCCCCTTTAACTTGGTTGACGTTGGCAGGGGAGCACCAAAAATAAATATTAGCAGTTAAGTGGTTGGATTTCCACCACTAAACCACAATAAACGAAGATGAACAAATGTTTCCCAACAACGACCATGTTAAAGCCTGCGGCCGGTTCCGAGTGTCCGCTTCGCGTTGCCGGCCGGCCTGCTGGGCGTGAGCCCAAGCCCTCCCCTTCGAAGGAGACCAGCGGGGAGACCTGAGCCGTCGCAGTCTCTGGTGGGCGGTTTGGCAACGGCAAAACGGGCGTTTAGGAAACCAAAACCAACAAAACAACAGAAGAGAGAGGAACCAAACCAGGTTCATTTTACTGCTTCATACGGAGTTGGCTTTGGAGAGAAGGCTCCTTCATAGACCAAGCGTGCGGACGAGCAGGTCGGGGAATGCCATGCTGTGCGCATAAGCTGTAGCCATGTACGTCAGCTTGCACAAGGGGCCTCAGGGCTGCCTGTTTGATCCACGAAAAGGAAGCTCGCTTGAGATTGGCTGTTGAAAACCCACCAGCGCGTCCAGTCTACCGTGAAGTCCGAAGGATAGACAGCCCCTTCTCAATGGGCTGTCTCTTCAAGCACATTCATGGGATCTATCCCTGGGTTCCTTGCCCCCATAAAAAGAATGGTTGACCCAATTCGGATAAGAATCCCCTAGGTAAACGATGGTGGTTATGTCAACCCCCGTTGTTGTATTGGTGGTTTGAACCGCAGGGCCATGACATGTCCACAAACACAGCGAAATTAAACGTTGAGAATTTCGTTTCCCGTGCCCGTGCCCGTAACATGCGCGTTTGGACCGATCCGCTTTTCAATTTGCGCATGGCAGGTTGGATGTCGTGGCCCGTTTCATATAGACCCGGCGGTTTCCGGGGTCAATATTCACAGAAGTGGCTCAACCTAGAGGAAAAAGACTGCAAGCTCAAGATCCCCAAGCCAAACCATTTGCAGTGACGGGCAACCTTTCCTGACAAGAGGGCGCTCTTGCAAAAGGGCGGTCCTTTTTCAGATCCATTTCCTCAAGTGGACCACTTCTAGTGGGTTAGATAGGGGAATCTAGCCACTAAGACCAACTAACTCAGTTGTTCAGTGACCCTGGAAAAAACGGACCCCTTTTTTGGGAAGACCATTTTAGTGGGGCAGCCACCAAAAAAATGGAAAAAGAATCGGAGCCACTGAACAACTGAGCTAAAAACCTCAAACCGTGGAACCGGATGGCTGGGAGGTGGGACCTCAGTGGAGCCAGCTGTCAACAGCGCTTGCAATGCGCGGCTCCCTTTGACGTCCCTCAAAGTTGGGTTGAGCGTGCCTGGAACGTCCTCGCCCGGGAAAAAAAGACTGGAACAAATGGGTGTGTCTTTCTTCAGTGGACCCTCCCAAGGGTTTGGTGTATTTTTTGGTTTTCCTTTAAAACCACCAAAAAGGGGGTGCCAACTCCAAAAAAGAGAAATCCAAGTCACAGAGTCTGTTGGGTTCGGTTCCGATACCGCGCCTTTGCTCAGAAAACCACCGGCTTCCAAGGTGAAGGTCTGCGCAACTTTGCAACTGGGTGTCTCACAATACAGAATCTCAGTTGTTCAGTGACCCTGGAAAAAAGGGAACCTTCTTTTGGGAAGCAGCCACCAACAAAAAGGGGAAACAGAATCGGAGCCACTGAACAACTGAGGAATAGAGAACCCATAAAAACGTGTTGATTCGTTGGATCTTCATGTTCAGGCCCCCTTACGGGCGATCCTTCGATTAGGAAGCGAAGCAAACACGAAGACCTGCCATCTCAAGGGCTTTTGCATCCTGGGAATACACTGGGTATTGACCCCATGGAGGGCAGATTTCCGGATGAAATGGGGCCAGACCAAAAAGGGAATCCGGATTTCGAGGTGCTGGCCGGCAATGGGGCCCGAAAAGCGGATTCCCTCTCTCTGGGGCCAAACCAAAAAGGGAATCCGGATTTCGAGGTGCTGATTTTGAACCATTCTGGGTCATTTCCCAAGGGCGTAATCCCAAGGTGTATTACAACAAGCCTCAGACCATCGGTGTTCAGTCCGGCAACACGCCTCCAGCACGTCATGCTCGCCGCTCTCTTCGATGCTACCGCCAGCAGCACGAACCCACCTGAGACACTGGGCTTGGGTCGTCCAGTTGAGTCGTGCTTCTAGCAACAAACAGGTGGGTTCCTGGACCCTCAACATTCCCTGTAAAAACACAGTGCTATTGCCTCAAAGTTATGGTTGGTGAATTCCCGTTCTTTATGGGTAGTTTGCGGATTCAGGTGTATTCCTGGCTTTACGTCATGTCCCCTGCTTACCCACTATCGCGGTAAGTGGGAGCATCGGGAATTAGTAGTCTTTAGTGGTTGAGGGCTTGGGGGTCTTTAGGTCAAAGAAGTAATGATCCAGAGAACCCCGGATGCCTTTTGTGCTCAATCGGTGACCTGTCAACCTGTTGCAATATACTGAGTCCACTTAAGTGACATTCTCAAAAGTAGCCTTTATATAAACTAGGTCCTCCAGTGGAGAGGTTAGAATAAGGGTACTCGTTTTCTGTAGCCTATTTTAGTAGGAGAACCCTCCCCCAAAAAAGGGTAAAAGGGCACTACTGGGGGACCTAGTAAATTTGTTGGTTTCCAGGGACATTAACCCCCACTTTGAGGGCTGGCAACCTATCTTGGCTTACCTTCAAAGCTGCAAAAAGCGGTAGCCAGCAGAACCGACCCCCTCGGTTGCTCTCTGCTCCCCTGCTAAAAGTTTGTTTCATGGAAAACCCATTAGTTGGCAAAAAGTTAAAGTCCTAACATCCAAGCAAAATGCACAAACAAAAACCTGTCCTGGGCGGTCCTGCAACAGAAGTGAACCCCTGGGTTCAATGGAAGCCCCGACGAAACCACCGAACAACAACCACCACCAAGAAAACCTGAAAATTCACCAAGCCTTGCATAATTTTCACCCAAGCGCTTGGAAGAACGCAGGGGAAGACAAAATCCACTCAAACCCCCAAACCTAAAAACGCGGGATGGCCGGGAACCACCGAGTCTTGGAGAAAAAACCTGAGATGCCCTGCGCACAGTGCAGCCTGTGCATCGTGAGCCTGGCGGCGTGTCGCTTCCCCCGCTATCCGCTTCCCCATGCCTGGGGTGGGTTAAGGCTTCGTTGGAAAAAGGAAGCCCGGCACTTCAAGCATCTCTACTGTTGGTGTAGCAAAAAACTGACTGTTTTTTTTGCAGCCCCCAGTAAAAATGAACAGAACCAAACAACTAAAAAACCAAAAAAACATGCCAAGAACAGTGAAGCAAGGATTGGGGGTTCTCTTTGTTCCGTAGATCCAGTACAAATTGGGAGCTACCTCAATCGGTACATTGAGTTGCCTCAGTACTGGGAGATACGAATCCAGTACAAAACGTTCAGCACCTCAACTCCAGTTACCTCCAAGGATTCATGCGATTTCTTCCGGGTCAGGGATTCCTTGGAGTTCCTTTCGATAAATTTATGCGACCTTGGCTCATAAAGAATTTCGCGCCCCTTGGCATGGAGCCATGTCCCAAACGAACCCAGAGGCTTGGCACATCACGTCTTCGGTTTGGAATAAAGAAAACTGAGCCCGTGTCGGGTTCCCTAGGGTTCCTTAGGAACCCCCCCCCCCCCCCCGGCCCTTGGACCACCACCAACACTGAGGGCCCCGGATTTTAGTGATTTGCCACTGTTCTGAATACTGGAAGCCCTTTAACAGTGAAGCAGTCATGATGTGAATCTCACTCAGGTGTGCCTTTTTCGGGAAACCCGATTTTGAAGGAAAGCCAACGAACAACCAATTTTGGGGCATCTGCTTTGTGAACCAAAGCCACGAAAGAGGAGGCGCCCGGTTGAACCATGTGCGGGACCTGTACCGCGAAATCCATTTTGCACCACGACATAAAACCATGGAGTTGGAACCATAATGTTGGAGTCTCCATGACCCTTAAAACATGGTTGGTCACGACCCCAAAATTCTGGGCAATGACCAACCACTTCTTAAGGGGCAGAAGGAGACTCCGGGTACGTTGGTACATCGAATCACATCAGCCTGGATCGCCAGTTGCAACTTTTTCTGCCAGCTGTGACTGTTCTTCGGGCAAAGTGTCTGGACAGCAAAAAGACAGCCACAAACCGATCCAGGGCGCCAAGTTCCGTGGGAGATGAAGCGGACTTCGCGAAACCATCGCCAAGGGATCGGTTCCTTTTGGGGGGCTCCGGAACAAAACCTGAGTTAAACCACCTGGTGTCTCCTTCTGAGCCTTGAAAAATGGGCCGGGTCATTGCCCAAAATATTTCGGGGTCACGACCAACCATTTCTAGAGCCTCGGAGGGAGACTCCAGGTATGTCTGTTTTGTTGAGGACCCCCTTTTTGGTTGGTTAAGGATGACAAAGGGAAAACCACCCAGTTGGGGATCCGCTAAAAACAAGACACACCCATATGCCACACAGCAACAAATCCTAAAGTGGGGAGCCGGTTGACTTTGAATCCATTTGACACCCGTCCACCTCGGCCCTTTTCACGCGACGATTGCCTTCCGAGCTGACGAGCGGCAGTTCCTCCAACAATTCCAATCCATCGAAGTCGAGGAGTAGTTGCACGACAGAAGAAGCACTTGCTTGTGAGCCCGGTACGTCGTGCAGTTCAAAGGCATGTCCAGCTGAACCATGAAACCGGCTCAGGCAGAACCGCAGCGCAGCATCAGCTTCTGGTGGCAGACCACGGATGACGTGACCATTGAGTAACAGCTCGCCATGCTCCGTCCTCATCGCGGATGCATCTGAAGCACCTCGGTTGCTTTCTGCTCCCCTGCTAAAAGTTTAACCTTTAGTGGTTTAATGGAAACCCATGAGTTGCCAAAAAGTTCGAGTCCTAACATCCAAGCAAAATGCACCAGAGGCACGTTTCAACACCGCACTCGACTGGACACCAACTGCTGCACGGCGCTTCTTCGGCCCATAGAGTCTGTAGTGTTTGATCCAGCGGAGCCCGCGAGAAGCGAAAACGGCATGGATGAAAGACTCGACCCTTTCTGCATCCGGGGTCTCCCAGAGTTTCTCCAATCTGACGGCTACCTTCATGCTCTCGGGGTCGTTCCCTTGATACAAAGATTCTGCAAGTTCTTTCGCAAGCAGCACCGCCTGTTCCGTCGTCGCCTTGGCAAGCCCATCCGGCACATCATGAGCATCAAAGGCCCGCAGCAGTGGCAAAGTTGAAGGTGGAAGTGGTTGATTTGCCTTCTCCAGGCCCTGTTTGGCCAGAATCGCCTGCGATGCATCAATCTTGCTTGCCAAGGACTGGTCAAACACCCCCGCCACGGTGTCGTCCACCTCCAGCCACGCGGCTAAGAGGCCAGCAAACGTAAAGTGCCCTCTGTAGACGCTCATCGTCACATGCAGTGAGGACCCGTTTCCGGCACTGCGAGCATAATGAGGAACACCTTGAGGTAAATATAGAACATCCCCGGGCAGCAGCGTGATGTTCTTTAAGACTCTACGTTTGTCTGCTTCCAGCAACGTCCAGGTTTTTTCTCCTGCCTGCTGCACAACAAACACATCGTGGCTATCAACATGGGGAGCTAAACCTTGAGCCTCTGGCGGAGTCAAATACATGTTGAAATCACCTGACACGCCGAAACATGCCCAAAGTGCATGATGGAGCGCCTGCGTCTCAACGTTGGCACCATGGGCTTTATTCAGAATGAACGTCCAGTTTTCACCATTCTGCGCCAAATCATCCGAAGATGTCAATGAATGCTGTTGCAAAAAATGGGCCACAAATTTGTGATCGTCAATCTTCTCAAGTGTTCCATCCTGCGTGCGGCAAATGGCTACTGACCAGAAATTCATTGGACTTGCACTCCAGACTCGCGCTGCCGCGCCGAAAGCAGTCTTCACATGACTGTCTTCATACACTGCGCCATGCCGCCCATACTCTGCTTTCCTTCTGGCGCAAAAGTCTTGGTGCACAGCAGCATCAAAGCCGGAGAGCAGGCTGAGGTAGTCTTCTATGCTGAAGGGGATGTGCCTTGGTTGACGTTGGGTTAGGGGAGCATAAATGTAATTTCTAGCAGTTCAGTGGTTGCATTTCAACCACTAAACCACAACAAGCAAACATGTAAAATGCTACCCAACAACAATCATGGTGCAGTGCAGAGTGTTGGGAATGCATCCACTGTGTGCCATAGAACTTCTCCAGAAACACCTCCTCTGCCATGCCAAGCATGGAGACAGGCGAGACAGGTACCGTTTCAGCAGTCTCGCGAGCCATGGAGTACCTACCTGGGCTGTCCGTTTTGAGATCACCTGCTAAAGCTTAGCTTTTAGTCGGTCAAATGCAACCCTCCACTAAACCAACAAGACACCTACTAACCTAAGTTGAACCGATTTTCCGATCCCCTGCTAAAAGTCAAACTTGCGGGCCAAGTGGAAGCCTCCACTAAACCCACAAAAAACACCTAAACACCAAAGGAATCGGATGAGATCCCTAAACGTCCAACCTCTGGGTCAAATGGCGCCTCCACTAAACCAACCAAAAAACAAGCACTAAAAAAACCCAAAGTTGAGCCGGACACTTCGCTGGCCGCGCCAAGCTACGGGTGCCCATGCGACTCCGGAAGCGTGAAGTGATTCTCGGCATCCAATTTCTCGCTGGGCAGAAGGCCACAGTTTGCAGCATCGCCCAAGCGATGAGACACCTCCGGTTTCTGCTAGCCATTGCGCGGCAAAAAAGAGCGCGACTGAGACAGGATTGCTGTGAAACCAACTCGGTTGCGAAATCTGCGAAGCCCTGCTAAAAGTGACTAACTTCTAGTGGTTTAATGGAAAACGCATCATTTGGCAAAAAGTTAAAGTCCTAACGTCCAATCAAAACGCACCAAAGCAAAGCCCAGGACTGGACCTCTTGATCACATTTTTTGGAGCTGCTGCGCTTGTTGATGTGCCGCTTGCCTCAAGGTTTCTTGGCTGGAACTAGGACCCCAGCAACAAACATATTTTGTTTCCTGGTTAGTGGAAAACAAAGGGACCCCAAAAAAGCAAAAATGCAAAAAGGGGAGCAAATTCTGGGGAAGGTTTCTTGGCTCAAGGTGCTGCCATAAACCATGTCCGAACTCTCATTTTTCAGGGCTGTCCTCGGATCTGCTGAAAGTTTAACTTCCCAGAGGCTCCTGGCACTTTCAATGCAAGCCCCGACCCTTGCATTGGACACCCCGGAGGTGTTTGGGGGTCTCAAAACCTGGCTGTTTGAGGGCCCTAAATGAATCGGGAGCCTCTAGGTTGTGGGTTGCATGGAAACTACCACTAAACCAACTAAACAGATCTAAACAGCTTAGACATCAAACGATTCGCTGGGAAGCACCCAGTCTAAGTTCAGACGTTGGGATTGAGCCCACAGCCTAAGTCACACAGACTCAAATGACTGTTAGCCCATGTCTAGCCGGCGAAGGCTGGCTTGGAGTTGTGTTTCTAAACAAAACAAAAAAACATCCGCTGGCCCATCTGCATGGCTTCAAATGGGGGCATCCTCACGTCGCCAAAGAACCCGCGAGTACATCCGAGAACTGCGGATCGGGTAGGCTTAAGAGAGGCGAATAGGCCCCTACCTGCCCCAAAAGGAAACCCAGCATCTATCTCTGCTACTACTGCTATAACATGCTCAATGTCTTGGCGAGCTATGCGAGCATTGCATTTGCTCCTTTGAAGAACTGCGGCGCCTCGATATTTGCTCACACAACCGGTTATTGTCGTGAAAGGTCAAGGGTTGCGGTCCGAGAGACTGGGTGGCGATGCTGGACGCAGTACGACCACGCATGTGGAGGTTTGTGATGGCCGTGGAGTGGTGAGGAATGTTGAGACCCCGGAGTCAGACATCCCGTCCGATAAAACACCCGGGCTGATTCCCGTAGAGTGATGAGTCTACACTCAAAGGGAACACCTGAGTCGCAATCAAGACCTGGTACAAACCTGGAGTCTCCATGATCACTAAAAGGGGTCATGACCCCATTCTTTTGGGCAACGACCGACCACTTTTAAAGGGTCACGGAGACTCCAGGTCCACCGATCAAATCCGTTTCCACAGCAGGTGAATCCAGGATAGGTTCCAAGCAGCACGGGGTCAAGACTGACGCCCATGGGAAACATGATATTCCGAAGTTGCCTTGATCAATCCCTTCGTCGGGGGGCACCTTCATCATGGGGGAGGGGGCTCAGTTTGCTACAACTCATGGAAGGAACGTAGCAAATGGAATCAAATCCTGCACACCCCGGAAACCGCCACGGCAACCGGCAACCATGTGTTTCTTTCAAACCATTCGGGAAGAAGCAAATCACCCTGGCAACAATTGAATTTGTCTTTTAGGGGATGCTTTGTAGAGGACCCCATCCAAACGTACAGTCCCCCTTTCTACACAGTGTTGCAAGAGCAAAAGGAGCCCAACCCTTTTAAGATCGCTCAAACGCAAGCAAACGAGCTCGGCCCTAAGAAAGGACCGCCCAACTGATGAAGACCTCAAGAGGGCTTCTTCGCGTTCCGAACAGGGAATTGGTCAAGGTGAGTCCCGTGCTGGCCCTTGACAAGTTTTTTTGTGTTTTACCCTTCTTCCACTGTGGATGGCTTCGTACAATCGAGAAATTGCGCGACCGAACTCAGAAACCCGATGATTCCCTAACGTAAATACCGTAACTTATGGTTTCAACCATGGCTTCAGTTCGTGGTGCGAAATGGATTTCGTCGATCCACAGTACGGCTGCCCCTGCAAAGGGCTACCGGCCAACCTTCTTACTCATGCTATGGCTTAGCCGCCTAGGGATCCCGGTGTCTTGAGGCTTTCATCTCTGGGTTTCCCCTGAAGCCTGGAAAACCTGAGAAGAGCAGCCCCCCGTGATATTCCTTCACGGATCATTGCATTTCTGAAAACCTTAAACAAGCCATCAACCTGATGGGCGAACAAAGGGTTCTTTCTAAAGGGTGTCATGGGTGCAATAGAAAATAACCCTCAGACTAGATTGAACTCCGAACTCCGTTAATCCATTGTGCTTCCCATTAGGCCTGAATTTGTTCGTTTCAGCCCTCTTTAACTTGACAATTTAACTTCGGTGTAATGTATGCAGGCATGCAGCATGCATGTGTTGTATTGCATTGCATTGTATTGCATCGTGTTGTATTGCGATGTGATGTGGTGTCATGTGATGTCACAGGATGTAATCTAGCATAATGTAATGTAATGTGCGCATTGTATGCATGCATGCATGTACGTATGTGTATGTTCTTTCTGTTTAACCTTGGTTGGACTCTCGCTTGCCACCCGTGTAACTTAGAAGTTTGTGAGACTCAAGATCCGCAAAGAGGGGTTTCTTATCACACCACATGACCCATCAAAAGAGATTTCTTAGCTCTTGGTGGGATAAATGGAAAACTCCACTGAACACTAAAACGACATAAAAGCGCTAAACGCTTAAAACGCTGAGTTGAACCGGGCTCCCCCTTTGTGTTGTTTGAGTGATCTGTGCGGGGTGATGTTGAGGGTGGACATAGCGGGAACTCCGTTGAAATGGATTCTCGAAAACTGGCCCACGAAACTGCACGTTGTTGTTGCACATGGCTGGGACCCGACTTCTCATCGGCCCGATGTCCGGCCGATTCTTCCGGCGATCGCCGCGCGCCTGGCGGCCTCCGGGGTGTGGCGGCCCCTGGCCTCGCGCACGGGGGCGAACTCCACCTCGCGGCTCACCTGGCGGAATTCCATCGATCCGTGGCCACGGGGCTCAACGCAGAAGGGAGGTTTGGTCTTGGCGCTGGCTTTGGGGAGCCAAAAATTTCTGAAATTCTAGCAGTGAATAAGGATTTGGATGGTTTAGTTTTGCTGAAGTCTAACAGGTTTTTGAAGTGGATTTGGATTTCAACCACTAAACCACGCTAAGCAAAAGCGTAACATGTTTCCCAACAACAACCATGTTGTGGAGGCAAGAAATACCTGACTTTGTTGTGAAGTGTCCTCGGCCAGTGCATGGCTTCCAGCTCCGGCAAGCCTTAAACACATTTAGATCTAGGGGTTCATTGCTTACTGATTTTGTTTTAACTTCTCTCCTCATGGTTTTAAAGGGAATCTATTTCTACCGAAAATATTACAACCCAGTGTCTGCTTTGTGAACCATTGTTCTCATCAAGGAGCTGGCCCAAATTTCGATCCTGGGTTGCATTTCTTGTCTGGCGCGCCCGCGGATATCGGGTCACTTGTGGTTGGTGGTGATGTTGGGGATTTGGACCACTGGTGCTTGTCTTGCTGGATCGATGGGCAGGGAGGTTGGAATGACCTCTATAAACCTTTTCTGGTGGCTTAAGGAAATCAAATCTTCGGTTCATTGCCAATTTCGGCCATTTTGGGGGGCCCCTAAAACAAGACGCACCCAAGCGATGTTCAACCAACCTCACTTGGAAGTAGGTTACAACCATATTATTACAACTCGGGCAGCTGGGTTTAAGCATGAGTCATCAGCACGGTTACAACCAACTTACTAAGTTGGTTGAACACCCGCAGAACCCAACACGTCCTTTCGGGCAACTGTGTTCCGGCGGGCGATTTTTACCTCTGCCCGGGTAGCACAAGGGAAAACCAGGATATGTGTGTGTGTGTGCGTGGGTGTGTGTGTGTGTGTGCTTTTGCTTGTGATTTGTGATTGTTGCGTTTGTGTGCGTGTAAAGGGACATCAAAGGAACCACCGCTGTGTTTGGCCTTTGCCCCTAATGCTTATTGAGCTGCTGAGTCGTGTGGTGGGGGGGTTGTCGATCGCCTAAGTGAACCCTTGAAAGAGAACATTGAGAGCATGTTCGCCAGCAGTTGAATTCCGTGTTTCTGCCTGAACCCTCAAACTACCCAAATAAACAATTGGGAATTCATCAACCATAAATTTGGGCTACACACACCCATCTTTAAGGTCGTCCATCCACACCAAGCCTCAACAGGGTACCGAGTCTCAAAACCAGACACGGCCCCATTTGATGCCCGCAGGGGAAATCTCGTTGGCGCGGGAAACCGAACCGGTCCTACCACAGCAGCGGATAGTATTTAAGAGGCAATTTCCGTTTCGCGAAAACGGGAAGTACTTGTTGACCATGTGAAGTGGGGCACTGACGATGCGAGGAAGGCACGAGGTGCTCCGTGACTTGGTGCGAAAGGCGGACCGAAGTGTGAAGCGAAGCGAGCGAAAAGAGTGGGAAAAACCAACCACCAAGTTGGTCCTTCCAATCCCTGTCCCCAGACCCGACTTTCGAGGCCTCTTGGAGTAAGCACTCTTTTATAGTTGGCTTCAAGGGATTCATTTCTGTGCATGGTTGCGAGATCCATTTCGCACCACCTTTCGGAAACCCTGGCATGTTGACTCCCCTGCAAATACCCACGCACAATGGTTGCAAGCATGGTTTCAAAGTGGCGATTTCTGGATTTCGTCCATGCACACTAGGGAATCGAAAAAGACGAGCCCTGTTGATCTTGATACTCGGTGAGAGAGTCAATGTGAACAACTCCTTGCGTCCGTTAAGGCTTCCCCGAGTTCAAAGTTGGGTTAGGGGAGCATTTTTTCAAATTTTAGCAGTTCAGTGGATTTGGATTTCAGCCACTAAACCACAATAAGCAGAAATGTTTCCCATGCTTCCCAACCACAACCATGCAAAGTTCCCAAAGCCTGGGGTTCATATTTCACCATCAAAACAATGGGCAAGGAAGCCTCAAGCCTCGCAATGTGTCTCACGTGTCCAGCCCCTAAAACTGAAGCCTGAGGGGCAAGGAACCCTAAAACAACCTATTCATTTGCCAAAATTGGCCAAGCCCTGTGACTCAAGTCCTCAGCTTACTGCTGGGTATCACTAGGACTGACCCAGGTTTTGCGACACCTAGGCTCTCCCGAATAAAGGAAACCGGCTTGGCATTTCCTGGGAACCCATATGAGCATTGTTTTTTTTAGAGGTTCAGGGCTTATACACTGCTGGGGAGGCTACGCGGGGGGCTTCGCGGGGCCAGACTTTGTGGAAGGGTTGGCTTCGCGAGGCTTCGCGGCAAGACTGTGGCTTTGCGGAGTTGCTTCGCCGGGCTTCGCGGATGTTTGTTCCACAAACATCTCTGACGTTTGCGCTCCCATGTTGTTGAATCAAGTTGCGCCCTGTGCTTCCTCGACTATTCTTTAAATAGCCTCGACCATTAAAAAAACGAAAGGCTATAAAAGTAATGTCTCTCGACCATTAAAAGTAGGTCTAGACAAACTTGGCCAACTCGAGACGGCTGGCTCCTGACATCCCCGCGCGCTTCTGTGCAGTGAGAGGTTGAAGAACTTGATTGCTGCCTTTTCTGAAATCAGCTAAGTATGTTTTACTGTCGCTTCATCCCGTTCTAATCACCCGTCACCATGCTGTGTCAATTTTGGCTTGTCCCTCACATGCCCGTGCGTGCTTTTCCACTTCTTGTCCACAGCTGCACAGAGTCTGATCGCGTGTTGTGCGTTGATTGTTGAATCGATTTCGAAAGAAAATGAGGCGTGGACAAACCATGGACAAACCGTGGAAAGTACGTTTTTTAGCGTGGAAAGCACATTTAAAAGCGTGGAAAGTACGTTTAAAAGCGTGGACAACCATACCCCCAGAAGCCCACAACGCATGCCTGATCGGCAGCGATGCCCCGAAGCCACTAAGTTTGCAGCATTTTCAAAAAAGCCGGACTTCAGCACCAACATGCGAAGAATCTATGCACGCCTCTACAGTAGGCGGGACACCTGGCGATTTTAAAAAGTGATGCGACCATACATTTGGCAAGCCGGGGAATGAGTGGCTTGGGTGCAGTCATTTGCAGCTGGGAGGATGAGGCGGCGTGACTTTCAGTGACCTGACCCTAAGCAATTCTTGGGCAACAAAAAACATGATTTTTGGGATATTCAGGGCCAGGCGCAAAAAACGGTCTTTCGGCAAAAAACAGTCTAGCGACCTCGGCCATTCTTTTAATGGCCTTTGGAAGCCTAGGGTGAGTCCATGCGAAAGGGGGCGATGAAAGGCGGCAAGAGAGGCATTGAGTTCCAGGACTAGGGGACATGGCTGGGCCTCAAAGGGGCGGAGCATGGAAGTTTGACCGCGGTAACTTCGCGGTGGCTTCGCGGAGGCTTCGCGGGGGCTTCGCGGGGGCTTCGCGGGGGCTTCGCATCGCAACATCAACCTTTGGATACCTTTGGAATACTGAAAGCGCACAACACACTTGCCATGAAAGCACGCAACACACTCAAACCACCATGGCTTCGCGAAGTGGCTTCGCCTGTGTCAATGTTGCCGGGCTACTACGCGAAGTGGCTTCGCGGGGCTTCGCGGTACACAATGACAAGTGCCTTCGCGGACCTTTTGGAAGTTCCCCACGAAGCTAAAATCCATCATCTGAGAAAATACACGCTGCTCATATGGGTCTGTCCTTTGGTGAGGGTCTCTTTAACAACAAGCCACACCAAGCGAAGAGTAGTTGGGGTACCCCGTTTTTGTAAGAACAGCCGACTCACAAAGCGGCCGTTGATTTGTGCTGGGCCCTCTTGACATCATTGGGAGCGGTTTTGGCCTTAAGTGCCACACTTCGAGGAAACCAACAGGGGACCAAGGCCTCAGAGATGTTTGCTACACATCTGGTGGCTATGGTTCTTTTGGGTTCCGTACCTACAAGAACTCAGATCGCACTTCGCTTTGCAAAGCAAAGGTGTCTTAAGCACTCAAAGCTCAACATGCGCGGTCCAACGCTCCTAATAAACTGAAATCTTGGGGGGTTTGTGCGCCCAACATTTGTCACGGTATTTACAAGAGGAGTCATATCATTCTGTGGAGTTTCTGAAAGGTGCGGAAGTGGGGAAGTGGTTTCGTCAATCCACAGCAGCGGGTCCGAGCTCATTCCCTGAGAACTAGCAGCTTAGAATGGTTATTCTGGACAATCACGACTTGGTTAGGGGGATTTGAATTTCAACCACTAAACCACAGTCAGCAAAATTGTGTCCAATGTTTCCCAACAACAACCATGACTACCGGGTAGATGACCATCCCTCTTGGCCCCAAGTAAAGGAACCGGTCGTCCAAAGTGACCATGGCACATCTAGAATTTCCCTCCCAGGCCTTCAAAGCTCAATCCTTGCTCGACCTGATTTCAAGAACCCACTTGGGTGTTCGATCGCCAAGTTAGGTGAGGATCGCCTGGGTAAAAACCCACTAACAAGGCGAAGTCCACTTAGGGGGACTTAGTGGGTTACCAGCCCAAGCCCTCAAGAACAGGGCTGTGGCAAATGGAATCCACTTCTGCGATACAAAAAGGTCCCCCAAAGACCCAACCCCCGCCATTTAAAGAGGGGATTCCCAAAAGTATCACAGAAGTGGTTGGAGAAACCCCGAGTGATCAACCACAACCCTGCTCAAGAACCATGCTAGCCCAAGCCCAGGCTCCTTTCCGTGAACTCTTCCGATCCGAACTCTGCAAAACGAAAAAAAGTCTTCCTTTTCCCGTGCCATTCGGGTTCTCCGGTTTTCCCCAAAAACATGCAATGATAATGTTGACCCAGCATCCAAGTAGAACGCGTCCCAGTATTAGGGGGGTGTTCCCTCCAAAAGTGGTCTGAATCCCCACTAAAGGGGACACCTTCCTATTAATCAACCAGGGGTTTATTAATCCGGGGTTAACATTAGTCCTCCTTGTGCTTCTCCGCATAAATAACACACACACACACCCATGCTTCCGCCAAGAACAACACATCATAACCCGAGAACAGCGGGTGTGACACACCATGTTCCGCAAAAGCCAAGCAACGCACAACACGAGAAAAGGGGGGCTCTAGCTCTTTAATTGTGAGCCACTCCCATGCTTCCGCCAAAACAGCAACACACTTAGCACGAAACCAAAAAAACACGAGACACCAAAACCAAAAAACAAACAGAAAACAAAAAAGAAGAAAAACACACGAGAAGAGGGGGGGGTGTTTCTCACCATGGGATGAAAAGTGAACCCGAGCAAAGCCCCCGCCTTGAAGGCAACGGCTCGGTCGGTGAAGGCGAAGTAGTCCAGGATCGACGTCTCCAGGACGAAGGCGTTGGGCTGGCCCGGGGCGCGGGTGGGTCGGGGGTGGGTGGGGTGGGGGAGTGGGGGGTGGGGTGGGGAGCAGCCTGGAAGCCTCAAAACAAGCGTCCATCATAGGAGGGGAGGGTGGTGGGATACGGGGCAAGTGCCATTTGGAGCCAAACAAAGGACCTGGAGAAAAAAACAACTCAAACTGTTTGAACCTCGGATTTGGAGTAGGCCGAAACTGGAAAACAAACAGGGAAAGGACTGAACAATCAAGCATACAAGGATTTGCCTGGTACTTAAGGCTGTACCAAAGGGTCCAAAAGGGATCAACGTACATCTTCGCAACCACTTAGACCCTTGGGACGCTCGTCGTGTCCACTCACCAACGGTCCCAAGGTAGCTTGCCGCCCTCAGCTCCAATTTCCCGCCCCTCAAAAAGACATGCGGAACGCTTGACTCCATTTGTTGGTACTTGCAGGGGGGCTCATATCATTCGAGGGTTTCTTCAGTGGTGCGATTTCTGTCACGAAACCATCCACAGTAGGGCAGATTGGGCCACAGGTGCAACCTTTGACAGGCTAAACTCAAAAGAAACTATCGCCAAATGGGTTTAGTTTAGTCCTTCTTCCCCCCCGTTTTCTCTGAATTTTATCTCAGCGTCGCCTTCCTCCAACTTCCTCCTCGCCATCCTCATCCTTCCTCTTCCTCCATTTCTCCTTCTGTGCTCATGCGTTTTGCCGAGATCATCATTTTCGTACGAAAATCGTGCTTTTTTTAAAGAACAACTCATTTCTGCGCTGCGCAACTGAAGTTTTGTACACAAACTTGTACGACAACGGTCAGGTTGCTTTTTGGGCAGGGGGCCATCGCAAGGCAACTCTCTACGAAGTGGACGCCCGCTGGACTTTTCGCGGGGCTGGCTGGCGAGTTTGCTGCGCTGGACTATTCGAAAGGCCAGGCTTTTGGAAGGGCATACTTAATCTCACTCTATCTATCTGCTTCTCTGTCTATCTATCTATCTATCTGTCTATCTATCTACCTATCTTCTATCTACCCTCGATCTACCTATCAATCGAGCCATGCATCCACCTTTTTGTCTGAATCTAAATATCTACATATCTATCTATGATATTTCTATATATCTATCGATCTATCTATCTAACATTTTTTCTCGCTCTCTCTCTCTCTCTTTCTCCCTCCATCCATCTGTCAATGCTTCTATCTTTCGATCTATCTATCTATCTCTCGATCTCTTTGTCTGTCTGTGTATTTTTCGATCTCTATATCCTTCCATCTATCTATCTGTTTATCTGTCTATCTATCTATCTATCCATCTAGCTAGCTGGCTATCTACCTATCCATCTGTCTATCCGTCTGTCTATCTACCTTCTATCTGCTCTCTGTCTCTCTACCTATGTATCTATTTGTCTATCTATATATGTACCTATCTCTGTGTCTGTCTATATTTGCGTTCATCCTGAGAGCATTCATTTCGGCTCAACCCATGCTGTTTAAGCTTCTTTGCTTGCAGTTAAATAGCTTCATCGGCACCAAGAAGGACAAGTACTGCTACTATCGAGTGGGCCCTCAAACCTATATCCCGACAACAACGAAAAGAAAACACACTGCGACACCATAATCCACAAAAGCACAATGACAAACAATCAGGAAGGCTGAGGAGCACCAAGGCCCATCAAACCCTCTACGACACAAGAAGGCAACCCGCGGAGCGATTGCCCAGCCCAGACCGATCGCTGCAAAGAGCGCCACGCTGTCGCGACAGCCGCCCGTAGTCCATGGGAAGGGCAATGGGGCGAGCAGCCATGGAATCAAGCTTGAGACATCTAACTATCTATCTATCTACCTATCTGTCTGTCTACCTACCCATCGAACTATCTATCTGTCTCTCTGCCTATCTATCTATCTACCTATCTATCTATACTTGGTTGACGTTGGAAGGGAAGCAAAAATTTGAATTTTAGCAGTTCAGTGGGGATTTCCCGCTAAACCACAACAAGCAAAAATGAAAAGTGTGTCCCAACAACAACCACGACCTATCTATCAATCAATCTATCTATCTGTACCTAACCTTGCGAAGGTGCTGCGCCTGCCACGAAATCTGTACTGAACCTTGTGAAAGTGCTGTGCCTACCAAGAAATCTGCACCTGACCTTGCGAAAGAGCTGCGCCTGCCACGAAATCTGCACCTGACCTTGAGAAAAGAGCTTGCATGCCAGTGATTTGCTTGCATTGTTCAAAGGTGGGGATCACTCAAAGTAAAGTAAGTAAAACTCCCTTCCTGAGTGGATTGGCAAAGAAAAGTCCTAACTTTTGATTTACCTCTCTATTTACGTCCAAACCCAAAAATAATGAAGTCCGAAGCGGAATCCAGGGAGGGAGTTGAGGTTGCCCCCCCCCCAAAAAAAAACAAAATGCCGCGGTGTCCTTCTCTTTTCCTCAAAAACCTGCGAATGGTGCCCTCAAAAAAGATAAATCCAAGGGTCTAGGCTTGGCCTACTTCCGTCTTAAGCAACCCGTTGCTCCAGTTGTTCAGTGTGTCCTGTTTGGCGTAGGAAAAGGCACGCCTTTTTGGGGTTGACTTTTTTGCTGGGGAAGCCGAACAAAAAGGGGAAAACGGTGCCACTGAACTGTGAACTTGCCTTGATAAAGGTGATTTAGCACTTGTGGGCTTGCCCTTGGGGCTATTCAAGTTGAACCGCAAAAATCATTGGGACCGAGGGGTTTGCAGGGTTTCTGAAAGAGCTTCACTACAGTCCTTAGGTGGGCTTGCCGTTTGCAGACATATGCACCGTGGCTGCCATCTGGCCTTTCAGAAAATAGACCCCCAACAAAAATCGCCATCACCTCTTTAGAACCATTAGTACGGATTCAAACACATTGTCTTTCGCAGCCCAACAACAAATGAACAGAACCAAACAAATAAGAAACCTGAAGCCACCCCCCCCCCCCCGAAGACCCCACATCCGCCGCATATGGCATCTGGGTCTGTCTGTTTGAGGGGGTTACGGGAAATCAACAGGAAAACGACCACTCGGGTGTGTCTGGAGCCCCACAATGGTGGCCTTTGCTTTTGGTTTCCACTGAAAACCACCCAAAAAGGGGTACCACCACACACTCCACAGACACATCTCTCATTAAACAACAGCTGGAATGCACAACTTCCACCATTTTGGGTTTCCCAAAGTCCTTTGTTTTCTTGAAGGGTGGTCCCCCCCCCCCCCCCGCCGCCCCAAAAAAGTGGCGCCCAAACTTTGCTTCCTTGCGCTCGCTCACCCCCGAACCGAAAAGGAGACACAGGTCCGACAAAAAACTTCCGCAGCTCTCGCCTTGCTGGGCACCACTAGGCTGCACCTGCGAGATCGACGGAACCGTCCAAAAAGGCTCTCAGTTCTTCAGGGGCCTGGGAAAAAAAGGGAGCCCTTTTTGGGGCTTGGACCCATTTTTCCGTGGGGCCACCCAACAAAAAAGTTGGACAAAGAATCGGTGCCACTGAACTGCCTGGAAAGAAACAGGGATCCGGATGCATACACCTGAACATTGCCACTTGTCTATTTGGTGGGTTTCCAACTTTGTGTTGGGGTGGAAAAGCAACATCTTTCACATGGTTGCAAAACGAATTTCGTTTAAGGAGCCCTGAAAAAGGGAGCCCTTGTTTTGGGGCTTGGACCATTTTCGTGGGGCCACCAACAAAAAAGGGAAAAAGAATCGGTGCTGAAGAAGTGAGGGTTGGGTCTGGACCATCTTGCTAGGAAATGTGTCTGGATCCCTTGGGAAGATGGTCTTCATTTCTTGTCTCACCATTGGATAAATCCCTTGTCGCAAAATGCGCCATTGTGAAGACCACCATTTTGGGAATATCCCATCTGGTTGGGAAGACCATTGTGTCTGGTGGTGAACATAAAGTGAGTTGGGGCCAAGCCAAAATAACAAATCCCATGGCCCAAATATCAAGTTCCTGGACCTCTTTTTTCTGGGCCAATCCACCGAAGTGAGTGGCTTGCTTCGGGTTTCTTGGTTGACGCTGGAAGGGAAGCAACAAAATTAAATTTTAGCAGTTCAGTGGTTGGATTTCAACCACTAAACCAATAATTAAGCAACAATGTGTCCAATGCTTCCCAACAACAACCACGTATCTATCTATCAATCAATCATTCAATCAATCTATCTATCTACATGTAAAATGTTTCCCAACAACCATGGTTTGGGGGTTGGGAGGGTTGAAGCCTTGCAGAGGATCGCAGATCACCCTTCCACTTGCGGAAACCAGGGACTCCACAAACCGACATGGGGGGGGGGGTCATTGTTGAGCCCCTCGAAACTCCAAGCAACCTGGGGAAGTTCTCATCTTTTACAGACATATAGCCCATGTTACCCAAAAAGTTGGCAAAAGCTGTGTTTTTAAGAGGTCGCATGTTCCCGCAATAGGAATCTGTTCAAGGATTGTCTAGACCTTGCATGGGTTGACCATCCCACCCCACCAAAGAATTTATGATCCTGCAAGCCCTGGCAAGACACGCACAGTGTTGCATGATTTGTAGGCCTGATTGTGTTGCCAACTTGTTTGGACGCTGAGTCTTGGCTTGAGGCTTTTAAAATCCCACCAATGAAGATCCTGCCCTTCAAGATACCCACGCCGCAACGGTACTTCCAACAAACCAATGGGTTTGTCACAAACTTGGTGGTTTTTCCCTCTTCAACCAACTCATCATAAGCTAACAGGTGAGATCCCCTCAAGATATTCACTTAAAGCCGGTTCAACTTCAATCGACCTTGCCGTCCCGCTCAGTTTGTATCCAACGACCCCGCCTCAAGAGAGCATGGTCTCTCAGCGCCACACGCAACACCTGGCACGGTGCCTTCCGTTGTCAAAGTCATGGACGTGTGTGTTTTTGAGGGTACCCTTTTACCCGTTCACTTGGCTTCTGTGTTTCAAAGGAGAACCACAAGAAAAACCGCAATCTTGGGGGTCCCCCTAGCTTGACACCCCGTGCTGCCTACTGCCGCATGTTGAACAGGATGCTCACAGATGGTCCAAGAGTCAGCCAGGTGACTTCACTTCCGTTAGAGATTGAAAGAAGGTGCCTTACTACATTAGGTCCTCCAGCAGAGAGGTTAGAATAAGGGTGCCAACTTTTTTTCGGTAGTGTATTTTAGTAGGGGAACCCTCCCAACCAAAAAAGGGGTGAGAAAGGGCACTACTGGGGGACCTGCTACAGGCGCTGCCTTTGGCTGGTTATCCCGCCTCACGCCAAACCCCCACGGTAAGTAGGCCGCCCTGTAGCCGAGTGAGACTTCTATGTCACGTTTAGGAAGGCCAAACATCTCCCTCTCTTCTGACCCAAAAAATGGGCCATTCCCCAAAATTTAGGGGCAATACCTGTTTGATTCGGGACAGATTCGGAGACTCCAAATATGGACCAAGGCAATGCTGTCCCCATAAGAATCAACCAACCTTTAAATTAATAGGGGCCCCTCCAAAAGTGGTCTGATTCGCTACATTTCACCCAGGGACACCGGGACCCCTATGAATAAACTGGTTGGTTGATGAAAAACAGGGCCAACAAATCAAAACACATCAAGTTGCAGAGGACTCAACGGCTCCTCGTCTTTTTCCCCCACAAGAAAGGCGAGGAAAACCGTCGAGTCCTCCAAAATGTCTTCGGGTGTCCGGTTGATTTCCCTTGGGTCATTGAACAACGGGATTTGTTGGTCGGTTTTCATTTTATCCCAACGAACATATGGGCGTGGCTCAAAATCAAACAGGGCTTACGGTTTTGGTTTCCATGTTTCCACTGACCGATCGCGCAACCCATCTTGGACTTGGCCGTGGCTCAAAACAAAAAGGTACCCACAATGGTTTGCCCTGGTAAATGGAAACATGGAAACCAAAACTTGCGGTTTGCCCCTCCGGTTAAATTTTGGGCCACACCCACTTGAGCCGCCCAAGCGCCAGCCGCCCATGGAGGCTCCATGGCCTCGGCGCCGTTGGGCCCCTGGAGGGACCCGGGCACCAGGCGCGGGCCGCGCTGCGCCTCACGCAGCCGCACCACCTGAAGGGGGGTTTTGCTCGGTTCGGCTCGGCCGGGCGGCCGGGTTTTGGGGTGGGGGTTTTGGGGGGTGGTTGGTGGGGGGGTGGGGGGTGGGGGGGTGGAGGGGGGTGAAGTTAAATTCATGGCATTCAGGTCCAAATTTATAGTAATCAGGCACAAAGAAGCCTTTATTGTTCTCTTTGAATTTGGTTTTTGGGGGTGGGCAGAGGTGTTTTTTTACAAGAATCCTTTGGCCATTGACAAATTGATTTTCAGGTTGGAGCAAGCATTTCCTATTTTGAAGCATTGGCTTTTGGAGGTGGGAGAAGGGAGAACAACCCAGAATGTGTTTCAGGGTTGGGCAGGCTGTGGGAGGCGGGTTTGTCCTGAGCCAACTTCATCGACCTCTTGCTGAATCCGTTTGAGCCCTCAGTTTTTTTGTCGTGTCGTTTTTTTTCACAGGGAGCTGCGCAAGCTCCCTGAGATGTGCTGGACAAGCACCCCCCTCCCCCAATCTGTGCTGGGTGAGCACAGCCCCTTCAAGGTGCTGGGCAAGCACACTGTGCTGGGCAAGCACAGTCATCACATGCGTGATGATGTCTAGAAACCAGCTGCTATTAAGCCCAATGATTTCCTCATCCATCCCAACAGTATCTATCAACAACTTTGTTCCTGTGGCCCAGCTGAAGTTGCCCAGCTGAAAGCAGCTCAGTTTCAACCCCTCACCCCACTTCAAATCAGAACAATTTGAGACCCAAAACATGCAGCGTGGGTTTGAAATCGCCTTTGATCCGGGTTGGGCAAATGCTGCAAAAACAAGTTGACAAGCCACAGGAACAAAGTTGTTGATAGATACTGTTGGGATGGATGAGGAAATCATTGGGCTTAATAGCAGCTGGTTTCTAGACATCATCACGCATGTGATGACTGTGCTTGCCCAGCACAGTGTGCTTGCCCAGCACCTTGAAGGGGCTGTGCTTACCCAGCACAGATTGGGGGAGGCGGGGTGCTTGTCCAGCACATCTCAGGGAGCTTGTGCAGCTCCCTGTGAAAAACAACAACACAAACTGAGGGCTCCAACGGGTTGAGCACGAGGTCGGTGAAGTTGGCTCAGGAAAAACCCGCCTCCCACAGCCCAATGCTTCAAGATAGGAAATGTTTGCTCCAACTTGAAAATCAATTTGTCACAAGCCCTCCTCTCACCTCCTTTTTTCAATAGCCAAAGGTGCAAACATTCTCTTCACAAACCCTCCTCACACCTCCAAAACTCAACAACCAACCTGAAAATCATTCTGGTAAAAAACACCTCTGCCCACCCCCAAAAACCAAATTCAAAGAGAACAATAAAGGCTTCTTTGGGCCTGATTACTATAAATGTGGACCTGAATGCCATGAATTTAACTTGGTGGCTGGTGGTATTGCTTCGAAGTCTATGTCAGCAATACTGTGTGGCTGGTTGCGAAATCTATTTCTCACCACTGAACAAACCCAAGGGGATGATTTCAATCCTCTGTAAATGCCAACAAGCATGGTTTCAAAGTGGTGCGAAATGGATTTCGCCCATCCGCATTTGAATCGTGGGTGCCCTAAAAAAGGGAAGGGGAAGCTGCCTGAAGCCTCAAAGTTCCCAAAAACATTGGCCGTTGTCCCAAATAATGGGGTGACTTCCGCTTCGTTTTAGGCATCCACAAAGGAGGCCGCCTTTAAAGGGAAAACAACGTTAACAGGAGGATGATTAAAGTAAACCTGGAACCCTTAAACGTGTCATGTGTTTGGGTGAATTCCTTTTGTTGTGAGTTGGAAGGTTCAAGCAGCGGTTTTAACATGTTAGGGCTCCCGACCTTGGCTGCGTGGGTCATTTGGTTTGGTTCCATTTGCAACCAGGAAGGATTCCTTTGGGGTGGGGTGGTTGGGTGGGTGGTTGGGGTATGGTTTGGGTTTGTTTAGGGTTGGCTTAGGGTGAGCTTAGGTTTGGTTTCTGGTTGGGTTAGGTTCAGTGGTTTAGGGTTGGATTAGGGTCAACGACAAGCCTTGAAAAACGCAACAAGCCGATTTCGGTGGTTCCGACTGGTGGCTTGAGGCTGGGGTTTTGATTTCTTTAGGCTTCGTTGCGGGTTGGGATTGGGTCGTAAAGCCGAAAAAGGATCCTACGATTTGAAGCAACCCGTATGAGGGTTGATCAAGCACAACGAGGCTCAATTCAGGGGTTCATTTGGTCCCGGTGGTTGATCAAACAAGTTTTTTATCTTCTTCTTTTTTATTGTTGGTCCCAAAGTACGGGCTGACTGTTCAAGAAAGAAAGGGCTCGCGATTCGAAACCAAAACGGGTGACCTTGATGGTCCCTTCAAAGGTGGTCCCAAAGGGCTCCAACAACAAGACATCCCTTTTCAATCAACCTTCACTCAGTTGTTCAGTGACCCTGGAAAAACAAGGGAACCCTTTTTGGGGCTTGGACCATTTTCAGTGGGGCAGCCACCAAACAATTGGGGAAAAATACTTGATGCCACTGAAGAACTGAGTTCATATGGGGGCTATTGGTGACGTTTCGACCTACCTTGCCCAGGCCCTGGATGAAAAAAAAGCAAAAAGGTGCAAATGAACAGGACAAGCCTTGGAACAGTGGGGTAAATGACTAACATACCCAGCCATGCAGCATGGCTATGACTTGGCCTTGCACAAATCGCGGGGCAAGAAAAGCGCGCCTACACCTCAATCTGCATTTCAGCCTAGGTGATTGAATCTATGTTCAAGGGGCACAGGAGTCCCCAGCGATCTTTTCAGAGCTAGCTCCATTTTCCGCGTCTCCCACGTGCCACAGACGTTGATGGCCGAACGTCTCCAGAGACCCCCGCAAAAATACGAGCAGCGAATACAATCAGTTGACGCAAACACCGAGCCTCAAGAAAAACTGAAACACTTCTTGGTTCAAGCCATCTGGGTGGGTGTGTCCTTTTCGATGGGACCTCCCAAAATGGGTGGTTGTCCCTTTTGTGTTCCTCTAAAACCACAACACATGGGGGGGATCCGTCAAAAAAGACAAATCCAAGTGTGAAATACGGTTCCAAAATCCTAGTTGGGACAAAACTATGCTTCCAGTTATAGGTAAGGTGATGTAAGGTGGTAACTGGAAGAACAAAGGGGGATATGATAACGGGGGCTGAACAATCTTTGGCATTGCTTTCTGATGGTCATGACTCAGTTTAGATTTATGACAATGTTCCTTAAACAAGGATGGGGTTGCGCACTGAACTTAGTTTCATGGCAGTTTCAGGGCCTGTGTCATTTTAATTGAGTTGGCGGGTCAAAGCCAAATTCAGACATGATAAAACCATAGGTCAACCATGGTGCATATGAATTACTTAGGCGCTCTTTGGTGGACATCATAAGTTGGACGGGGATGAGCTTCTCCAACAACCACTTGTGAGGCGGCTCCAGCTCTTAAACTTCACAGCCATTTGATCAACTGTGGCGCATACATTTTACCTAGGCGTCCTTTACCAACTCCCCAAACACCAGGCGGAGCCCCCAAGTCGCCTCGCCCGACTCGCCCGTGGGCTTTCGGGCCCCGGGCCGCCACAGCGCCCGAGGCGTCCAGATTCACATCGCAGCGCCAGGCGTCGAGGTCATCACCTACGAGATGCGTCGACTGGAGTTTTGCTTCGAAATACAAGAAATATGGCCATGGGTCAAAACCCCGTAACCCCAGTGAACATCTCAATCCCCACTAAAAAGACCAAAATGGGTGGTGCACTTATCCCAAAATGGTGCCATTGGTTTTGCACCATGGCCATATTATTTTCAGCAATTGGAAGAATCTCTGAGGCGCAGAGAGAAGGACCACAATTGTTGGACCCTCCCATAGGGGTAAAGGAACCTCCTTTAGTCTTGGTTGACGTTGGGTTTGGGGAGCAAAACTTCTAAAATTCTAGCAGTGAAGTGGATTTTTTTTTTTTTTTTTTTTTTACTTTTGCTAAAGTTCAACATGTGTTTAAGTGGTTTTGGATTTCAACCACTAAACCACAATAAGCAAACATGTTTCCAATGTTTCCCAACAATAACCATGTTTGGGAGCTTGGGCTTCGCAGAGAAGGGTGTCCCATGCTTCTGGCGGTTGATTCCTTGTCCATTCTTTTCAACCATCGTTCTTGCCAACAACCGGCCGTTGTCCCTGAGTTTCCGGAGGTTACCGAGAAAGAAGGATCCCTGGGAAGAATGGGGAAGGTACGCTAGGATGCCTTGGCAGCCATGGTGTCCCTGCCCAAACAAGCTCCAGAGTGGTTTCCAGGAAATTTCCGTGTTGCTGTTAGTTGGTGCCTGGTGTTTGAATTGGTTTGCCGCTCACTTTGTGTTCTAAAAAAGTGACTAAAGTCCAGGAACTCGGGGAATGAGCTTGAGGCAACGCAACAAATAGGCGCCCTTACGGAAAAACAATAAGAGAGCTGCTCAGAAGTGCTTTTTTGTACAGCCGAAAGCTATGGCAGCCATGGTGTCCCTGCCCAAACAAGCTCCAGAGTGGTTCGCAGGGGGTTTCCAGTGCTGGTGGAGTTTGATGCATCCTTGGCTTGGTTCTTGGGCAGGGGCATAGGGTCCCTGAGAAAAGGAATCCAGGGGTCGGCAGGAGCGCTTCAACTTTGATCACAAGCAGGGACACAACCTCTGCCGATCCTCTGTGCATTGACACGTACCGCCATTTTCTGCGTTGGTCATGGCTTCGTTGATCCTAATCCGTATTCCGTAGCGGGACGCCAACACAAGGAAACCAGACTACCATGTGAGTCACAATCAAAACTCGGTATTAAAATGGTCTACCCATAACCACGCTTCAAGAATTAAGAAGGCGGATATGCGCAACTATTTCTGGCTGGGACTGCCCCTTAACCTTCATCAATCCCCGAATCGGTTTTGAGCAAGTGGCTCATGTGAAACTCAGAATGGGTTCTTTAAACCTAATCCGTATTCCGTAGCAAGGAAACCAGACTACCATGTGGCAGAAGTTTAACTGTTGTGGCAAAAATGTGTTTGTCGCACTCACCCCCCCCCCAGAAGAAAAAAAACAAACAGCAACGACAAACATGTATTTGGCGCTTGGGGGCAATAGCCAACAAGATATGATTCCCAAAAGTGCCGAAATTCCGGCTTGGTGGGCGCTTGGGCTTGGTGGATTAAGTTGTTTCTCTCTGGTTTGTTCTTTTTTACGGGGATCATTTGTCGATTGTCTCGCAACCTTCTGGTTTGTTTGTCCATAGTCAAGCCGACTAAAATGCTAAAGTATTGGCAACTACTCAAGCAATACAGATGTCTTGTTCAAAGTTTAGCTGTTGGTGGGTTTATATTTTGAGACCCAACCTCTACCCCCACCAAGCCCGGAACTCCCCAGCCGCCCACGTTTTCCCCCGCCAGCCGGGTCCCGCGTCCGGGTCCCGCGCTGGGCTTGTGGCTGCTCCGAATCTCCGCCGCCGCCGCGAGCAGCGCCCGCTGGCAGGCCAGATCCGCCAAGGTCTCGCAGGGCCAAGACCTCGGAGACTGCGCGAGACGGCGCCCGGGCGACCCAGGGGACTTGAGACGCGTGAGACGCGAGAAACCCATGGGACTGAAGCTCTGCCCCATTTTTCAGCAGGAGATCTGAGAACGACAAGCTTGGGATTTGCCAAAAGTTTTCATGATTAGAGTTAGGCCCAGTTACAGAATGTACATTGTATTATTTTCTTCACATGGAGTCACTGGTAAAATGCCAAATGTATCCTAAGTCTACCCCAGTTTTGCTTTTTGTTGGCTTTCTCGAGTTGCTTGTCTGTGGTTTTCCTCGAGAATTGTTGGTTCTCTGAGTAGAAGCCAAACAAACTCAATGGGTTTCTTTGGTGTTTAGTCTTATTTGATGGAAAACCAACAAACACCTCGAGAAAAATCAAACAAACAAAACAAATCCGGGCGCCCCCGGTCGAGCGACAAGCCATGGGATTTGGCCGAGACGCGACCCAAACCCATGGGACTGAAAAAACCGCCCCATGAAAAAGGGGATCTTCGAAGAACTATGATCATTTCTAAGTTGAAAGCTGGAATTCTGACATGCTAAAAGGTGTATCCTCGTGGGACTTTTGGAATTCTACCCCATCAAACAAGCTGGAATGCATTCACCAAGTTGAAATAACCATTTCAGGGAACTTTGAGGGGCCAGGTGCTGACATGCTTCGTAAGGTTCTGATTGTTGACCCTGCAAAAAGGTTGACCTACTGTTTGTGGCTTCAATGTCGGAAATCCACCTGCGGGTGTGGCTCAAAATCGAGCCAGGGGCAAACCGCAGGTGGTCTTTGTTTCCATTTACCTAGGGCCCATTTTGGGTGCACTTCTTTGAGCCGCAGACACAAAGGTTCAGCCACAAAGTTGAAGTCAACTAGGTCCAAACCTGTAGAGAGAGGTTAGAATAAGGGTACCAACTCTTTTTTCTGGACGTTCTTTTTTAGTAGGGGTTTTCCTAACCAAAAAAGTGGGTAAGAACGCTTCAGGACTCCCCCGATTTGCACCGACGGGCTACTGTCAATGGACGAGACCCAGACATCGCAGCGAAATGAAACCATGGCTGAAACCATAAGGTTTGTTACGGTCTCTTGGCTTTCAGCACTCCAAGAGTGGTCCATTTGTACCTGATGTGCTCTTGGGTGAGCCATTTTTTGGGTAGCAACTGACACTTGGAGGTGCTGTTTGTTGGTACGGGGAATCATGTATCATCTTCCAGGGTTTCTGAACGGTGCAACATGGATTTCGTCCCTGCCCCGCATGACTGTTTTTTGCTCAAGGGACTTATTTTCAACATGGCTTCGGTTCTCTGTTTGGTTACGATGAAAACCACAGGGCGCCCCGCAACCAGACTTGCTGGTGCGATAGGTGGATGAGGGAATGAACCCAGGGATCCCATGAAAGGAAACCACCAGTTGGACAGTCCGGTAGATGTTGAATGGCAAAAGCCGACCTTGTTTTTAGGAAACCCTAAGGCAGGGGTCGTTTTTAATAAAAGTGCCGAGGTTCCCGCGCTTCAACATTAAACCACCAAGCCGCCCCTTTTGGGCCGTGTTTCAGCGGGTCTGGTGGCTCAAAATGCGACATCAAGCCAGCCTTGGGGTCCTCAGGAAACGCTGCAAGCTTTGGATTCCTTTGGCGACTCAAATTCATTTCGCACCGAGGAAAAGGCCTGGAATGATATGATTCCCCTATAAATTGGTTTATCATGGTTTCAAAGCGGTGCAGGATGTTTCTTCCATCCACAGCAAGGGCCTTGTTTAGCCGTGAATGAGGTTTGTTTGGTGTGAGGCTTGTTTGGTGAAGAGGCGAATTCACCCATTTCTGTTGGTGAGGGCTGGTCTCTAGGGTCCCTGAAAACGCTCTTCTCCTCATGTTTTACATTGAACTGAGCACGAGCCCCGAAGAGCCAGTCCGACGCACAGCTCCCGTAGTGGATGGCGGAACCGTGCACAACAACGCAGCTGTGGTAAACGAGGGTCCTCCCATCAACCTCTTGGTTGACATTGGAAGGGGAGCAAAACAAATAATGTTAGCAGTTAAGTAAGGATTTCAACCACTAAGCCACAATAAGCAAAAATGTAAAATGTGTCCCAACAACAACCTTGACGTGGTGGTTGAGCAACTCGATGACTTGGTCTTCCAGCGGGTGCAATGCAAAGTACGCCTGATTGTCTAGGGGATCCCGGGATCACAGCTGGCGCGTCCGGTTTGGATCAAGAAGGGCTCCCCGAAATACAAAGGACGCCTTCCATGATTTGCTTTGTCTCTGCCACAAAGTAAAGCATATTGGGGGGGGGGGTGTTGTCCTTTGGGTTCCCTTTCGAACCATAAATAAAGGTGCCCTCAAAAAAGACACCAACATCGACCACCGTTGATGTCAATGTTCCTCTTAAAAACAGGGAGCCAGTTGGGAGGACAACCACTTAAGAGTTGCCTGACAGAAGACGCCTTCCATGTTGTTCTCGCTCTCTGCCAAAAAAAAAAAGAATTATATCCAACCAGTCATGGCAATCTTTTATTACCAAAAGGGACGCCTTTGGGTGGCCGAAAAATGAAACTGAAAATGCCAGCAAACAATTTAGCGCCAAAGGCGCCAAGCCAGCGATGACAAATGGGGCCTTGTACGAAGCCATCCAGGATGTCGAATCCCAACCAAACTGATAAATGTCTAGTAAACATACTGGGCTGTCCTCAGATCTGCTGCTCAAAGCTCAGCTTCTAGTGGGTTAAATGCAAGCCCCCACGAAACAAAAAAAAACAACAACACCTAGAACCTAAGGAAACCGCTGGGGACCACCCAGAATACCTTCAGCCCATCCCTGTCGTGCTGGGAACCCCGGGCGACATCTTGAGGCCAGTGGGCTTGCCCCTGAGGACAAGCGACGAGTCAGGTTGGTCGTTTTTTGTTTTTTTAGCGAATCGACCTGATCTGACCTTTTGGTTTTCCCTTTTTGGGTTCTCATTTTTCGTAGAGGTCCCAAAAGGTGATCACCTTTTTTATTTGCAGGTCCGAACTGGGCAAGTGAGAATATCCTGAGGGTCCAGGTGTGAAAAAGGTTGGTACCGACAATACTCTAGGGGTTGACTCCTTGTCCATTCTTTTCAACCACCGTTCTCTTCAAAAACCGGATCTGTTTCCCCCTGGGTTTTTGAGGGTTTCCTGAAAAGAAAAACGGATCTCTGGAAAGAATGGGGAAGGTACCCCTAGAATGTTAGTTGGCTTGCTGGTGCTTCATAGGCAGGGAATGAGAAAAGGAATGACCCCCTAGAAGCAAAAGTCTTGCTGGTGCGAGAGATGCAGGGAGTGAGAATTGGAATTACCCCCTAGGTAATCCATCCAACTGGTGGCTTCCTTTCTTCGGGAATCCCTTCTGGTTCATTCCCTCCTTTCCGGTGGAAGGGCGCAGCACCTTTGGATAGAAGTGAGCTGTGGACCTGCAAATAAAAAGGTGATCACCTTTGGGACCTCTAGTAAAAATAGACCAAAAAGGGAAAACCAAAAGGTCAAAAGGTCGGCTTTGAACAACTGAGATAAAGAAGTTGGAGATTCGCCAGTTCCATAATGCCTATAAACGTTGAGGTGCACCGCACCTTTTGGATTGGGAACAAAACATTTGCGTATTTACCCGAACCCTCAAATTATCCAAAAAGCTGTTGGAGATTCACCGATTCCATCATGTTGGGGCCGGCACTTTGCCACCATTAAGGCAGGGAGGCTTGAGCGGGTCGAGGTGAAGGCCTCTTGTCTGGCCACCAGCTCAGCTTTGGCTCCAGCGGCGCGAAAGTTTCACCAGATCCGAGTATGAACTGATGCTGATGCAAAGAAGGGCCTCCACAAAAACATTAGGAGGGACACATTAAAAAACAATATCGGTTGCTTGCTGCTCCCTGCTAAAAAAAAAAACTGTTAGTGGTTTAATGGAACCCCATTTGTTGGCAAACAGTTAAAGTCAAGATCATCCAAGCAAGATGCACCAAAGAATACAAGTTGAACCACACAAAGAAGAAGTACCTGGAGGTGAGACTCGGGCCTGCAAGTCTTCCCTTCCTTGTCACAGTCGGATCGGAAATACTCCTTACTCCCCTTTTCTGGATTTCTGAAAAAGACAACTGGGCTGTTCAAAAAGGAGGGTTGGCCAATCCTAATCCATAATCCTTATAGGCAAGCCACCTTTCACAGGGACCCCTTGCGTACCCGAAGGAGTACTTTTGAACAGTCCAAACAACCCTAGATTGCTCTGTGGAACCCCCCCCTCCCCCCGCAACCTCTGGCCAAATTAGTACAGATCACCAACCGAGAGTATAGGATCCAGTCATCACATCACAACCAAAACCCCAAACCGCCCTTTGCGTGACGCCGGGACAAACTGCCCATTGATAGACGATGAGACATGATCAAAGGATGTTTGGGGTGTACTTCTGGTCTTTTCTGGGCTCAGATCAGATCCGCTGCCAAAAGCTTAACTAGTGGAGCTTTCAATGGACACCGCTACATAACAACCTAAAGACCGGCCCGCTTTGTTTGAGGGATGAGGGAAGAAATTCCATACGTCCCTTCATTTTCCCCAAGGGCACTGAAAAAACACAGAAACGCATCCGAGCTGGTCAGGGATTCTGAGATATACCTGGACCCCAAAGAATGAACTACCCATCAAAAGCTTTGAACTCACCAATTCCAGAACTTGGGGTTGCGATTTGCAACCCATTTTTTTGGTTGGACGTTTTCTCGGGTCCAGGTACATCCGAAAACCACCTGCTTGGCGGATCCTCTACATCGGCTCATTTCGAAAAGGACGTGAACGGGCTCGGTGATTGGTCTCCTTATGATTCCCGAAAAAAGAAAAAAACAAAAAGAGAACCCCCAACCCCTTCCCCCTAAGGGGGGTGGGGTGGGGTGCTACTTTCCCAGGAAACAATCAAACAGTCTTTGTTACTAGGCGTGCCTGGTTCAGGTGGTTCATGAAAACAACTAGCTTTAGTGCAAATTCAAATCCGCTCCTTCTCCTTGTACGGCACAGAAAAAAAGAAAAGAAGAAAAACAAAAACACAACCCCCCGGCGTGAAGTAATTTCGGCTCACAGCCAAAAAAAAACAAAGAGGCCCAGGTGCTCAGTCTGGGTAGGCAAACAACAAGCCCTTGAGGTTGGGAGAACCGCGCCACTGAGCCACGGAAAGGGGCGGCCGGTCGTTGAATGTTCGAAGATATGTCAAAGGAAGTTTTGGACCCAACTCATTCTTTTGTTCAACTGTTTCCCCTGTGGCTCCCCTTGAAAAACCAATTTTCATGGGATACCCAATGTGGGCTGCTTACATGCCGGGGAAACCTTGTAGAAACTTGGGCCAGACGTATGAGAAGGAGGTACTTGGTTGAAAGAGGAAATGCACAACAAACTAATAATGAAACAGCAGGTCAACAAGGTTTGGCTACGAATGAACAAGCAAGGCAATGGCAAGCCAAGTTTGGCAAGCTCTTGTTTTTGTCGCTGCGTAAACCTGGGGTCTGGCAAAACCGGCACGAATGACTTCAACTCGGAGCCGAATCGAATCGCTTCGAAGCGCCTGGGCGAGGCATTCTTCGCCAGGGACGGCGGGCTTGAGTCCGGTACCACCTGAAGGGCGAGTCCAAGCGGAACGGGTATGGCTTCTCAAAATAGGGGGTACCCCGACAATGCTGGTGTTCATGTTGGTTTCCCAACCAACGAATAATCCGAAATAGGGTACCCTATGCAACACACCCAGGTTTCCCTTTAAACCAATTAATAGTCCGAAGTAGGGCACCCTATAAAACACACACACACACACCCAGTGACCAACAAACAACTGAAGCAAGGTAAATGCAAGTTTGTCAAAGTGCATGAGCATCATGACCCAAAAGAGGGAGCACCTTCACTTGCACCACTATGCTTTGTCCACGCAGGATAGGATGCATGTATGCACAGTTTTCACAACAAAAAACAGTAGGATGAATTGTCTCTTCTAGCAGTAGTTTGAGGCTGCCGTGATTGCCCACGCCACCACAGAGCCATGACAACTCACCCAAGGGAGTTTGCCGTTCATCCAGCTAAGTGTCGAATACACGGATTAGCACTTGAAGCCAAGGGTAGAGTAGGAGGCCAGAGTTTTTTGATTTGGCTCGTGACAGCAACGTGCAGGGAAATGTTGACCCCATATATGACTCGACCGTAGTTTATTTATGAATCAGACCACTTTTGGAGGAGCCCCCGGCCCCCTACGAATATACTGGGGTTCACAAACATGGGGTCAACATTCATTGCTTCGGCCTTTCATCTTGGCCCAAGGGCCCCTTTGGAACTGACTCCTCTGGTTACATTTTTGGCCGTGGCTCAAAAAGCCGGTACCAAAATGGAACCCTGGGAAGTGGAATCATGGATCAAAACTTGCGTAACCCCTCCTGGTTAATTTTGAGCCACACCCATTTCATTGTGATGCACGGTGCCTGCCTCTTGCTCATCCTGAAGATCCACGTAGAAATCCAGGTAGGGCACTATCCTCAGCTCGCTTTTGGCGGTTTGGATCTCGGCGGTGTGGTGAAATGGGGTTTGGATGCCGGTGGTATGGTGAACATTTCGTGGTTCTCATGTACAAGACTACAAGAAGCAAGGCTTCAATTCCCCAAACCAATCCAACACGCCAAAGTTTACCTGATATCCCGTGCTCAACGTGGGTTCCTTCCAGTGCGGAAGCCGAAACTCCTTTCGTGGATCCTTTTTTTGGGGTTCCTTCCATAAATTTGGGGTTCGTGGAACGTCAGGGTAGCTTGATTGGCTAGGGCCTAACGGCTCGCCTTTGCCCAAGCCTTCCAACCTCTGGAGTTTCATTAACCACAAAAGGCTGGCCGACAGATGCGAAAAAACAACAGGGATCCGGATGCATACACCTGAACATTGCAACTTGTCAATGGTGGGTTCCCTTTATTTTGGTGTTGAAAAAGCAACATGTTTCAATTGGTGGCAACATGTATCTTTTAAGGAGCCCTGAACAAGCTTGCTTACAACAACGCCATAAAAGACAAAGTCGGTTTCGAGGACCATAAAACCCTTGAAAAGCTGAGGGGGCTTTGAGCCCAAACAAACCATGTGGGCAATATATGCCCACAGTGACCCTCGAAAATGAGTCAACTGTTGGTGTATGCGGATTGATCAACAGGTCCTTTACATGGGATGACCATTAGGGGAAACCACTAAAAGAATATTTCGCACTAAATGGCCAGGAATGTAGCATATATGACCTTATTGACCTTTGAGAACATGTTAATACAAACAAACATCTGGATGCCTAAACCACCATGCAATCTATACTCTTACTTAAAAACACGAAAAATAGACCTTCAACTGTTTGTGTGCGAGCAGCTACATGGATTCTCTAAGACCTCTCAACTCCAGCCCCAACGTCCAACCATTTGGGGCCCAAACTCCCCAACCGAGCCCCGCCTGGGCACCTTGTGTTGTGGCACAGGCCGATCTACAACCTCTTGGATGTAGGAGACCTCGCAAGAGGTGAGTGTCAAAACGCGAAACAGTAGATGGCGTGTGGGTGTGTCCTTTTTTTGAGGGAAGCCCTTTTTGGTTGGAAACAAACATCATTTTAGGGGTCTATGAGCAATGCGCAATATCACTGGAAAATCGGATGGATCCGAGTCCGTTTCGGAGGGTTTTGCAGATTGGGTATTCATTCCTGTGTGGTCTGTCTCATGAAGGAAGCCACAATAGGTCATGTCCCTTTGCACTTCCGGTCTGAGCCAGGCTACCCTGAAAACAAAACAAACCTACGTGGCAATGGTCAATACTACCAGTGTATCGGTTTTGGATCCTACATTGGTTTTGTACATGACAAGCCGCAAGAGAGTGCTCCATCTCAAATCAAAGTTCAACTGTATGGATGCGTAAAAATCACAGACCAACACAAGCTCAGGTTCTTTTTGGTTTCTCTTTCAAAGCACCCCCCAAAGGGTACAACCATGTGTCGGACTTCTAGTCGTGACCAACAAACAGGAAACTACTTCCAATTTCACTATTGTAACAGGAGAAGCGCCAAAGCACCAAACAGAGACATAAGTTCAGCTTCCCTCCAATTGGTGTCAAGGAGGGGTTTCCCATCTATCCCACAAAAGCCAGGGACTCGTTCAAATCCCCAGTGCCCAATCCAATCCACCGACCTGACGGGTTACCGATAAGTGGCTGGAGTATTGCTCAAGCACCCACCCAACCGGCTTGAATGGCATGAGCTGCATTTTTAGTTCCCGGCCCTGCATGCAAGCTTGTTGCCTACCGAAGCAACATGCTTGAAACCTGGGGGTAGCCAACCAACTCCATACCTTTGCCTCACTCGCGGAAGCTAGATGAGGAAAGGTAAGCCTTCTGGGACCTACTGAATTGTTTTGGGGCGGTTGAAACTTGCATTTGCTTGAGCCACCTGGAAAACAATATGTCCAATAATGATCAATTCCCTTTAAAACCAACAAGGGAAAATCAAACATATATTCTGCAACAGGAAGGAACAAAACCCCATGCCTCACATCGGGAACCAGCACCTAGAATTTCAACCAGTGGCTGTGGCTCAACAAACCGGAATTCCAAAATGGTTTGCCCTGGGTGGAAACATGGACCAACACCTGCGGTTTGCCCCTCCATCCTTTAATTTTGCGCCACAAGTCAAGAGAGTTGATAGGACTCCTCCAAAAATTGGTGCCTCAGGGTATCAGGGTACCGCGAACCACGCCAGTCTTGTCTGGAGATCCTAGACTTTCAGACCTGGGACTCGAATAAGCATTCCCCCGAACCTCGGATTCCGAAATTCCGCAAGAGGTGAGTCGTTGTGAGAAAATGATATAGGGGCTTTCTCTGAGTTCTGCTGGAATCTGAGGTCGATATTCATTAGTTGTGACCCTTTTCAAAATTCCAACTGAAACATGGGTTATTGCAACCCAAAATTATGACATAGTATTCCCTTCTTTTCTTTATGGGTAGTTGGAGGGTCTAGGTACTCCATTCCTCTTTGCAACTTGCAATGGGCCAAGTCTTTTCCCACTCACGTATTCGCCAAAATCCGCAAATTCCGCTTGAGCCTACCCCCGATTCCAGTACCACGTACGTTGCGTTGGGATCAAACAACCTGCGTAAGCCTTTTTGAGGCGAGGACGGAATTCAGCGTTTTCCAGACCGTTTGGCTCGGCTCATTGAAACAAGGCTGGCAAGCAACTCTAGCGTACCCCCCCCCCTCACCTCCCCCCCCCCAAAAAAAAAAAGATGGACAAAAACAAAAAGAGCTGAACGAACTGCAAACGAACCGTGTGTGGTCCCTCCCTATGCAGGTTATACTGGAAGCACTGCCTAGACTCCAGATATTTCTGTGACCCGCATTTCGGCAACGAATGGCTCTTCTCGATACATGGAGGGAACGCTGTTCTTTGGATGAAAGCCATCTTAGTCCTAATTTGTGCTTTGGATTGGTGGTTTGGAGGTTAGGGTGTGCCTACCCTATGTGCTTTCAAAAGAAACTGGGGTTCAAATCCCGAAACCAATGCAAAACATTAATTGCTACTCCAGCTACCCGCTTGAGAAGTGGTCTAAATCTAGGCTCCACTGTGTTGTATTCCACGTCTGCCTTCGCAAACCCTTTCGTGAACAGCGGTTCTACTTTTGGAGCACCTTTGGCCAAGAAACCCTTGGAGGAGTTTTAGTGGCCCTGTGTTTTTCTTTCTCACCCAAATTTTCCAAAGACCTTGTTAAACTGGGTTGTTGGTGGAAAAACCCAGCTTAACCCTTTTAGGTGTCCTTTAGTAGGTGGGTGACATGAGTCACAATCAAAACCTGGTACAAAAATGGTGAACCCAGAACCACGTAAAGAATTAGAAAGGCGGATATCCGCAATTATTTCTGGCTGGGACTGTCCCTTAACCTTCATCAATCCCCGAATCGTTTTTGAGCAAGTGGCAGGTGTCTTTTACAGGGATCCTTATACTATACACCTGAGCATTGCAACTTGTAAATGGTGGTCTCTCTTTATTTTGGTGGAAAAAACAACATGTTTCAAATGGTTGCAAAATGAACTTCTTTTTTGTGGCAGCCCTGCTTTAGTAGGTTGCTTTCTGCTCCCCTGCTAAAAGTTTGGCTTTTAGTGATTTAGTGAAAACCCATTAGTTAACAAACAGTTAAAGTCCTAACATCCCTTGGCAAAATGCAACAAAGTTTAGTAGGTGGCTCACTTGTAGACTTCCACTGAGGCCTTTTCAACCGCTTCGCGCGGCGGACTGGGCCAGCCGCCGTCATGAAGACCGAGTTGATGGAGCCGTTGTAGCTCAGAAGCCCGGCCCTGGCGAAAACGACACGCGCAACACGCGCAAAACGGCCCAGGGTAGCCCCCGGCCCCAGAATCCGTAAAGGGAAGCTAGACTCAACAGTCCAAATTCAGTTTGGGCATGTTTGGGGCGATTCTCCCAAGGTTGTGGGGCGAGTTCCCGTTTTTTACGGGTAGTTCTTTCGGGTCCATGTACCCAGACCTGCCAAGGTCTTGATGTCTTATGTGAACACAGAAACAATCATTCACACACACACACACAAACACACGCACACGCGCACACACACACACACACACCCCACACACACACACCCCACACACACACAACACACACACACACACTACACACACACACACACGCCACACACACACACACCCCACACACACACACCCCACACACACACACACGCACGCACGCACGCACGCACGCACGCACGCGCACGCGCACGCGCACGCGCACGCGCACGCGCACGCGCACGCGCACGCGCACGCGCACGCGCACGCGCACGCGCACGCGCACGCACGCACGCGCACGCGCACGCACACGCACGCACACGCACACGCACACGCACACGCACACGCACACGCACACGCACACGCACACGCACACGCACACGCACACGCACACGCACACGCACACGCACACGCACACGCACACGCACACGCACACGCGCACGCACACGCACACGCACACGCACACGCACACGCACACGCACACGCACACGCACACGCACACGCACACGCACACGCACACGCACACGCACACGCACACGCACACGCACACGCACACGCACACGCACACGCACACGCACACGCACACGCACACGCACACGCACACGCACACGCACACGCACACGCACACGCACACGCACACGCACACGCACACGCACACACACACACACACACACACACACACACACACACACACACACACACACACACACACACACACACACACACACACACACACACACACACACACACACACACACACACACACACACACACACACACACACACACACACACACACACACACACACACACACGCACGCACGCACGCACGCACGCACGCACGCACGCACGCACGCACGCACGCACACACACGCAATAAACTCCCTGTTCTCGCCAGCTTGCGTCTCTGCAACGTCCTAGCTACGTATCATAGGAAATGGCTCCATCACATTTGGAAAGGCTATCCCATTGTCACTGTACACCGAGTCTATCTGCAAGTTGTATCAATGTCAACCACCAAAGGGATTGATGAATCGTCACCATGGATACTTGAGTGTTCGATCAAGTTAGTAAGTAGGTTACAACCATGGTTATAGCTGGGGCAACTGGGGATAGTCCCCTCCTAACCATGGGTATAAGCCACTTGCTAAGTTGGTTGAACACCCCAGCATGGATCAGCTCGTGTTGTCCGGTCCCGGGCTGTCCGCTCGCCATGAGTTGCGTACAACTATGCTTCTGAGCCAACATCCCTTGTCATGCCCAGTGGATCCATTTACTTGGTTTGGCAAGGGAACCACACTTTAAGAACCCAAAGGATAATAGCTGGTGACCTAGGCTGGCCTTGCCTGTGATCCCCTGGGATGGTCAAAGCTAAAGTTTGCGAACTTGACGCACTGAGTTGGTAGGTGGTTTATCTGAATCTGTGTGTTCTTGATAGGTGGTGTCAACATGGTGCTGTCCGCGCACCGGAGCTAATGACGCTAACCACCCCAAGTCAAAATGGGCCCAGTGGAACGCCTTGGCTCACAAACTCATGTGCCGCTTTTCTGCTGCTTGGGGCCCGCCCACCGACGCCAAGTGACATGGGTGCTTCCTCACATTTGTTGGAACTCATGTAGGACAAGGACTCCACACTGACTCTGCAAACAAGGTTGCACCCCACCTAGGTCCTCCAGTAGAGAGGTTAGAATAAGGGTACCCTTCTTTCTGTAGTCTATTTTAGTAGGGGAACCCGCCCCCGAAAAAGGGGTGAGTGAGAACGGGCACTACTGGGGGACCTAGCCAAAAGTAGTCACGTTTTGCTGATGAGGTTCTAACGTGGTCCCAGTTGTTCAGTGACCCTGGCAGCAAAAGGGAAGGGGGATGAGCATCTTTAGGGGGGAAGCCACCAAACAAGAAGGGAACACACGTGCCACTGAACACTCCAACATGGGTTAAAGGTGGCGCCCCTTCTATGGCATTAACTACCTGCACCCTCAAATTCCTAAGCATGGGTTCTTGCAACCCACATGGTTGGTGAATCCCCATGTTTCTGGCTAGTTCAGGCATGCATCCTTTCAGGAAAACATGTTCTCAAGCAGATGGCAGGTTCTGACCTGGGTTTTTCACGACTTCACATGGCGGAACAGCCCACTCGGAACTCGGAGTCCGGCCTATTGCGCGCCTGCAGGACCTCCTTTGGGGCCTGCGTCAAGGCGTCAAGTGAGGGCCAGTGCGTCGGGACGTCTGTGCTTCCACCCTGTGCTTCCACCAAACGGCACCAAAGTGTTTTGTTGGTTTCCTTTTTGGTTTCCCTCAGCCACCAAAAGGGTAGCCTCCCCAACAGAGCTGTGTACCAAGCTTCTTCCCGTGTTTAGAAAAAAAAGTGGCTTCGCCAGGAAAGTGGCAAATGATGGCAAATGTCAAAAAACAAAAAAACTACTGCAATAGGAAGGGCTTCTACTTGAATCCGCAAACTATGCTTAAAAAGGGTGGAATTCATCAACCAGAGTTTTGCGGCGATAACCCTTGTTTGAGGGATTTTTTAAGGGTCCATGAAGTTTCTATAGTAGAAAACCAGCCCAATTAATACATGAACCAAAGTAGAAAGCCCTAGTTGCCTTATACTATGCCGGTTCCGGTTTGCAAGTGGTTCATATCTTCGAGTAAGCTGCATCAAGTGGTGATATAGAGTGTTTGACCTATTGCGGGGCTCTCGTGCTGGTTACTCCTTATTATCGGTTTGCATTGTTTTGGTTTCTGGCGAACCGTGTTCGACTCCAGGAGGTTTAGGCCGCTTTGCTTGTATGGACATTGCCAGCGAAAGAAATGTCTATGGTCGTCAAGTACCTAGACCCTCAAACTACACAGAAAACGGAATTCTAGCCCTAATTCTGGGATATTTTGGGGCAATACCCGATTTTTAGAGAAATTATGAGGGTCCGGGTACTCACTCCTCATCATTTTGTGAATGCTTCGAAAACGGACCGGCCCAATACTAAAGTAGTATTTCCCCCCCGCTGTCTATACAACCCCCTTAAAGTCATATTGTCATTGAGTGAGATTTACCCGGCAAAAACCCGAACTTTCGGAGGGGACCTTAACAAGGCAGTCATTCAACTACCCTCCGAAGAGAGAGTCACAACCAAACCAGCGAGGCTGTCAAGTGTGCGTGTGTGAGTGGGGTTCAGCAAAAAACAGGTACAGCTCCCGGCTCTGCTTCAGCCCAAGCCCTTTGGATCCAGGGAAGCAAAAACCAAACATCCAAAAGAAAGCCCAAGAGCACCCACGTGTTTGTTGGTAGACGAAGGAAGCGAAGGAAAAGGATACCCGGACCCTCAAAACTCCCCTTAAAATGGGTCGCTGCCCCAAAAAATATGGGTAGTTTGAGGGTTCAGGAACCCCAAAACGCCAAGTAATGTCTTTTGCGTGTTAGACTCCCAAGAGGACACCCCCACCAATAGCCTCTGGGTACCCTGCCCACCTTGGCGTCAAGGGAAGCCAAAAGACAAATCCCTCGATGTTTCACACCGACCCATTTTAAGGCGCACAGCGTGTTTTGTTCTTTGCGGCACACTCTGCTGCGTCCACGCGGTCCAGTCCATGTGGAAAGCCACCCTTTCTGTGAGAACCTCCTATGACCGTATGACTTAGGGGATCCCACAGGAAGAAAATGGCAATGGTCCCTTAATAAGACCTGTTCTGCAAACAATTATTTGGGGGAAATTCGTTCACACCTTCAGCTAAATGATCGGAATCCTGACTTGTTGTTCTGTCGAAGTGCCCCTCAACCCACACTCTATGTACTCCGGCGCTGCTCCCTCTGAATTTGGGTGTGTCTTTTTTTAGGGGACCCCCCAATTGGTGGTTGTCCCATTGGTTTCCTCTAACTTACATTTGCTTAAGCCAACTGAAAAAAACGTTCCCAGTAGCGAAAATGGTTTCCCTTTAAAGCCAAGAAAGGAACCCCAACCCAAAGAAGCTTGAAAAATGAAAAATGCAAACGAAGAACCTGGCTTTGAACTTGTTGGTTACCCAAAACACGGCTTTTCAATTAAACACATGGTTTTACTTAAAAAAAAAAAGTACAACAACCGTACAACACCCGTACAAAACCCATACGTTTGTATGCTTTTCCAAAAGCCGTGTTTTCCCACGAAGAACCGTTTTTTCTTTTTCTTTGTGTTTTCCTCTTTTTTTTCGAGAACCATTAAAATAAAAGGTTCTTGGAGTAGAGGGGATTCGCTAAAAGAAACAAACTACAACATATTATTTTCAGCAAATACCCCCTACTCAACATACCCGCTGTTTTTCAGGATATTCTTGGCAAACCTGGTTTTCCATGGCAGATACCTCCTTTTTAGTAGAGGGTCGACATGATACCCTGAAAAAAGCTTGGGTATTGGAGTAGGGGGTAGAAGTCAACAAAAGACGAGCCACCCACTTGAACAGGGATCCTTACATTATACTGCCTTGTAAATGGTGGTTTCACTTCATTTTGGTGGAACAAGCCATGTTTCAAATGGTTGCAAAATGCTTGGTTGCTGTTGACCCCCCTGCAAAAAGTTTAACTTTTTGGGGGGTTTAGTGGAAAACACCTGAATCTCCCACAAAGTTAAAGTCTAAAGATCCAACCCAATAGCAGTCAATAATGTATCTTTTAAGGAGCCCTGTTGAACCTCCCGTCTGTCCATCGCCTGCAGGGCTTCCAAGCCACAGGCGGCATCCTCAATGTCCGCGAACTGGCCACTTCGCTTTTCGCCCGGACGAATGCGCGGATGGATTTTCCGCTTCGCAGTAACCAACACCTGGAGGGGGGGCACCCCTGAAACCGAAAGAACTACCCGTAACAAAAACAGGAATTCACCAAGGTATCCAGGGGTTGATTGCTTTTCGATTCTGTTTCACTATCGTTTGTTGTACAAATCGAGCGCTGTATCCCCAGGCGTTTTTGGTGATCCTGGCAGTTCATAAAAAGGGGCAATGCACAAATTCCATCATTTTGAGTTGCATGGAATTTTGAGGGTCCGGGTACCCAAAACCCATGGTAAAGAATCAAAAGGCCGGAAATCTGCACCTGAATTTCTGGTTGGGACTGTCCCTGCGGCTTTACTTGTCTGGGTTTTGATTGGCTCACTCACCAGTTTCCTCGTAGTTTTAAGCTAATCCATCTACCTGGAGTCTACCACAAAAAATCAGGGAATCCCTGAAGGAAAGCTCTCAAACGGGCCCGGACGGCGTTTGCCTGAATTGGGAGTTTCTGAAAATGGTAACTCCCCATGGTTGGTGATTGAATAGGAAACCACCAGGAACCCAACCACTATATGCGACCCGATGTTGAGAAAGACAGACTTGGCCTTGGCAACCGTTTTCTGATCCCCGGCGAAAAGTCGACAACTTGTCGGTTAAGTCACCAACCAACAACCAACTAAAAACCACAAGAAAACACAGGAACCAGAGGGACTGGGAACAGAAACCACCTCTGAACCAACTAAGTGTCACAAAAACATCTACCTGAACCCCCGAACTCCGTCGGACCAAAGGGACTCTGCCGGTTGAACCAGCCGCCTGTGGCCGTGGCTTCCTAAGCCGCATCAACGAATCGCTCGCTCGCTCGCTCCACGTGCGCGGGTTTGCTCGCGCTCACGCGCTCAATCTCTTCGGCAGAAGGGTTCCCATCTTCTATGGGAGCATCTCCAATTGAACAACCCCACTAATGGCCTGTTGTTGTTTGAAACAAAAATGCAAAACAAAACAAAAAAAACATGGTGCGTCCAATAACCCCATTTTGGCCTGTTTCTTTGGAAACAGGCCAAAAGGAACCATTGTGGCCCCAAAGCTGCACCTGCCCTTTCGTGGCGGTGTTGTTGCCGTTTTTGCTTGTGCCCACAAGCTGTCCATTGGGACTGTAAACCAACCAACCAACCAACCAACCAACCAACCAACCAACCAACCAACCAACCAACCAACCAACCAACCAACCAACCAACCAACCAACCAACCAATGCCGCTGTCGCCTGTGTGGAGACTGGGCTCTGCCTCACCACGAAGAGCTCCACGTCCTGGGCACATCTTTCGCTCGCTTCGGACGAGCCCTCCGCGGCTTTTCCCTCGCAGAAGGGTTCCCTCGCCAAGGGCTCCGGGAAGTTGATCCCTGAAATAAAAAGCGGGAAATATTGCAACCCAAAATGAGCTGCTTGGTGAATTCCGAGATTTGTTCATGGGTTCTTTCGGGTTCAGGCACACTGATGGACAAACTGCTGCACCACTTTGAAACCATGGAGTTGAAACCAAAACGTTTGGGACGGTACTTGGAGGGCATCATATATCCTTCTGTTGGGCTTCTAAGCAAATTCCCCTGGAGATTCCAACCAACCATTATCTCATGATGGTTTCCAAGACGTGCGAAATGGAGTTCGTCCACAGCATGGAGTCTCCCGACCCTTTGGTGGTACCCAATGTTGGGATTGGTTTTATGGGACTCAGTTGGATTGGTTCATTGGTTCCTTTATGGGTGTGTCGTTTTTGGAGGCTACCCCCTTTTTTGGTGGTTTCAAAGGGAAACCACACGGAACACCGTTGCGGCCGTTTTTGGGGTCCAAGTCTTCACGCTTTCCTGGAGTCTCCATGACCTTTACAATGGTCCACGGCCCCTTTACTTTGGATAATAACCCCATTTTCTAAGGGTCATGGAGACTCCAGGTAAGGTTGGACCCTCCCAAAATGGCTTCGGCTTTCCCTCAACACCCCACCAAACAAGGGTTTTCTCAAAAAAAAGGAAAAACAAACAGACCCCCTTTCTGGGGATGCTGTGCACGGGGTTCACTGGATATCCGCGAAGCAACTGTTGGTCAACTTCCTGGCAGTTTCACCTTGAAATCCTCACCTTTGGAGGTTCGCTTCGCGCGGACCTGCTGGAATCCCCGTCAAAAGCCTTGCAACATGGGATCTGAACAACCAGAGTTTCAGAGGGTCAGAAGGAGACTGCAGGATGGCCCTTTTTTGGGGGGCGTGAAGAAGACAGGGCCATCTTTTGAACCAAAGACAAAGGGATTTTAGCAGGTGCTCTGAACAGCTGGCACCAACATAACTAGGTCCTCCAGTAGAGAGGTTAGAATAAGGGTACCAACTTTTTCTGTGGCCTATTTCAGTCGGGGAAACCCTCCCAACCAAACAAGGGGTGAGAAAGGGCAAACTCATCCTTTTCCACAACCATTGGCCTGGAAGGCTTTGGAAGACAGCCGTCCTCTCTCGGTTGCTTTCTGCTCCCCTGCTAGAAGTGACTAACTTTTAGTGGTTGAATGGAAAACCCAAAGCCCATTAGTTGGCAAAAAGTTCACGTCCTAACATCCCTTGGCAAAATGCAACAACGTCTTGAAAATACGGTTGTCCACTTTCATGGTTCTTGGACCAAGGGTGCCCTTTTGCGGTTCGGGGGGCAGTTGAATCGACCCAACAAGGCGTCCTTGACCACTGGGGGTGGTTAAAAGGGACATCGGTATGGCCGCGGGTCGACGGGAAATTCAGCAAAATGGTCATTATGCTAAGTTAAATATTTGTACCCTAGCGGTTCATACCAGAGATTTATAGAGGTCCAGCAGGTTTGCATTGTGTATGATACCTGAATGCATATCTCCCTAAGCATCATTGGGACCCTCCCTTGGAGCCGTTTCCTGTTGTACAATGCTGGAGTGGACCCTTGGGATCTCGGTCAACAAGTTGCAGGCCTGGGGATCTGGGGTTGACTAGCGTCCTGCCTTTGCGAGCCTTGCGTAGGGCATGTGGGTGAATTCTACTTCCCCAAGACACTTGCTGGCGCTCAGAAGGGAATGAGGGCATGAACCAGATATTTCCCCTCAAAGGAAACCACCAGTGGGATGGTTTGTAAGGGTCATTCCAATTCTCATTCCCTGCCTGTCACACCGGCAAGAAAATCAGTCTAGGTCCTCCAGTAGAGAGGCTAGAATAAATAAGGGTACCCTTTTGCTGTAGTCTATTTTAGTAAAAGTTTTCCTCCCAACCAAAAAAGTTGGTGAGAAAGGGCACCTAGCTGGGGGACCTAGCGGAACCTGCAGCCTTTTACTGCCATCCGGGCATGCTGGCGGACCTGCACTTTTGAGAAGCCAAAGCAGAGTCGTGATCGGAGCAGGCCTTTGGTCTTCGACTTTGGTCCTACTGTGGATGGCTGGATGGCTGCGAAATCCGTTTCGCAGCACGGCACGAAACCATGGGACAATTGGTTGTTGGTATTTACAGGGAATCATCATTCCAAGGCTTCTTGGGTGTTGCGAAATGGATAAGTATACATGTTCCCTCAACAGTGCAGTAGCACTACATATTCTTAAGCCAACAGAATAAATGAAACAGCTAAGCGCTGCAGGCCTATATTAATATGTACATAAAAATAGAAGGAATCATATGATATACCTAGTGTACATATATATATATATATATATACATGCGCGATTGGAATCTGTGACCCTAGACCACCTAAATGAGAACAATCTTGTCGCGCCTCACACTCCCAACTTTCTCTGCCCCCCCCAAACCAAAAACAAAACAAAGAAACAAACAAAAACAAAAAACAAGAACCCCCCCCGCCCCTCCCCTGCTCCCCAAGCCGACCGCCCGCGCGGCCGACCGCCCGGACCTCCGTGATGTCCCCACGCTCCGCGACTTTGCTGGCGCAGTCCACGTCCAGGTGCCGGCAAAATCCGATGAAGACCTGAGCCAGCGGTGGGTTACTTGGGTCACACACTGAATTCAATTAAGTTGCTTATATAATATGTGGGGGTTGATCAAAAGATATCTGGAAGTATAGGAATGGTATTTATCATATTGTTCTTTTTGTTTTCTTATAGAGTCCTCTGTAAACATGGTCAATACAGCAATAGAGGATAACTTGTTGCCAAAGTGGACGTCAACAATAACTATTGCGACTTTTATATTGGGTCTTATGTGCGTTCTTTCTAACATATCTGTAGGAGGGTGGAGAATAAGTCCTGGCCATCGACGTGTTCGTTTTTGTTCCTTTGGCGGGGACTTCAGAATGTTGACCCAATATTGATCAAGCCCGGGCGGATTTCGGACATCTTTTGCAGCATGTGGCCAGCTCTTCTGCTGGTAGGCAGCTGCAGATCCTCCGGATCAGCGACTTCTCGACAACCAAGGCTCGATCCTCGGGTTTAGTGGGGAATCAGACCACTTTTGGAGGGGCCAAAAGCCACCCTCTATGAATAAACTCGGGTTGAGCAATATAGGGTCGACATTCATTGAGTAGGTTATACCCAGGGGATGATCACCCCAGTTCCCCAACTGCAAGCATGGTTGTAACCTGCTTCCCGGACGTTGGTTGAACACCCAATCACGTTCGCTAAAACGTGCGAAGGCACCCTGTTCCGGTGGATGTTAAAATGGCTGGTTCCCTCCTGGTTCGCCTTTAGCACCAGCCCAAAGTGGGTTCCCCCGCACAAAGGGAGACTGCGGGTCTCCAGACATCTCCCCTACCGATAGAGGGAGAACGGGGTGGGGTGTGGGTGGCCATAACTTGAAAAAAAACTGCCAGACATCGACATCCCCCCCCAGAGAACCCCTGCTAAAAGTTTAACTGTCAGTGGTTTAATGGAAAACCCAAAACCCATTAGTTGGCAAAAAGTTCACGTCCAAACATCCAAGCAACATGCAACCACATATTTTTCAGGGGCTGGGAGGATTCCGGACCAAGCCCGTGAGTTCTGGGGCTCAGGCCGGATCGCAGACACGAGCCAAGAGGTTCTCCGTACCCAAGATGTGCAAGCACTCCACCTGAACCCGAAAACTGGGATGGTGCAAGATGCAGGGAATGAGAATTGGAATGACCCCTCTGTCAACCCTAAACCCTAGTGTGGATGGACGAAATCCATTTCGCACCACCTGATGAACTCTAGAATGATGATTCGGCGTTTTACTAAATCGAACTTATTCAATACATTCATTAGTCTGTGTACCTTACACTAAGTTCGGCGTATTCCCCTGTAAATGCTAACAAGAAATGGCTTCCCATGCTTGCAAAGTGGTGCAGGATTTTGTCCATCCACAGCATGGTTTCCTTTATTGGAATCCCTGCGTTCAATCCCTCATTCCATGCTGAGCACCAGCAAGAAAAGCGTCGACCCCGGATCGATCGATCTCTAGAACCCGTCCTATAGCTCACTTCCGATCGATGTGGTCACCATGAAACATGGGTCTTTCGAAAAAGTTCAGAGTCCATGAACTGAGGGAGTGCGATGTGTTGTTGCAACCCCAATTCCCACTCAAGGACACTCCCCGATGAAAACGATCGGGGCTTTTTTTCCCCGGATTCCCATTCCAGTCAAGCTATCACTTCTGACCTCAGTTGACTGGCAAGTTATTTGTTTTGCTGGACGTTCTGAAGAAACCAGCCAAGAGAAAGTCTGTCAACTGGCGGCCCCTTTTAGCCCGGCCACGAAACGGAGCTTAATGACCCAGCAGACGTGGCTTTCAAGCCCAAGGCTCCCGCTTTTGGGCACTCATGGCTCAATGCCCGCTTTCAGGGTCTGGAAAAGTGTGCAGCGGAGCACTCCAAGGGCTACGGGGAAGTTGATTCCTTAAAGAAAACAACGGGAAATATTGCAACCCAACATGAGCTGGTGGTGAATTCCAACTTTTTCATGGGTTCTTTCGGGTTCAGGCACACTATGGATGGACCGGATCCTGCACCACTTTTTTCCGTGTTTGAAACCATAACGTTCGTTGGTTTCGCAACCATCCCCTCCAGTTGCTTAAGCCCCCAGCAAAAAATATCGAAAATATATCTAATGGTAATAGATTCCTTTTAAAGCCAACAGGGGAAAACAAAAAGAGTCTTAAGCAAATGGAAGATCCAAAATCGGAAAATCCAGAGACACCTTCTCTTTTGGGATGGGGAATTCCTTGTCGGTCCGGTTCTTTTTGCGCTCAGCGTCCGGCGCCCCGATCCCGGCACTGCTCCAGCGCCGAGGAGCTGGCCTGGGGCCCGTTCAAGAGGCTGAACCTTCCATTTGCTTAAGCTGGGCTGTTCAACAAGGGTTGGCCAATCCTAATCCATAATCCCTGTAGGAAAGCCACTACAAAGGGGACCCCCGTAACCCCAAATAATTAAGGATTACCTTTGAAGAGCCCAGTTAAGACCCCTGGAGTGTGGAGTGTGGTTGGTGTGGGTTGCCACTTGAAAAACTGGAAATCGAAATCCCCCGCCTTTGCTTAAGGGGTCAAAATCCAAATCCACAGTGCCCAAGGAAAGTCGAAGTTGTCTCTGGGCTAAAAAGTCCCGGGCCCTATGTGATATCCACTCGGTTCGACTTCCTCCCACATATGATGCCATGGGTCAAAATCCAAATCATACCCCCGAAACCCACTAAATTCGGTCCTAAAATGGGTGAATTCACCTACCAACCAAAATGGGATCCCAAAACGGTTTTGACAACCACAGCCATATGGCCCAGTGGTTCTTTGAACCCTCAGAACTTGGTTGACATTGAAAGAGGAGCTAAACATTTGAAATTTTAGCAGTTAAGTGGATTTGGATTTCAACCACTAAACAACAATAAGCACAAAGGTAAACTGTTTCCCAAGAACAACCATGATAAAGTCCATGAAATCGTTTGGCTGTGGGTCCAAAATGCGTGCCCAACATGGCTTGCCCTGCTAAATGGAAAAAAAACTATATCCATGAAACAAATGAAGATTGCTTTAAAAGATTGTTTTAAATTAATCTTGTTGAAAGAAGATTGCTTTAAAGACGAAGATTGGTTAACCAATACATTTAAAAGAACTTGTGTTCGCGTCGGAACGGGAGGTAAAATTCTCAAATTTAGCAGTTAGGGGGATTTGGTAAGCAACAATGTAAAATGCCTCCCAACAACAACCCTCACAAAATCCATGAAACAATTTGGAAAGGCAAATATTGTTTAGACAGATTCCCTGAACAAAATGGTCTTGTTTTGTAAAACAACTAAGAATCCCGAAGACCCGAAGACCCAGCCTTTGAGTGTTTGTTGGAATGTACCTGAACCCTCAACATGTCATGTCATTTCTTTGGCCATGGCATCATGGGAAGGGAGGATATGCCTACCTGGACTCAATCCAAGTTCCAACAGAAAAACGGGTTCTTGCAAGTCTATGCAAAAAAAACACACACCGATTTCACGAGAAACGGATTCCCTCAAAAGAAGCCATGAGGAGTGGCTCACTTCGGGATTATGCCCTCCAGCAAAACAGTTCCCCATGTGGAGGTTTCTTGACTTTGAACATCTGGGTATGTATCAAATCCCTTGAAACCGTAGTCCCTATACAGTTCCCCTTTTGGTGGTTAACATCACCGTTGGGTTGCCAGTTTGATATTGGGGGAATGGCTTAGAGAAAAACATATAGCCTGTAGATTCATTCTCCGGCCTTTTCCTAGGCGGTTTGATTATCTGGTAGTTTTGGGTGTGTTGGGCGTCCGAAGTGATGTCTAGGATTTTGGGCGCAAACAGGGGCAAATTCACGACCGAATCAACTGAATGCAGGAGTTTTTTGTAGTTTTAGGCGGCTTCACGAACAAAAACAGCAAGACATAGGAAAAGCACGTCAAAGTCGAGACAACTGCCAGAAACTTGGAGAATGAATCAGGAGAGAGCTTCGAGTGATCAGCTGGGTATCGATGGATTTGTCCGTCGAGCAAAAGCTGAGACCGAGTCATAGGAATGTGTCGCCTTCGGGACTTCAGACTGGGTCCATACCGAGGGTTTCGCGAAATCCGCGAGTCTCGCACCCAACTGGGCTGTCCTCAGATCCCCCACTAGTCGACAAACATTTCAGTGGGTTAAATGGCAGCCCCCGCTAAACCCTAAACTGCTCGAAAGCTAAGGGATGGCTGCAGGCTGGGAGCCACCAAGCTAAGTAAGCCGATTACAACGAACCTGGTTGGTTCATGTGGTAACTGGGTTTCGTCCATCCACAGTAAGCCACATGAATTGTAGGGCCCCATGCAACAGGGCTCAGCTTCCTTCCAAGTGCTTGGACCCCGATGGTTTGGTGGAAAAGGGATGGTTTTCCATTTACCCTCTACAAAAGCCAGGGACCCATTCAAGTCCCCAAACCACCTCACCAACCAAGGGTTACCTCAAGGCTGGCTCCAAGAAGGAAACACAAGCTCGGCTTGTGAAATGTCTCATTGACTTGCGACGATCCCAACCCGAAGATTCGTGCCACTTGCTCATATGGACCGAAACCACAACCACCCGTCAACGAACCGGCTTCGCATGGTAACCCTCTTGAGGCCGACCTTCTCACCTTTAACGCCGACTCCGCCCTCTGGCGAAAACAAAGAAGCATCGCCCAAAACCAGACGTGCAAACAACCCCCGCCCACTCCAAAATACCCGCTTCTGCCTGGAAAACCAGGCTCTCCACCCATTTTTTTTGTCAGGGGCTGACATCGTACTTCAACCAAATAAATGTTCAATATATATATATATATATATCCAAAGTACAAAAGCAGAGGTGACGTACCTAACAAGGTACTTGGGGTAAGGGTACTGCTTCATACTTGGACCCTTAAACTGCATGGGTATGTGGGTGGCTCTTCTTTCAGGATACCCTTTCTTTGTGCCTTTAAACGGAAACCGAATTTGAACAACCGAAGCCATTTTGGAGGGGGCCAATCCTGAAGCAGCCTTACAACCGCTATGAAACCAGGCAAGCCCCTCGATAAAACCAATTTGGGGGCTGCAGGTGTGTGGAGCAACAGCGCTTCCGGCTTTCTTCACTGGGTTGCTGGCCAATGCTCGCAGCACTGCGCCGGTGCCCCCCGGAGACTGGGCGAATTCTCCTCAAAAACGACGCGCCGGGTCATCCGCAGAAAATGGCGCTGCGTTTTCTGGCAAGCTCCGTGTGATCATCGACTCAGCATTGGTTGGCATTGATCGGTATCGGCATCGGTATCAGAATGAAAAACGGTCCCACTTAATGCCCCCCCAAATGGACCTTTCAAATGGATGCCAAAGAAAACCTTCACTCATCATTCATCGATTCATCATTGAGCATTGATTGGTGTCGGAGTCAGTCTGACCCATCATCATGACTGTCACGTCGCGCCATCATGGTATCGTACCCGAACGTCCTTCATTGTTGGCGTCCCTGAGCATTCCAAGCAAGCCAAGATGGGATGCATGATTAGAGTTAGGCCCAGTTACAGAATGCATATTTTATTGTTTGCTTCACATTGAGTTACTGGTAAAATCCGCCGACTCCAGTCGAGCGTGTAGATGGCAGTCCGCAACTTGGTCTTCCTTCGGATCTCTTATCAAAGCCGAAGGCTTTGGGGCTGCCATTTTTTGGGCATGGTGTGCTGGGTGTCCAAAACCCTGTAATTTTCCAGTGTTCTTGGGGCTTGCCTGGGTCTCTGGGGGGCGGGGTGTCCCCCGGACGCGCAGGATCTGCATCTCCAGCATCATCGGCTGCCTTGCTGCTATGAGTTTAGTTTGTCTCTCTTTTTTTTTGCAGATACGAATGGTGCTTTGCTGTTTCAAGCGATGTTGGAATCGGCCCGTTAGGGGTCTTGATGGGGCCAAGCGCAGTGATACGTTGAGGAACTGCTTGAATTTGCAAAAATGAGTGTTTTTTGCAATTCCCACCTGCACAGAGCAGTTACTGCGAAACATCCCCTGCACTATCGTGTTTTTGGAAGTCTGGTATTTTCTGCGTTACGTCAATGTTGTGTGCCTGAAAGTCTTGACTTGTTGGATGCGAAGATTGGGGTCTGTTCCTGTACGTTGTGTGGTTGCATCCCTTGCATTTCCAGCATCCCCAGCATCTGGCACATGTTTCCAGACTTAAAACTTGTGGCACTTTCAGACTTCCACGAAAAAGAAAAAAGGTCTTAAAATCCCTTGCACCCCACTGGCGTCGGCGGATCGCGTAGCGATTTCAATGTAAAATGTATCCTCTACCCCAGGATGGATCCTTTTGCCATTCGTCCAGAACATTTTAGGCAGCAGTCTCGCCTGGTGGACGTGACGGCGTGTCAAAAGTTTTGGTTAGAAGTTTAGCTTTTAGTGGGTTAATGGAAAACCCATTAGTTGGCAAAAAGTTAAAGTCCTAACATCCCCAAAATGCACCAAAGCAAATGCACCCTATGGAAAATAACGGATGAATCCCGGGAAACGGGAGAAAGCCATGTACAAAAGTGCATTTGTAAGAATGCCGTGGCATTGTTTCTGGAGCCGACCATGTGCGTAGCTGGGGCAAGCACAAACGACTGGTTCAACCTGGGAATCACAGTTATTACAACTCATTTTCCATGTTCCTGAACCCTCGAATTGCCCGGCCAAAATGGATCATCACATCAACTTGTTGGACTTAAGTATAATTTTCTTCCCAGGATCCACATTCCTTGGTTGAGTTCTCAAGAAAACCCCTCGCCCCCTCGCTCCATCTTTGTGGTGTCCCTTCCCCATTTCTGTGGGTTGCAACCCATTTCTGGGTTGCGGGTTGGACCTCTGGATCGTGCTGCGATCCCAACCTTAGGCTTTGGCCATGAGAAAACGTGGTGCGTCTGTCAATCGTGAATTCGAAGGGAAAAGAGATTTCCCCCCTCAAGAAACAACTTGTCAGGGATTGTTGAGGCGCAAGTAGGTGTCACTGTCTTTTTGCCTTTACCTGGTTGCTGTTGACCCCCCTGCAAAAAGCTGAACTATTTGGGGGTTTAGTGGAAAACACCTTTGTTTCCCGAAAAGTTAAAGTTTAAAGATCCAACCCAGTAGCAGTCAAGTTTAAAGCCATCCAGAAGCATCAAAAACAAGACGCACCCAAATGCTACTAGCAACTATGTTGGATTTCGCTCCGTTATCCTCCTCCTCGCAGGTCTTGCAACCCAAATTTCTGGGCTGACTTCCCTTTCTTACGGGTAGTTTTGAGGGTTCAGGTCCTTCTCTTTTGGGGGTTGATCCTCGCTTTAAAAAAGAAAAAACAACTACAGTAGACACAACATGGAAGAAGGGTGCAGTGTGGAACAGTAAGGTGGGTTATTGCACGGACCTGTGCAGAGGCAGTCACATCCACAGCCTCTGAATCCAAACTCCCTCTCCTCCCAGGCTTTGCGGCAGGAGTTTCGAGTTCATGTCCAGCACCGGGCCGACCTGGGTCCATTTGGGCTCAGGCTTCCACTCCTTGGACTGAAATGCAAAACTTGGAGCCCTGCCGTGCAGGCCTGCGTGCGCGGCCCATCCAGGATACTTGGATGACTCTTCCACGCCAAGTGGCGGGTCAAGTCTATTATTCCACCAATTTTTAAAGTCACCCCTGGGTGGCAGGTTAAAGGGACAAGACCCCCTTAGCTGACTTTGATAACCCCCCCCCAACAAAAAAAAAAAAAACAACAACAACAACAAACCAAAAACAAGCAACAACAACCAATTAAGCTCAGCTGGTACCTTGGAACTGCCAGCCTGAGACCCAGTAAAAAACAACAGGCGTCGACTCAGTGGGCCAACTACTTGGGCCCTCCAGCTTCTCTTCCTGAGGTCGATGGCCTTCGTAGGTTTAACAGCTACGGCCAAATTGGGCTGGCCCGCCTTCTGGGGAGTCGGTATGCCCGGCGGGTGGGCTGAAAGCTGAAAGCTGACCGCCGAGCGGAAAACTGTTGCGCTACTCTGGGGGGGCTCAACCTTTAAAAAAACACACACACCTGGACCCTGAAACCCAAAAGAAGCTGGAATTCGGCAAGCATCATGTTGGGTTGCAACACAGTAACCTCCCCCCCCTCCACCCCAACCAAAAAAAAAAAAGAACGACAAGTCGCCTCAAGAAAAAAACGCACCCAAAATGCGGTGACTCCGTGCCATACAGGAAAACGGATCGATCCACTGGGTGGATCGTTTTTTGAAGACACGGCGGCCGTGGAAAGACCAGGCGACCGGATCTGCCAAATCCCATTCCCAGGAGTGTGCCTCTTGGGGCTCGCTCCCCTCCCAAGTTGCCGGCTTTTTCCTTTCGACTCCCCCCCCAAAAACGCACCACTCACACGGAATGGGTACGTGTTCTTCTTTGACTTCCCTTGAACCCCCGCCCCCCCCCCCAAAAAAAAAAAACAAAAACAAAACAAAGAAACCATGGGTAGGAAGCCTCAACAAGGCAGACCCGCCGTGTCTCTTGCGTCCGCGACTTGGCTCTGCCTGAACCCAGCGAGCCGGAAGCTCAAGCTCCCGGCCGGCTGGTCGAAAAAGATCACGTCGCCGGGATGCAAGCCGAAATATTGATTGGCCTGGCGCCGTGGAAGCGCGCCAAAAATTGGTTGCAAAGTTCCCTGGTGCTTAAGGAAGGATTCATCAGCCAATGGCTACTAAGCTGCCCGATTTCAGATACCCCGCTGAAAGTGGACAACTTTTAGTGGGTTAGATGAAAACTACCACTAAACGCTAAAAAGCTGCAAGGCAAAGGAGATGTCTGGGAGCCACCAAGGCTAGAGGAGACCCTTTGCCACCTGGACATACAGGCTAGTCGCAACTCCTTGTGGCTTGCTTTCAAACGTAAACCCCCAAAGGCCACCCGGACCCAAACTCCCAACTTCTTAATAATGGGTTCTGGCAACCCAAAATTATGGCAACGGGTGACTTCTCGTTTTTTTTGGCCCACAGAGCAACAATGAATCTGCCAGAGAATCCCAGGCAAGCCCATGTAATGGGTCCCTAGCTATTTTCCGGTTGAATTCTAAAGGGTGGCAAGCCCCCACTGGGAACTGTTTACCATGTATGCGTGGACCCTCAACTACCCATAAACATGAGAATTCACCCCACGTCTTGGTGAGGGTATGGTGTATGTTTCGCAACTTTGCAGGGTTTTGTACTTCCTGGCTGGATCGCTTGCATTTGATAACTCCAACTCATGTCGACTCCTTTTGACAAAATAAACCTGTCCGACTGCGGACAAAATCCCACGGTCAATGAAACCACGGTTGAAACCATTGTTGGTCGGTAATTGCGTTGGGGAATCGAATCAGTACCGGTGAAGGAACTCGTCCACAGAGGGGTGGTCCCCTCTGAAGGTGATCAATCCCCAAAGCTAGGGACACCCCCCTAAACTGGGGCAGATTCATCCCCATCTAGTAGCTCAGATTCCCAGTGGCCATGGTTGGTCGACTTTAAAGCGGCTCTTCCGAAAAAAAGGAAAACAAAGGGCAGCACTGGGCAACTGGAGTAGGCAACCAGCAATTTTCCAAAGGGTGGCAAGCCCTGGGCACCTAGTATACAGTTAAATGGATCCACTGGGTCAAATGGAACTCAGGCTTGCCCGCGTTTCTCTTCGGAACTGGAGCGAGGGAAACATTGGACACATTTTTGCTCATTGTGGTTTAGTGGTTGAAATCCAAATCCACTGAGCTGCTAAGATTTGAGATTTTTTGCGCCCCTAACCCAACGTCAACCGAGACTTTGCCAACTCGGTGAATCAGTGACAAAGACATGGGGAATTTCTGGCCAGCCTGGGTCATTGAACATTCTTGCCACACCGCTGAGGTCGTTCTCAACAACAACCATAGATTCACCGAATTGGCAAAGTCTTTGGGCCACTTTCTGTTAGTGCCCCTCAAAGGCGCCCTGGACCCAAAAGCTCCAACATGGGGTTCCCTGCTCCAGATACCCCGTCCCCTTGTTTCCTTTCTCGGGGATTAGGTGAAGAACCACCTGTCTTCGACGGAAAATACCGTCTGTTTGATAAACCTCCATTTGCTGAAGTCCCCTGGACAAACAAATGTCCAGTGACTCATTCCCTTTAAAACAATCAGGGGAAAATAACACATATTCATTTCAGCAAATGGAAGTAATGTTGACCCCGGACTAATAAACCCCTGCTGAATAATAAAGGGGTGTCCCTCAGTTTAGTGGGGATTTATCACTTTTGGAGGGTCCCCACCCCCATATTAATAAACAGGGGTTGATTTATTCCCTAGGGTTCAACCCCCACTAAGCAAAGGTCGACACAATTCGGATGATGACCACCCTGAACGGGAAACAATGGTGGTTGTATGAACCCAACCATGGTTTCAATGGTGGTAATTTGAACTCCAGGGTATTCTTGAGCAAATGGAAGTACAGGCTTGACCTCGTCCCCAATCCCGCGGTTGCTCCGACTCGCCTCAAAATGCTCTAGGACCGCGCGGTGGGTCAAGCGGGAGGTCATCACCAAGACCTCGGAGTTTCCGAGCATTGGGCAAGGACACTCCGCAGTTCAGCATCCCTCCAATTGGTGGTTTGGTGGTTAAGAAGGGGATTCCCATCTACATATTTTTCTAGTTGGTGGCTTGGATTGGTGGTTTGGTCGTTAAGGACGGGCTTCCCAGCTACCCTCTACAAGAACCAGGGGTTCAAATCCGAATCCACGCCACCAACTACGGGATACCTGAGAATTGGCTGTTTGTTTCGCGGCGTGTTTCGGCGACCAAATACAACGAGAGACACCTCTGAGGTCAGGCCCTACATACTGTGGATGAGGGCGAAATCCGCAAATCTCGCACCACGAACTGAATGGCAAGAAGCCATAACGATTGCTGGTACCTGAACCCTCAAAATTCCCTTAAAAATGGGTTTGACCCCCAAATTTATGGGGTGATATCCCATTTTTTTTAGGTAGTTTGAGGGTCCAGGTAATTATTCGCAGGGGAATCCATCCACCTTCCGGGCTTTCTTAGGTGCCGGAGGTCGTCCAGTATTGAAAGGGAACCAGCTTGAAGCTATGCTAATACCGACTGTCCTTTTTCTGATCCTCTGCCACAAGTCGACAACTTGTGAGTGGTAACCCAGCCACTAAACTAACTCACCCAAACGCCCAAGAGCATGGCTGGGATGGCTGCGAACTGTCCAGACGGTTGTGGATGCGGTTGGTTCACCTTGATTTCAAATCAGAACCATCCCTGGAAATACCAGTGACGAGTCTTGCAGCTTTGGGTATCGTTTGTATACTTGTTACGTTTCCCTTGCGGTCTCTTCCATTCCCCCCAAGCCAAGAAAGATGGTTGCCGCGTTCCAACGCACAAGAGAGTCAGCCCAGAAAGACCCAAGGAGAAGGCGGGGGCCGTGTGCCAGAAACCCCACTACGGGGGGGATAGCGACAAACCTCATAGCCAGAGACAAGATAGGCGCGGTTCGCATATCGGGCATGGGACAATTACCATTCCCCTGGCGTGAAGGATCGCCCCATGTCTTTCAACCAAGGCTTTGTCCGGACCTCGCTTAGGCTGCATTCCTTTTGGCACTTCGCCTATAAACAGTTTCATGCCTACTTTTGTTTAAATCATAAGCAACAACTCTTCGCGACTCTGTGAGGAGGGCGCTTTGGGATGATTGAACATAACCTGTTGGCTTGGCACCCATCCTTTTCTAGGTTCTCCAGCAGACAGGTTAGAATAAGGGTATGAACTTTTTCTGTAGTCTATTGTAGTAGGGGAACCCTCCCCCAAAAAAGAAACGGTACAAGGGCCCCACTGGGGGACCCATCCTTTTGTCTACTGCTTGTTGACATATTCTGCTGGGACATGCCTTCGTCAGTGGGTCTCCCCAACTTTAGCTTTGCATGGCGCTTGTTGGCATAGCGAGTGCGTCCAGTACCACTATAGTAGGTAACGTGTGTCTCTATACCTGTAGGTTTTACATGATGACTTCCCCTGTTTACGTACCTAGGCACATCTTTTGAGGGTACCTGAGCCAACATGGGCTGTAACTATAGCTCCCAAAATTATGGTGGGTGAATTGGCATGGCTAGTTTGAGAGCCCCGGTACATCATCTCGAAAGAACTGCGATAGGGACTCCAGTTTGGATGTTAGACACTTTCCCTGGTGCTGACCTCAGCGGATGGCGCTTTCTCTCTCCGTACGCAGATGCTAGCAGTGCGAAGTCTTTGCCGGGAAGCCAACAAGGGGACAAAAGCAGCAGTGGACAAATTTTAAAATATATATATATATATTGTATTTTCCCGATGCCAACTTCTTGAGTGGATGGGCCGAAACAAAAGTAGCCCCAAACTTGCTGTTTGCCACTGAAATGGTCTAAACCAAGACGTGACTAGCGAAACGAAACTCAGAGAATGATAATGTGGACGCAGGATTTGCTCCACAACCCATCGAGTCAAATACAACAAACAACATCCTTAAGATTGTTACAGAGGATGATAAGCACAACGACCATTCCCAAGTAGGGATCTTTTGACCATGGAACACAAATTAAAGTGTACATATCTGGAGGAGAAGACCGGTGCCCACAGGTAGGTACTCATGGTATCCTCCTGGTCAATATGGATATCTGCCGTCCATGGACCCATTGTGTAAACATCTACTTGGGCTCCTGCCAAATGCTGTACTGTAGGGGAAGCTACCCACGGGTATGTGATTGGAACCTTGCACAATGTATACGTAAATACTATAATATGTTACACATATACACATATCAAGTGCACACATATCATGTACACATACATAGTATACCGTAATGTGGATGGACAAAATCCTGCACCACCTAAGAAATCCTGGAATCATGATTCCCTGCAAGTGCCAAGAAACACTAGTTTTAATCATGGCTTCATTTCACGGTGCAGGGTTTTGCCATCCACAGTCATGCTTCATTGTCACTATTGCTATGGGTACTTAACATGCTTCCAGGCATGGAACATGAAACATGTCCAAGAACCCTCCAACATACCTTTTGAGCATACCCCGTGTAAGAGGAATGATCATGGGATGGGGTATGCTCAAATGGTATGTTAGAGGGTTCTTGCAACATAGGGTTCGTCCGTTCGAGCAAACCAACGGCTTTGCCCCCGTCTTTTGCGCCGAGCTGCCGGGATCGCAATGCGCTTTGCCCATCGTCGGTCCTCAAGGCGAGTCCGAGGCTGGTGGAAAACGGGCACGGCCTGGAACAGAAAGCACGACCCGATAAAAAAACAAAGGGAACCAACCAACCAAATGCTTTTGGGCAATCACCCACTTTTAAGTAGTCTTGAGGGTCCATCCAGGGTACCTGTATACTTCCTGATTTCGTAGTAAAACACTGACTCTGCCTTGTGGCCCCTCTCACCGATAAATAGCAAACAGCGAAAGCCCATACCCAAACCCGAACCAGCACCAAACCACCCAACGACTGATTTCTCCCATCTTCCACCTGGATGCTTTTCGGGAAGTACTTTGAACATTAGAAACAAAAAAAGACTATTGTCGCAGGGTGCTGGAATGAGTAAGTTCTAAAATATAAACATGCGTACCTAACAGAAAACAACTTGGAGAAATGTCCAAATTGACGAATTCCAAAATTCACCGAGGGCAGGTGACGCTGATTAAGCCGGACAGCTACCTGGACCCTCAAACTACACCTCAGAACTTGGAGTAATAGCCCTTCTTTGAGGGAAATTTGATCTCTAACCGCAGTCAAAAGAATTGCACGTGGTGGGGGGAAAGGGAACTTCGAGGGTTCAGGTATACACCCTGTCTTCCTCGCTGGACGTATACCCACGTTCCGGGCAACGCCTCAAAGGGGCGACCAAAGCAATGCATTTGGAAGGAGTTTGCCAGGCGTTTGTTCGGGGAAGTTAGAGCTGGGCTGCCCTCAGATCCCCCGCTAAAAGTGGACAACTTTTAGTGGGTCAAATGGAAACTACCACTAAACACTAAAAGCCGGCTAAGGGGACGGCTGGGGGCCACCAAGAGAACTCAAACCGGGGAAATCACAACTGGAGACATCATGAGATCATAGCTTGGAATGAGATCCGCTCTTTGGGGAAATCGCATAGAAAAAGAACTCAAACGGGGCGCGCCTCTCATAATTCGCTGGAACCCTCATCCAGGGCGAGGTCGCGAAACCCCCTTTTTCCGAGGTCGAAAAACCCTTTCGCTCCGAAACATGCGGGCAACCTACTTTCCGTGGGATTACCGTGAGTTCCAATTTTATGCCAACAAACGACTCCGCGATGTTGATAGGGGTGTCTGTAATATTTGGAGTGTTCCATATTCAAGAGGTATCCAGGGTGCCAGTGTGTGTGTGTGTGTGCGTGTGGGTTGGACGTCAGTTTCAGCTACATCCCACCTGTGAAGAGTGTTTGTCTTTTTTATTATTCTTTTTTTCTGGGCAATTCCTATCTTTTAGTTGTTTCTGCTTTAAATGGGCTGACTTCCCCTTTTTCTGTTTATATACATATACACTTATTTCTGCTTTAAATGATCTGACTTCCCTTTTTTCTGGGGAGCCACTGCCCAAACCCACCGAACGAAGTTTCGGCCCTTCAACGCGCTCCCAACGCGCGGAAAGCTCCTCCGTGCGGCACAGCATGGCCACCCGCCGCACTCGCTCGCAGAGGATCCTCGAGCACCCGCACGGGTTGGCAGATGAAACGCAGAGCTTGGATTCGGTGGGATTCTCCGTAAACACAGCCAAAAAAGGGGGGGACCCCAACACAACACCTGCATTTATGTTTGGGTTCTTTTAAGGTGGCTCAACAAAATGTAGACCAACATGGCACCTTGAGAAATGGAACCAAAGACTGAAGCACGCGTAACCCCAGATCTTTAACTTTGAGCCACACCCAAATGAGTGTGTCTTGCTTTGAGGGCCCCTTTTTAGGCGAAAGAGGGAAAACGCATGTGTTGGGGGTTCTATCCTGACAAAGCGACGTGGAGTCAAACATTACTGGCCTGTTTGTTTGCTAGCTTGTTTCACACGCTGTCATATGTTGGGCTCACCATCGGCTTCTCTGCTCATCAAAGGGATCCCAGGGATCCCGAAAGGAAAAGGCCCTTGTAGCACGTAGGCCCAGAATTCAACAATGAAAAGGTCCCTGCAAAGAAAAAACAAACAAACAAAAACACACACACACACACAAACAAGAAAGCAATCATGCAACCAAACGAAGACATGCACAAATACACAAAACAAACAAACAAACAAACAAACAAACAATCAATCAACCAAGCGATCGATCAATCAATCAATCAATCAATCAATCAATCAATCAATCAATCAATCAATCAATCAACCAATCAAATCAAATCAAATCAAATCAAATCAAATCAAATCAACTCAAATCAAATCAATCAATCAATCAATCAATCAATCCATCAATCAATCAAGCAAGCAATCAATCAATCAATCAATCAATCAATCAAGCAAGCAAGCAAGCAAACTTCGAAGCAAAACAACACAAACAAACATACAAGCAATCACGGCAAGAATAGCTGGCTGGACTCAAAGGTGACAAGCATTTAGCCATGCCGGCTCAAAACACCTGTGCGATTGCGATCGGTTGAGCCAGCACTCCATGGGCGAAAAGCCGAGGGTGGTGGCAGCCGCTCAGCCGGCAGCGTTAGTTTGGGGTCAATGTGTTGCGCTACTCTCCAGCAGTTTACATCAAGAAGCAATTTGTGGATGAACCTCCTTTCGGGTGCCCCCCTTTTTGCGTTCCATGACTTTTGTAGGGGAACAATGTCATACTGTGGGTGAACGAGTCCATGTCGCACCACTTTGAAACCATGGTTGACACCACGTTTGTTGGTGTTTACTGGCTTTACGAAAGGGAATCGAATCACTTCGAAGGTTTTCTGAAAAAAACTACGACATAGAGTTTGCAACCCTCCGTGGGGTCTCTCAAAATAAGACCCCTGAAATGGCTCTTTTTCTTGGCTTCCCGTTGAAACCCCGCTGAACCCCAAAGAATCTCCCCAGGTACCAAGGTTCTGTGTTGCGGCTTCCCTCTTCAACCAATGTTGACCCAGGATTAATAAACCCGTTCCATTATTTGGGGTTCCCTCCAAAAGTGATGAATCCCCACTAAAAGGGACACCCCCCTATTAATCAACCAGGGGGTTATTAATCCGGGGTTAACATTACCAAGGTTCTGTGTTGCGGCTGCTTCCCTCAACCAACTGGGACCTGGGTGAGAGTTCTGGGACTCCGAGAACGAGCCCAGCTCCAACACCCCAAGACGTATATGCGGATGTGGCTGAGTTGCGCCACCTGCGAAGCCCTGCTAAAAGTGACCAACTTTTAGTGGTATAATTCGGAAAACCCATTCGTTGGCCAAAAAAAAAGAAGTCCTAACGTCCAAGCAGAATGCTTACCAAAGCTGGGGTCTTTGGGAGGTAGGCTCCCCATGGCGCCGAAATTTGACGGAGATCCTCCAGTGTCAGGTAGTTCGCCATGCCGAGTGCCCCAAATCCCTTTTGCACCACTTTGAAACCACGGGAAGCCATGGGATGTTGTGTTTACAGGGGAATCGAATCCTTCCGTTCGGTTTCTTAGGTGCTGCGATTTCTGGATTTCGCAACCATCCACACTAGGTAACCAGAGTACATCCTGGTTAAGCTGCTGGTTCCCTTAGTTCCCCACCAAAAAACTCTCTCGCCTTGACGCGCACTTAACGCATGTCGGCAAGGTCTTCTGGGTGCCTTGGCACCTTCGAAGCCGTCCTCAAAGTCTTCCCCCACGAGGAACTCAGTGGATCCCTTAAACCTGTAGGTCCTGTAGGTAACCAAAGGGTTGCCACCGTTTGAAAGACCAAATACGACATGGCGAAGGGCGAAAGGGCAAAACGCCTGGCATCCACTGATTGGAGGGTGCCTGGGAGGTATATTTTTTCGGGACTCTCGGTCAGGTGTCATGGCAGCAGGATATATGTGACCCAGAAAACGCCCCAAACCCCCCCCCCCCGGAAACCCGGTGTCCCGAATCCGACGATCCACCCGCTGCACGGAATTATATCAAAGCGAGTCCAAGCGACCGGCTCTAGTCCCTCTAGAGCCCGTGGCTGGATGATGCTTTTGCCGCTCTTCAGGTTTAGCGACCTCAAGAGCCGAGGCGCAAAGACGGGGCATATTTTGCGCACCCGGGTCTCGGTTTCTCTTCAACCGGCTTTTTTTTTCCTGAACATGCTGTGGAGGGATGCGACATCCATTTCGACCTTGCAGAAACACGGTAATTAGTTAGTTTCCACTGTTGATGCCCATAAACGACGGTTTCGACCATGGCTTCTTAGGTTTGTGCAGGACTTCGTCTATCCCCAGTACTGGAGGGTTCTGAAAATTAGTCTTGGGGGTGGTTGGCCTTTATATTCTGATGTGACTTGAATGGACCCAGTTGAAGAGACTGTTCTGTGGCAGCTGGTTGTGACCAATGCTCTACCATTCTGGTGTCCTGTATTGAGTGACGCTTTAAGCCTCTTATAAGAACCTCACCAGGCCATCTGAAGGGGGGTGCTGAAAGAAGCAGAACCCCATTTGAGGTGACGGAGGACTTGAAGTCTAATACAACCACTCAGGAAAAAGGTGCCACAGACCCTTCAGCTTCCCTCGATTTTTGGTGGGATCTTGGTGGCTACCGGGGGGGGGGGGAGGTTCAAATCCCCATTTCAAAAAGAAGGGGATCGAATCCCCAAACCGGTTGTGCGACGCATGGAATTGCAAGCCCTTTGAAGACGACATTAAAGGAGCACTCCCGGGGTTGCAGGCCACACAAAAATGAACCTATATATTTGGAACATGCCCAAGAAGAACACATATTATAGTGGGTGGCCATGATAGGGGTAAAATATGTTCGGCTCGCAAAAATTGCAAAACATGTCGAATTTGCAATTTCCCAGACTATAATGGTTCGACTTTCCTTGGGGTACATACTGTAGGTGGTTTTATCGCCGCGTCTGGCAACCCCCACGAAACTTGGCATCCCAACCCCAGCACACCGACATGGAGGGCTCCTTTTGACTTGGTTCGCTCCATTCGGCTTCAATTCTTGGAATAGGGGAACATGCATGAGGTTTTTTAGTGTAACCACCAAAACACTGGGCTTTGGGTTGTAAACCCAAGGCAGGGAACACCCAAAAGTTCCCTTTGGTTTCCCTTTGGTTTCCGGTTGGATTGTTTGCTTTGGTTTCTCAGATGCCTAGTGGTCAGGTGAAAAAAGGAAATCCTTTTTCTGGTTGGTTGAGTTTCAAGTCAGGGAAACCTTCCCGGAAAAAAAGAAAAGAACAAAAAAAGGACACAAGGAAGCAACCCACTGGGCAACTGGGGTTTCCCTCTAAATCACTCACAAAAAGGGGCACCGAGAAAAGGGGCAGCGAGAAAAGGGGCAGCGAGAAAAGGGGCACCGAGCCCCCGAATGGCACGGCGTCCCATTCGGCGCGCTGCTTCCCCGCCTGCAGGAGACGGGGCCGCCGAGGCGCCAATTGGCGCCTGGCCGACGCTTTACGGGACCCGGTCCCGGCCGGCCGCGTGTGGACCTGAGTCCATGGGCCTGAACAAAAGAAAGCACTGCCCATTAAAAAAAAAAAAAACGGTGGGAATCCACCGACCATTTTGCATACCTGGAGTCTCATGAACCCTTTTTAAACATGGGCCCATAACCCCGTTATTTTGGGTAATGACCCCATTTTTCAAGGGTCATGGAGACTCCAGGGAGGCCTGAATCCATCAAAAAAACGTGGGAATTCACCCACCAGAAGTTTGGGTTTCATCGTATGGGCCGAATCTCCAAGGCTTCCTTGCCCCAGCAAGGGCCCAAGGATGACAAATCCTGATCGGCAAAAATGAACTCCAGGGAACCCACTGCCCCTGCTGGTGACACCTTCCCTCCACTTGGTGGTTTGGATTGGTGGTTTGGCGGTTAACCCTCTAACGCCAGGAGGGGTTCAATTCCCCCAGCCACCATTCCAAAAACCACCAACAAAGGGTCACCTGAAAAGATGGGCTGAAGTTGCCCTGCTTGTACTCCTGAAGGCTTAAAAGCGAGGGTGCCCCCTACGACGTTATGAGTTCTGGGAATGCTGAGCCCTCATTGGAAAGGATCTATTTTCTCTGGAGAGCCATGATTTTGCTCTAGGATATCCAAGCAAGGAACACGGGGTGCGTTGGGCCAAATCTGGCAAGAGCACGCCTTGAGCGGTAGATAGAGATAGAGAACCTGGGAGTCAAATTGGCAGAGAGCTTTATTTGCGCAGCCTCGAATAGAACACATGCCAAAAGCAGTGACGCAACTTGGTTATGCCCTAGAGTGGGAAATGGAATCACTGAGAAACGCTCCGTGTTAACTGGAGGGGTTGATTCATCTGGGGTCAGCATTACTTTCACGCATCCCGAAGTAAAAGGTTACCCTTTTGGGGCTATAACTAAACAATATGGACCAAACTAGGGAAACCAAAAGGTCAAAAGGTCGGCTTAGGATTACCTGAGTTTAGGATGTGACAAATTCCAACTCAGGCAACCGACGCTCTGAGCCACGCCTCCTGCCATCAAAACCACGCCCACCTTGCCCAGGCGAATGGCCTCGCGGTCGAACAACTTGCCACGCCCTTTCTGGACATGGGTCCCCTTCTAGGTCCTCCAGTAGAGAGGTTAGAACAAGGGTACCACCTTTTTTTCTGTAGTCTATTTTAGAAGGGGGTTGCCCCTCCCCCAAAAAAGAAACGGTAAAAGGGCACTACAGGGGGACCTAGCCTTTCTTGTGGTTGTAATTTAGGGTTCCCCCATGTCCGGTGAAACACAAACCCAGTCCCCTGATTCTTGTGAAGTCATGTCCAGCGGGTTCCAGAGCAAGAACGTCGACCACAAAATGAGTCAATTTCTGAGTCCTGGGTGTCATTTGGCTAGAATTTTAAGAGGGACCCCCCTCCAAAGCAACTGGTGGACCACTTTACCCCCAAATGATGTCCACCAAAGGGTCCCTAAATCAAATTCACGGCCATTTCAAGATGGTTCTGCATTTGCGCGTTGGCTTTGGCGCGTGGAGGAACCAGGCAGGCGAACACAAATACGCGTGAAAACACGCGGTTTCGCGGGCGAGAGCCGAGCCAGCTACCCAGGCCGAACGCCATGGTTGACCGTGGGTTATGGGAGAGTGGGATGGTTCTAAGGTGGGGTTTGGGTTATATTGCGGCAGGTTTCGAGTTGCATGTGGCAATGGAATTGCTGGCAGGAAACTTGGGGAAGATGTGTGACGAATCTGCGCACACTTTTTTCACTGAGGGAAGGGGATGCTTAAGCAGCAATCCTTCACGGCAGACGTTTTGCCCATGTCCAGTAAGCTCGCCTATTTGCTTGTGCAGCTGCTGGTTCAAAGCTCAAATGCCGTTGCTGGCTGAAGAAGCAACATTTCGCGCTTTGGAACCAGCCACCACCACACCGCTTCAAACATTTGACAGGGACACCTTCTTCGTATCTTGCTCGAACACTCTGAAGGCTTTTGTAGGCTGCTGGCACCGTAGGTTGAAGCTAAATCAAGCAAACCGGGTTGAACTTGGTTTGATGGTTTATACCCACAAAACAAGTTGGTGAGTTCACCAACCCTAAGTTTGGGCTCCAACCCATGCTCAATTTGGACGCCCTCATCACAGGCATCCCAGGCCCCCATCCCAGCGCCTGTAGGCCAACCTTGCGGAGATGCATCACCTGCGGACTCTTTGCTGCGCCGGAGTGGCGTGAGAGGAGAACCAAAGGAAACACACCTTTGGGTCGAGTACGGTCTCTCTACTCGGGTGTGGAGAAGAGGCACATAATCAATTGAATATTAAACAAAACAAAAACAAAAAAACCATGGTGAAGCCGCCGCATAGGGAAGGGGGCATCCTACTCTAGATGCCCGGATTCCTGCACCACCATGTAAAACCACAGCTGAAAAAGAAAAGGAACCCGGACTTCCCTTGCAACCTGTCTCGGTTTTACCCGAGAATGGGAAAGCCGGAGACCCCCTTTAAAAATGGCAACCTCCTCAACTGGAAGAAAAACAAATCCAGGACTCGTCCCGGTCGACGTCCGGGAGAAATGGATCGACCCCGGCGCCCCGGCCTTGTCGTGCTGCGCTTCTTCGGAGGAGAAGACCTGGCGAGGTCGAGGCACGGACCCGAAAGAAACGGGACCCAGAAAAAGCTGGAATTCACCCCCCATGATTTTTTAGAATCGTGGTTTGGAATATGTCCCTTCTTAAGGTTTTTTTTCTTAGAATCTTGGGTTGCAATATTTCCCGTTTGTAAGCTTTGGTTGCAATCCCCCCCAATTGTTTCCCTTATTTGTAGAACCTTGGGTTGCAAACACCCGTTTTTGTAGCTGGAATTGTGAGGGTCCAGGCAGATAAGACTATCTTCTTCTTGGATACGTGGCTATGTGAAGAGGGTAAGTCCCACTTCAGGGACTTGACCTAACGAATCAAGGAGTGGTCATCCAAGGTGACAAGACCCCAAAAAACATGGGGGTCACTGGATTTCCCCAAATCACAAGTTGATCAGTTTTCTGGCGGTGTCTGAAACCAACGCCTCTTTTGAGGTAACATACAGCTGGAAATGGTTCGGAAGCCCTGCCGGAAATGGTTCGAAGGTTCAAACCCTCCAAATGGGCTGAAGGTTTCGGTTTTCGAAACAAGGCGCCATAAAGAAAAGGGCACTGTGAGAGGGCTTGCTTGGATGTTCAACCAACTCAGCAAGTAGGTTGCAACCAAGGGTATAACTGGGGAACTAGGGTGATCGTCCCTTTATAACCATTGTTATTTCCTACTTAGTTCATCCAAGTAGTGTGTCCCGTGATGAACTTGTTTCCTGCTCAACCAACCCATGGTTGTAAGCCAACTAACCCCAGTTGCCCCAGTTATAACCATGGTTGCAACCTACTTACCTGACGTTGGTTGCACATAGAAACTTGGTTCCTCAATCCCTTCCCAAATGTCAAACACTTTACGACATGTCAACCCGGTCCAAAAGTCTAATCAAAATCAAGCCCTTCTCAGATATAAGGTTGAGTGTTTAACCCTCCAACTACCAAGAATAGAAAAAGTGAAGTCACCAATTCCATAATCTTCAGGCAACCAGTTGTGCATTAATCTCGAAATTCCAGGCCCATGTGTTACGCCCAAAGTCCACCTGGCTGAATCAGCCCTCCGACGACCCCAACCTGCCCGGCGCTGATGACGTGGTCCAAGTCCAACTCGGCCCAGGGCACGGTGATAGGCACCGAGTAGCCATACCTGACGTCAGCTTTCCACAGGGAGATGTGGCCATGGGTCAAAAGCCAAATCGTACCCCCAGTGAACATCCCAATCCCCACTAAATAGACAACACTGGGTTGTGCACCTATCCCAAAATGGTGCCATTGGCTTTGACACACAGCCATGTGTTTCTTGTCCCGTGGAACCAACTTCGATTGGCAGACATGTTTGCTGAAGGAAAGGCGCTCGGAGATGTTTTGTTTTCCCTTGGGGAAAAAAGGGAAACAACTCTTCGTTTACCCCAGTTTTCTCTTTTTTGTTGGGACTGAACTCACAGTGAATCCATGGACGTCTGGGTCCGCTGACCTGTTGTTTGTCCGTGGGAAAGGGAACCGGTTCTTCTTTTGGGCAGATATGGCTGTGGGTCAAACATAGGTACCCAAAATGGAACCCTGGTAAGTGGCAACATGGACCAAAACCTGCGGTCCAATTCCTGGTGGTTTAATTTTGACCCACACTCATATGTATCTATAGGGGAAACCTGTGTGATTAAGGGAAAACGGAGAGCCTCAGGGAAAGGCTGAATGAAAACCACACTAGAAACGAAAAAATGGGAACCGACTCTTCTTTCACCCCCCGTGTTTGTTTGTCCGTAGGAAAGGAAACCAACTCTTCTTTTGGCAGCCATGCAATAGCAAATGGAAAGGCTCAAGGGGCATTTTGAACCAAGGGGATGCAATAAAAGGTGCACAAAGGGTATAGAATATGCCGAAATCCACTTTAAGGGTTCTGTCGATTTGGCTGGCCCGCAAAGTTTAAAACAATAACACATAACCCCCCCATTGTTTCGGCACCCATCATCAATATTTGAGCCTCGGGCCTAGGGTGAATTCATAAAGCAGAACATCCATTGACAGACTTAAACGCAGAGAAAATCTAATTTCGGGAAAATAGACACACCTGGCCTTGAGTCTGCCTTGGGGAAACACAGAGCTGGAGCCCCAATTAGTTCTGCAAAAGGCTTTTGTACGAGTATCTTTGTGCAGTTTGGTGGTTGGCAAGGATCCGGTAGGGCGGGTTGTTTTTTGCTTGCCTCGACTCCCAAGATTCGTGTTGGTTCCTGGAGGTGTATGCGTATACATTCGGTCGCTACTTCGCATTTGATGGCAAAGATTCAGCCAGTGCACATCTATCAGCATTTGTGCTTAGCACACGGAGGTTGCCAGAGGGTCAATGCAAAGAGTCAGTGAGGCTGGCCATTAGACCATCAGAACTGGATGGAGGAGCTACCCAACCCCTTCCCCCCCGCCAACCCCCTCCCCCCCCGCCCGAGCCACTGTACCCCCCGCACTCAAATGGACCGACTGAAAATGTATTCTCCGTGGCTTTGCTTGTTTTAAATTACACACACGGTGCTGCCTTCATGTCTTTGCTTGCATGTCTTGTTGGGGTGTTCAGCACCAATACGCGCACATGAACCTTTCAGTTTTGGGACCTCAAGACGTTTGGCTTGGGCTTGTTTAGTTTCATTCGGAATAAGGCAAATATGTAGCTACCTGCTCCCGAAAGAGCTGCCGATTCACCAACCATCCTATTGGGTTGACCCATTTTCCCATTGGAATTTTGAGGGCCCCACAGGTTTATTTGGCATCGCAAGGCTTCGGTTTCCCGGATCTGGCGGATCGCTGAAACTAACGTGGATGGACGAAGTCCGGTTCGCACCTGCAGAAACCCTACGGAATGATTCCGTTCCCCAACGAACATATCAACCATGGATTCATGTCGTGGAATTAGCAACCATCCATTCAACCCTCCAAAATGATGGTTTTCCTTTTCGAATCCCTTGGACCTACAAACAGACAGACCCAAAGTGTGGATGGACGAAATCCACTTCGCACCGCTTTGAAACCCAGGTTGAAGCCACAACGCATGTCGGCATTTGTGTTGGGGAATCGAATCATTCCGTTGGGTTTCTCAGTTCGGTGCTGCGGTTTCTGGTTTTCGCAACCATCCGCAGTAGTTTCCGTACTCGTCGAGTTTACCTCTTGGTCTCCCCTCGACCTCAAAACAGACAGACCCATTTTCTGAGCTGTCCTCAGATCCCCCGCCAAAAGCTTAACTTTTAGTGGGCTATGGAAAAACCCTCTAAACACTAAAAAGCCAAAAAGCTAAGAAACCGGATGGCTGGGAGCCACCAAGTTTTGCAGCCCCCTTCAGCCAACTGTCCGCCGGCGAAATCCGCTCCGCGCGACCGGCGCACTCGTCCGGCTCGATGTCTCGGTATCGATTCGCCGTGGTCTTCAGCTGGGCGCACTGGCGGCCACAGGTTGGATCCCGAGAAGTTCTGTCAGGACTGAAGGGGGAGTTTCAAATCAATTATATGTATATATATATATACACATATGAGTATATGCATATATATATGTACATATATATATATATAATATCGTTTACGTATACATATATATATATACATATATATATACGTATATATATATATATATATACGTATATATATATATATATGTATGTTTGGAGCGCACCCTTTTTTGGGGAGCTCGGACAAATGAACACATGTGCCTGGAGTCGCCAGGACCCTGCAAACATGGTTGGTCGTTACCCGACATAAAGGGGTCATGGACCCATTTTCAAAGGGTCATGGCGACTCCATGTGTGTGTGTGTGGGGAAACCAAAAGGAAAGGGTTCTTTTGGGAAACTTCCCGACCAAGGGTCTTCCAGTGCCCTCGCCTAGAAAAGAACAAGCGGAGGGCATGCCCCCTTGAGAGCAAACAGGGGGCAAGGGGTCGATCCCCCAATTCCATTGATCCGGTCTACCCCATAAATCGGACTCCAAGGGTCACCCTCGCCCCGGTTGTGGTTGATCAAGGGGTTGATCCAACCACTTCTGTAACACCTTCGGGAATCTCCCCCTTGATCCACGTCGTCTTTGGAAAGCTTGCCAACTTTTTTTGGCCGTATCACAGGTTCGCAGAGTCCTTTTCAAGCACAGCCCTGCTCCAGGTGAGGATGGGAGGCCCAAAACCGGATCCGTTTCCCGGGGTTTCCGGGGGGTTTCTAGAAAGAAGGATGCCTGGAAAGAATGGGGAAGGTAGCACTAGAACTAGGAACCCAAGACGCCCTAAGAAACCGAAGATTTGGGGTCTTGCAACCCCAGGGCAGCAGCAAAAAGTGAAACCGCCTCCCGTCTTACTTGGTGGCTGTTTCAATATCACTTTTTGTGGGTTCAACACGCAAAATCAACATTTGAACCAGTTAGAAAGTCGAAAGATCCGACCCAACAGCAACCAAGTAAAACTACAACTTGCTGGTTCTCAGGGGGGAATGAGGGAACGACCCCTGTAAACCAACCCCCATGGCCTCACTTGAGTGGATTGGCCCAAACAAGTCCGAACTGTTGCGCCTCTTTCCTTCGGTTGTGGCGGATTGAGACCTAGTTGAAACCCATCTGCAGGGATTCAGGGAAGAGAAGCAGAAAGGGATCAATTGGGGAGACTTGAATGGAGATACTTTGCTTTACAACCCTTGGTCTGGTAGCAACAACTCTGTTTTCTTGGCAGTGCCCTACTTAAAACAAACGGAACCAAAAACCAAAAGCATCTAAGAACTTGCTCCAACAACAGTGAAGTTTACCCCCCCAACCCTTGAGGGCTCATGTTGGCCTACTTTGACCTGTTTGGATATGTCTGCAAATGTCACCAGTTCGTTCCCTTGCTTGGGTACTTAGTACTCTTCGGCATAGGCCCACGGACAAAATATACTACTAGCCCCTGGGTAATTAACATCGACATAGGTGTCTGTGTGGCAACTTGGGTGGGCCTCCCAACTATAGACTACTTTCCTTTTTGTCATTTGCCTAATACGCTCCTGCGGTGGATGGACGAAATCCTGCGCCACTTTGTTTACAGGATAATTATCATTCCAGGGCTTCTGAGGTGGTGCGAAATGCATTCCGCCACCATCCACGTTCTGGGCTGTCCTCATATCCCTAGACAATTGAAATTCCAATTTAGAATTCTCCTTTTTGCCAAAAACTGCCACTAAACCATATTTTCATTTTTGTAATGAACGAAATGATGAAAAACAAAAACGAACCGGAACCCCCACGCGACCCCCAATAAACCCCAAAAATCTAAGGAACCGGACGATTCGCTGAATCCAAGGCGATCCAAAGATGTCTGCGCCCGCGCGCGCCCGCGCAACCACGCCCGCCTGCAGGCTTCGCTGCAGGCCCCGCAGTGCCCCGGCCGTAAGCCAGGGCCGACACCGCAGCAGTGCCGCCTCCGCTTTGGCGTGCCCAAAGTTTGCTTCTGGTTTCACCCATCTTTGGGGGGTTCCCCTAAACAAATACACACATGACCTTGAGAACTCAGGTTCCAAAGACTCCAAAGATTGAACCAGCGCCCCCAAACTTCCTGGGAGGGAGGAGGGGGGGGGGACGGGGGGGGAGGGGAGGCTCCTGCCTTGGAGTCCCCACAATTCCATTTATTCGGTCTTCCAACCACAAAAGGGAACATGGAACCCTAAATGGAGATCTCCAGGGATTTTGAAGGGGGTGGGATCTTCCAGAGACCCGCCCCGCGATGCTTCAAAGACTTGGCTGGAATTAGGACCCCAGCAAAAAACGAGATATTCTTTGCCTGGCAAACAATCAAAAGGGGAGCTAATTGTGGAAAAGAAGAAAGGACAAGACAAATAAATCTATGAATACCGGCATACACTTTGACACAAACAATTAAAGCAAGAGGAAACGCAAGCAACACAACCATGGTTCTTATATTATTTGAGAAAACTTCCGCACACCAAGTTCGTCAATCTTCCGTTGGTTCAGAAAATAGCCACAGTCGTGAAACATGGTGTGTTTTGGGTGACGCCCGTTATCAGTTGTGCATGTGTCAAAGCGTTGAGTGTCAAGGCCCATATAGAAAACAAAGCAAGCTTGGTGGTTCAGAATGGTTAGAGCCCTCATGCTGATCCAATTCATAGTGGGACACCGCTACCAGCAAATAGTACCATCTGGCATAAGGACCATGCGGCTTCTGATTGAAACCAAGTAATGTTCACCCCGGATTAATAAACCCCTGGTTGATTAATATGGGGGTGTCCCCGTTTAGTGGGAATTCATCACTTTTGGAGAGAACACCCCCCTAATAATGGGACTGGTTTATTAATCCTGGGTCGACATTGTAACACACATATCGGCGCAAACATGTTTCAGCGTCTTTCTCCATGTCTCTAGCCCCTCCATTTGCTTCTGTTTTTGTATTTTGGCCTGTTGGTTTTAAAGGAAAAGGATTTCACTACTGGACGTATATTTTCTCATGTTGTTCCAGGGGACCAAAAAACACATGGAGGAAGAATCAGCTTTTGGGGCCCCGACTTGATCTTTTGAGTGGCTGCTTGGTTTTTTAGCGGTATGATGTTGCTGGTTGCTGGGTTTGCTGGGTTCGCTGGCTTTTTTGTGGTTGTTTAGTTTTGCAGACTGCTGTTTCTTCGTTTGCTGTTGTTGATTGGTGCTTGTTGTTTGTTGGTGTTGGATAGTTGTTTTTCGGTTGGATCTATGCAAACAACCAGAATTGAGTTGGTGCCTCAAACAAAATCATAGCATTACCGCCTGCCTGAAGCCTTTGTCAAATGGAAGTTTTTGAGAGCTCGACCGATTTGCCGCTCGAAGGGACTGGAGAAAATGTCTCTCGCGCCTGGCCGCTGTCGCGCAAGCTCTCCGAGAGCTCCCGAGGGCCTCAGCCACGTCTGTGCACGGCCGATGGGCGCGAAATCCGCGAGTCTCGCAACACAAACTGAAACCATTAAGGAATGATTCGATTCTCTAACGTAAATACCAGCAATGAGATTCCTTGGAGGGTGCAGGGATCCTACTAACGCTCGTTGGTATTTAATTACGTTGGGGAATCACACATCCCGGGTTGCTGAGGTGAAGGATTTCGCCCGTCCACAGTACGAGTCTGGACTGTCCGTTGTCTGATCCCCTGCTAAAAGTTGACAACTTGTGGGTGAAATGCCCCCCCAAACCAACTAAAAGCCTAAAACTTAAGAGGACGGCTGGGAACCGCCAAGGAGTTGGTGTGTCCTTCTTGTGGTTGCTTTCATGAGCTTCCGCATTCATAGGAATTTCCTGGTAAAGGTTCCTTTCATAGAAGTGTCCCCTCCATTTGGGGTCGCTAAATTCCCCTGCATAATGCAAACGGGATCACAATAGGGGTCTAACCGATCGCCGAAGCGTCGACGATACCGGAATTGCCCGCTGCCGAAGACGAATCCTGTAAAGGGGAAGGTTTTCCGGTATTGTGGAAGTGCAATAACTGCGGAACAAAGGGACAGCTGGTAAATCACCGTGCTTTTCCCGGGGGTTGTGGTTGGACGTGGTTTGGTGTTGGGCTTGATTTGGGGATCAACAAAACCTGGAGTATGATCCCTGGAAATAGGGTAATACCCACCAACCTAAGCATCTTGGGGCCTCAACAGCAGTTTAGCACCCTTCATATTCTAAGCCTTCCAAGGGAGGTGATGACCCTTGCAAATGATGCAATCACAATCGTGCGTGTCCAGTGCGGCTGGGGCGGGAGGAGTCTGCCCCCTATTCAGAAGCTGAAGTTGTATTTGCCGCTTAACTTCCATTTGCGTTTTTGCCCCCCTGGAAAAATAGGCATATTTTCAATAGTCATAGGTTCCAACTTTAAAACCAACAAGGGGGGACAAACAATAACAGCTGAAGGGGCCTGAACCGAAAAACCAACACATATTTTTAGTGGTCATAGATTCCCTTCAAACACAAGAAGGGAAAATAACACAACACCTAGGTCAGTAAAAAGGTTGGAATAAGGGTACCCTTTTTGCGCATTCTCTTTTAGTAGCCGAACCCTCACTAAAAAAAGAACCCATAAAAGGGCGCTGGGGGACCTAGGCACATATATGGGTGTGGCTCTCAAAATTAAACAGGAGTGGCAAACCGCAGGTTTTGGTTTCCATAGGGGCAAACCGCAGGTTTTGGTTTCCACTTACCAGGGTTCCCTTTTGGTACCGGATTTGTGAGCCACAGCCATATTCATTTCCGCCAATGGAAGTTCTTCAGGGCCCCTTCTGCCTCGACTCTCCGCGAGGTTGCGCCCTCATCCACGTGGCTCCCGGCACCCTGCCAGCAAATCCTCGAGGTCCACGCAGGCGCTTCGCTGAGGCCTCAGCGAGAAAATGTTCCAACCACTAAACCACTAAACCACTAAACCGCTAAACCATAAGCAGTTCAGTGGGGATGGAAGGGGAGGGAAGAAGGGAGGGAAAACCTAAATTTGAGCAGTTCAGTGGGGATGTTTTACTTTTGGACGTGCGATAAGGGCAACCAGGGAACTCCCCTGCATTTATGCCTGGGCTGACGTAAGGGGAGGAAAAATCTTCGAGGCGGGTGTCCCTTTGGATAAAGCCTTGTTTCTGGCTCCCGCGAATCAACAAAACACACACTAATAGACTTAATTAAGGAACCACTAAACCAGCACAAGCAAAAATGTAAAATGTGTCCCAACAACAACCAGGAAACAACGGACGTCCAAACTTTGGAGGTGCGATAAGGGCAACCAGGGAACTCCCCTGCATTTATGCCTTGGTTGACGTAATGGGAGGGAAAACTTAAATTTTAGCAGTTCAGTGGGGATGCTTTACTCTTGCTAAAATTTAACATTTTAGTGCGACAGATACACATCTGCGACTTGCTACGGATGCCCTCAAATATTGCAAGTATACTTGATATCTCCAATAAAACCATGATGTGTTGTTTTTGTTGTTGGGGGGGCGGGTATGACATGATTTTCGAGGTTTGGGTCTCCTGGTAGAGGAACCAGGGAACTCCCAAATTATCTGGCCATTCTCCATGGCTTTATGGTTGCTTTGCAGCATTTCGGGCTTCATACTTACACCTATAAACCCACGTGTTGCAGGAAGATCACCTCTTGTTGGGGGGGGGGGGGGTTGAGGCACCAGTCATAGCTTCCCCTTGAATTCGGGGTGGCACACCACAGCGTAAGGGCATATTTACAACTCATGTACTCCAACCCTTGCTGGTGCGATAGGCAGGAAATGATAATTGGAATCTGGGTTGACGTTGGAAGGGGAGCAACAAATTAGAATTTAGCAGCTAAGTGGGGATTTCAACCACTAAACCACAATGAGCAAACATGTTTCCAATGTTTCCCAACAACAACCATATGCCCCCGAGACAAACTCAATCCCTTCCGGTTTCCTTTTGCGGGACACTTGGAGGACCCCAGGCTGGGCTGTGTGATCCGTTTCCAGATCCCCTGCGAAAAGTCGACAACTCGTGGGTTAAATGGAACCACTAAACCCTAAACCCCAAAAACCTGCTAAAACGGCTGAAAAAAACGCCAAAGTCAGTGGTTCATACCCCTCACGTCCTAAGTCGTGGGTTACATACGCGAGGCAAATGCCGCATTCACGGAAACGGAACTAGGGTAACTCACAACGTCGGGCAATGTCTTGTCCAGTTGCCATGTTTGTGCTCAAGGCAACCATCTCTGATGACAGCCCAGAGTTCCATTGGAACCAAAAAGGCAACCAACTAGCCCCATGCGCTTGAAACCTCTGGAAAAGCGAAAGTCGGCATAGTCTGAGTCTCAAAGCCAAGCCCGTCTTGACTGGATCAGGGTTGACCCAAAGATCAAAGGGGTAAAACTTAGGCAAAGCACAAGGCCTGTACCCTCAAAATTCCCGTAACGGGTGGGGTGAAATTCCTGTTTATGGGTAGTTTAAGGGTTCAGGAAGGATCAAAGTCAAGGACTCGCTTTAAGACAGGGACACATGTTTTATTGAACCCTGGTTGATGCATGGGAATTAGTGTCCCCTTTTAGTGGGACTCCTTCACTTTTCGGGGCAAGCCGTTGAATGTTGAATGGGCTTATTGATCCAGGGTTCCCATTCATCACTGGGGGTGTTCCACTCGCCCTTGACGAATCAAATCCCGAAGCGAACAGATTGATGGGCAGATTGTAGGTATACTAATTCAATATAAACCCTCAATATTGACAAATGGAATTCACCCATTCCATAAGTTTGGGTTGCAACAACCCATTCTCAAGTTGAAACCTTGAGGTCCAGGTGGATCCTCCAGTCTGGAACTTCATGTCCGATTCCCCAAGACCTGAGAAAGACCTGAACCCGAAAGAAACTCCAACTTCAAATCGGGTCATTGCAACCCAAGATTATGGAACGTGTGAAATCCGACTTTGTTATGGGTGCTTTGAGGGTCCAGGTCCTTTCCTTCATACTGTAAATGGTTGCGAAATCCAGAAATCGCACCACCTGAGAAACCCAACGGCATGATTCGATTCCCCAACGTAAATACCAACAAACGTTGTGGTTTCAACCATGGTTTCTTAGATTTCGAAAACATTGACAGTATTTCTGCTTGGTTCACGTTGGAAGGGGAGCAACAATTTAAATTTGAGCAGTTCAGTGGTTGGATTTCAACCACTAAAGCACAATAATCCAAGATGTGTCCATTGTTTGCCAGCAACAACCATGTGGCTGTGGCTCAAAAAAGTGTACCCAAAATGGCCCCCAGGTAAGTGGAGGTAAATGGAACCAAGACCAACACCGTAACCCTAGCTCTTAAATTTTGAGCCACACCCATGTCTTGGGCTCCTATCAGATCTCTCGTATTCCCCACCGGCCCACCGGCACGCCGGGGAACTCGAGCAAAAGAAATCGACCCTTACTTGCTTGACGTTGGAAGGGGAGCAACAATTCTCAAATTGTAGCAGTTAAGTGGGCATTTCCCACTAAACCACAATAAGTTAAGCAAACATGTAAAATGTTTCCCAACAACAACCATGCTTAGGCCGCGGCCGAATGGCCGGCGCACTCAGCGCCCAGGCAATGGTTTCATTGTCAGGCAGGCCCTGGCGGTTATGCTCTCACCCCCCTTTGTTGAGCAGTAAAACCATCATCTCTACTCTTGGTGTAGCAAAAACTGTCTGCTTTCTTTGCAGACCCCCAGTAAAAATGAACAGAACCAAAAAACTTTAATTAAACAAATAAATTAAAAAACAACAACAACAACAAAAACATGCCAAGAACAGTGAAGCAATGGCTGGGTTCATATTTCAACCACCATAACGTTTGCCGAAGGATTGCCATCCTCCAATTCTAGGTCCAAACCTGTAGAGAGCTTAGAATAAGGGTACCAAGTTTTTGTCTGTAGTCTATTTTAGTAGGGGGAACCCTCCCGCAAAAAGGGGTAAAAGGGCACTATTGGTTAATTCGTACAAAGGTGCTCTCCTCCAAAAATCATTCCCCTTAAACCTACTAATCAACCCAGCTTTGATTTCGGGATGGCCCGGTACTCATCGTTTCGAGCTGCAACTTCTACATCTAAACCAGCTGCCATCCGCCGCATATTTCAGACGAGGTTGGAAGCGTGCAACACAACTGTACCACAATAATGTCTTGAACTGCACTGAATGAGCTTGGTTGACGTTGGAAGGGAAGCAACAATTCTCAAAATTTAGCAGTTCAGTGTTTGGATTTCAACCACTAAACCACAATAAGCAAAAATGTGTCCAATGTTTGCCAACAACAACCATGTCTTGGGCTCCTATGGGATCTCTCCTCGTATTCCCCACCGACACGCGGCCAACACCTCCGCGATTTCCGCGAGGATTCGGCGGTGAGGGACCGACCTTCCGTCACCTGCTGGTTCTCCTTCTTCTCGTCCAAAAAGGGTATATTCGGGTATATCCAAAATCCAACCAGGTCTGGAAGGGTTGTCCAAGAATGGTATATCCGGGTATATTTAAAAATCAAACAGGAACTGGGGGGAGTTGTCCATATAGGGGTCACTAAACCCAGGGATCCCCCCTACCAATGCAGGAGTGTGGGTGTAGGGTCAGAAGAGGGCTCCAGGTGGACGCAACACCCAGCGACATGATGTCCAAAGGGTTCCCAACTAAAATTGCCGAGCTAAAAACTCTGAGTCTGGCTTGACGTCAACCAGAAAAGATCCTGAGGTCAAGTTGCTTGGACACTTTACCCCAAAAATAGTCACTGTTGCTGGGAAAAAGCGATCGCAACTGGCGATCCAGGAGGGCTGAAATGTTGAGTAAACCAGCCAAAAAGCTCGCCAACAAGAGGTAGGGAAAGACTTCCTTTGCAAGATTTCCCCGAATGGGTTGAATCATTTTTTTCCTATGGCAAGTTCCTTCTGTTGAGTAGTGGATCGCCATCATAACAACCAAACAAACAATCATCGCATTTGAAATAGGATCCGGGGTTGATTTTACATACCCCTTTTGCTACCCTTTGGGCACATCAAGCCAAAAGGCCTGCTGATGTTCATACCGCTCTCCCCAAAAGAAGTGTATACCCCTTATAAAGTGGGGCAGTGAAACCAGGGAAGCCAAGGGGCATGAACGGTATGTACTTCCACCCTTAGATAGGAGGTCATTGCGAGAACTTGCTAACAACAACTCCGAAAACTTCGGGCATTCAACAACAACAAGATCTTCCCATCGACTCCACAGAAATATGACCTAGAAAACCAATCAGTTGCGTGGATACCGGTCTGGACAAGAAGCTGCTATCTACTACTTACACAAAGGGCTATGTGATGCATCAGCGCCACAACACAACCCAGTGACACATGGCTGGTTCTTCTAGGTCCAAGGCGTCAGCTGCACATCCGAAGCTGATCCGAAAGTCTTCTCAGACTGCTTCTGTAAGGAAGCATGCAAGAGCAAAACAATGCCAGCCATCATTTGCCAGTAATGTGGGCGCATGACTCATCCAAGAGCCTGGTTCAGCTGGTGTTTAAGCAGTTCATGAACAGGGGCATCGTCGTTTGGCAGGCATGGGAATTACAGAGGATTCACTGAACTTAGATGAATGCGTGTGCATGCATCTATATGGTACATTAATTATCTAGATGCATATATACAAGTAGTATGGATAATGTGTATATATACACCTGCATGCATGTATGCATGCGTATGTGCATGCGTGTCGGCAGGCGGGTAGGATGTCTGGATGAAAGCACGCAGGCATGTAAACAAATATGTATATCGACCCTCACAATTCCCTTAACGGTGGGTTGTTGCAACCCACAACTATGGCTTGAATTCCAACTTTTCTACTGGTAGCTGGAGGGTCCAGGTGCATCTATATACATATATGTATATATATATACACATACATAAAATATAGGCCTGCCTTGTTTTGAGGGCACCCTCGGTTTGAAGAAGCGGACCACGAGGAACACCCACCGATTCGGAGGGCCCGTTTCTTTCCAGCCTCGGTGCACCAGGAGGTGGATGCCTGACGTCCAATTGGCTGCCTCGACCCTTGGGGATTTTCTCGATCGAAGTTTAGGGACTTGTTTGTGCTGTCGGGCTGTGAACCATCGAACCGTCAGTGCAAGACCCACGTTTTAGCAACTGCTTTTCGTTTTAGCTTTTTCGTATTAGCACTGCGCGCATGCCTGCCAAATGGTAAGCATACCCGATCACGCTCACCCTCTCACGCGCACCCGGTCAGCACTGTATCAGTGCCAGCCAAATGGTAAGGTTCGCTCAAGCGCACACGCTCAGCACTGAGTCCATGCCAGCCAAATGGTAAGCACACCTGCTCACGGGCACCCGCTCACGCCCGCCCGCTCAGCACTGCATCCATGCCAGCCAAATGGTAAGAACACCCGCTCACGCGCACCGCTCACATGCCAGCCAAATGGTAAGCACACATGCTCACGCGCACCTGCTCAGCACTGAATCCATGCCACATGGCACGCATGCCCTTTTCGCCGCTGGCGCATACCCTTCTCCAGATCTCACTGCGACGTGCTCAAAACACTTTTGCGAGCAATACGCACGTTGGTCCATTGAAAAAACACATTTGCCTGATTGAAGTGACGCCTTTGCCAGGCTCTAGCAAAAGAGGTACCCTTTTCGCAGCCGAAGTGCTGCGCCTGCCAGCGAAGTAAGAACACGGTTCAAAAAAAAACATGGTTTTTTGAAGTGTGTCTTGGGGATGAAAACGAGAGGAAGCACTGAGCGAAACACAGATTCGGTCCAAAAAACCCAGCCCGACGGGTTGTTTGGGGGTGTTGGGAAACAAATGTGGATTTGCTGGGGACATTTAGGGAATCGTGGGGGAAATTGAGGGATTTGTTGCAAACAAATAGGGATGCTTTGGGGAAATGCAGGGATTTGTTTACCTGGGCACGTCAAATGGCAGATTGCAACCCACATTCTGAGTGCGTTGCCTTTTTGCTTTGGGAAGTTTGATGGTCAAGGTGTCTTGCTTTGGAGTTGGTGCCTCTTGTTGGTGGTTTCTACTGGGAAACCCGAACAAAAGCAAAACCACATTTTGTGTGTGTTGTGTTTTTAGAAACTCCCGCTTCGATTTGTGGCGGTTAGCCCAGTAATTTGGAGGTCTGGCTGGAAAACCCCATTTGCCCTCTGTAAGAACGGGGTCAAATGTCACCAGTCCAAACACGCAAGATGCTCGTTGCAAGCCCAAAGGTGCATCACCTTTTTGAAGATGCCCTGAACACCTGATCCCTCAAACCACCCATAAAAAAGGGATCCACCGCCATATTTCGTGATTTTCTAATTTTGGGGCACCAACCCTTTGTTCAAAAAATCTTGAGAAGAAGAAAACATATGGTTCTCCAAACTGGGTCTTTTTGGGGCGCTTTTGGGCCAAACAAAACAAAGGCGCTGGCGCTGGCGCGGAAACCCGTCAGAAACGTTGGGGCGAGTATGGGGCGAGTCTGATGAACTAGGCAAAAGCCGTCTGAAAAGCTCGCGAAAGACCAGAGCAAAGACTAAGACATCCGCGATTTGCGACGGATGCCCTCAAATATTGCAAGTCGTACTTGGTGTTTCGAGAAAGAAAAAAACTGGTGCGTTTGGGGGGAAGTATGACTCAGTATGACATCATTTTCCAGGTTTTGGGTCTCCTGGTAGGAGAACAAGGGAACTCCCGAATTTACCGTAGTTTCACATGGTTTTGTGGGTGGGTATGGTCGGGTTTGCCGTCAATATTTTTCGGGCGGCATACTTAAAGCTCTGGGCCACGTGCTCAAGGAAAATCACGTCTTGTGGGGGGAGGCACCAGTCCGAACTTCACCTTGAATTCGGGGTAGCACGCAGCGTAAGGGCATATGTGAAACTCATTTACTCCTTATTTGCTGGTGCGATAGGCAGGGAATGAGCTGGAATGACTTCCCATAAACCATCTCTTGTGGTTGCCTTCCGGTTCATTCCCAACACCCTGAAGGTCATTCCTTACTGGGCACCAGCAAGCTTATCTGCTCCTTATGTGGTGAGGTTTGCCCGTGCAGGGATTGTCCAGGCGTCCGGTGAAATCTTTGGCGTTTGTGTGCAAGCCTGACATGGGCCTAGAAGGTGGTCTTTTGCGGCCCGTTTGCGGCTCTCTGCCATGTGGGCTCTTTGGGAATCAGCTCTGGTGGGTTTCTGGTTTCCGAATTTCCTGGAACCTGAAGCAACCATTTCGCAAAAAATGTAAACTCCCCACACGACCACATTTTGTCAACACAAGCCCAGGTGACGTGAACAGCAAGCCCCGAGCCCTTCCGCGTGCCTGGCCCATGCGCCTCAGCCTGCAGAAAAAAAGAAAATAAAAAACACGCGTGGGAAGGCCGCCGTCGGGAATGCGCCCGCAACATCGGACGAAAGGGAAATACGCTGATCCTCTTAGAGTCGATTTGACCGGTTTGGGACGTGATAACCGGCTTGGATCTGAAGGTGCAAGATAGACTTTGAAGCAACATGTTCAAAGTTTAGCTTTGGTTCTAACTGGCTCAAGCAATGGGTGTGGCTCTGTTTGGATGGTATCCGTGGTTGGTTTGAAGGGAAGCTAAAAGAAATTCCCACGCAAGGGAGTAGTACCCTCCCATCAATTAACATGGACCCTGACAGGGGGGGTCCTGGAAGACCATTTTCCTCTTGAAGGGACCCCCTGTTAGGTTCCATGTTAATTGGTGGGAGTATTGAGTACGCTTGACCCAAAGTTGGCGCGCTGCTCTCTCACAAAAGTTGTCAAGATAAAGATCGATCGATCCCGTTTGCAGGGTTCCTTATGCTTTACAAACAACTCGTCTACATCAACTGGTGACGCTGCTTCTGTCGCTGGCTCAAATGTGTCCAGGAGACCTTGGTCTTTGGTGCTCCTTTTGTGTCAAACACCCGGAGTGGTTCTCGATGGCAAACACAAAACCACATCAGTCGAACAAATGAGAAAAGGCGTTCCTGAACCCTCAAACTACCTATATAAAAGGGAATTCGACAACCATAATTTGGGGTTGCAATAACCAATTTCCAAGCTGGTATTTTGAGGGTCCAGGTTGTTTGGTTTCTCGGGGTTCTCTCCAAACTCACACAAGTTCACCAAATATGCTGGTATCTGCTGCCAGAATTGGGGTTTAATCCATCCCAACTGGTGCGTTTCTTTTGTCAGTCGTAGGCTGGTCGTTTTGCGGACCAGTCTTTGCTGCGCGTCTTGGGTTCCGATGCCCCTACTGTGCATGGACGGAATCCATTTCGCGCCAACCATAATGTCAGAAACCCAGGAATGATGTTTTCCCTTGTAAATACCAACAACAAACACTGCTTTCAACCATGGTTTCGTTTTGCGGCGCGAAATGGACTTCGCAACCATCCGCAGTATGACTCCAAGAAGAAATCCCCAAACCTGCTCCCTGCCCTCCTTCCCCCTCTCCCGGACTCCCCGGAAACCCGTCCTTCAGGCGCTGGGCCCGTCCGCATCGACCCGGAAGGGATCCAGCTTTGGGAGTGGACAAGGAAACAAATAGATCCCAAATTGCCCAGATGTGCCGTTTGAGCCGTTTGCCCAGTGCTTTGTGTCTGCCAGAGGTTGCCCATCCAGTGCTTTGTGTCCATCCAGCGTTCTTCCCGAGCTGTGAACTTTGGTTCAACGTGGTTTTGAGGGGCTTGTCTTTTCACAAAAGACCGAGTGCATCCCAGTTTCCCATATAGGAGGTACCTAACTAATTATTTTCCTCTTGGTGTTCAAAGGTGGCAAGCCCTTGCTTACCTACAAAACCAGGTAGATGGATCCACAAAAAAGGAGCTCCGGTCTTGCTAAGAGGTCCATGCATTGAAGGTCAAAATTTCTAGGGCGTTCGAGCCACACGCACGAGCCGGACAACTGCTTTAGTTCGATTTCGGCCAAATCTGCGCATGGCCCCGTGGACACAAAAGGCCACCTTTCCTCAGTCGAATCCATGGTTACCCTGAGGCAAATCTAGCTGAAGCCGAAAGAACTACCTAGAGTCTCCATGACCCTGTAAAAATTGGTCATTGACCCCATTATTTTGGGTAATGACCCCATTTTTTAAGGGTCATGGAGACTCCAGGTACCCTGAAAAAGGCTAGAATTCACCAACCATAAATTTGGGTTGCCACCCATTTTGAAGTTGGAATTTCTGTCGGGTCCGGGTATGCTTGTCCTTGGTACGGCGATTCCATGAAAGCCGGGGGAGAGTCCTCTTAAGGGTCCTGGGAGCTAGCATGTGTACACAAACTAGGTCCTCCAGTAGAGAGGTTAGAATAAGGGTTTCCTCTTTTTTCTGTAGTCTATTTTAGTAAGGGAACCCTCCAAGAAGGTGAGAGAAGGGCACCTAGCTGGGGGGCCTAGCAAACAAAGGGGATTTTGAGGGTCCGGGCTGATCGAATTGCATTTACCTGCCCGACCCTAATCAAGCACCCGTGCCAAGGGACACCGAAGAGGCTCACTCCGGACAGGGGCACCAGGCTAGAAGGGGAGAGAGGGCACCTGAAAACGGAACTTGGTTGACGTTGGAAGGGGAGCAAAAAATAATAATTTTGGCAGTTAAGTCGGGATTTCAACCACTAAACCACAATAGGCGAACATGTAAAATGTTTCCGAACAACCATGGAAACACCTTCATCGCAAATGGCCCCAAGGGGTCGCAGGCCACAGGCTTTGCGCCGACCATGACTTAGTTGTTTCTGGACTCTCAAACCATAAACAAGTTGGAATTCGCCAACCATAAGTTTGGGTTGCATCCTGTTTTTAAGTTGGACATTTGACGGTCCAGGTACTGGGAAAAACAGTTGCTTGCCAACTTCAAAGTTGCAACGGCCGTGGACATTTTGAGGGTTTGCAGATACCGTCGAACTTCCATTTGCGGAAACTCAACGTCCTGGTAGATGCTTTTGATTGGGGCTGATGCATTAGGGCCCCATGGTTCCTCGTGGGTCTGACACACTGAACCTTGGCCCACATCTGGTGACAGAAAAGTAATGTTCTCAGCTTCTGTTTCATATTTGCTCTACCCCGAAATCTAAAGTAGCTCTTTTTTACCCGGAAACATCTCTGCAAACAGGGATGTCGAAGGTGTCCGGAGGTTTTTTCTCCGAAGCCAAGGACCACCCCCTGGGACAACTAGGTCCTCCAGTAGAGAGGATAGAAGAAGGGTACCAACTTTTTCTGTAGTGTATTTTAGTAGAGGAACCCTCCCAACCAAAAGAAGAAACGGGTGAGAAAGGGCACCTAGCTGGCGGATCTAGAGAAACAAATCGGAGCCTTTTTTTCGGACTCCAGGCGCGGCGTTCGGTCATCCGGCTCGGCCGGACACCTCCAAAGGCCCCAGGCGGAGTCTGATCCTCGCACCTCTGGGATCCTCAAAATCTTTCTCGGACCGCTGGTTTCAGTCTTTCCCATTTCTGGGCTGTCCGTTTTCAGATCCCCCGCAAAAAGTGCTAAGGGGATGGCTGGGAACCACCAAAGATGTTCCAGGGCAACCCGGTTGAGCAACGATTCCTATTACTGAGCAACGCTAGTGGACCTCCAAACGAATTCCCATCCCCTTTGTGTGTTTTGGTATCTTCCCTGGTACGGGGGGAAACAGGTCTCACCACGCTCCCCGGTCAGTGCCTACATATGCCCCATTTCTGAGTCTTCAAGTGGAGCTTATTTCGTGTCAGTTGAATTGCAATAACCAATACATCGGCAACTTGGTTGCCGTTCATCGGCAACTTGGTTGCCGTTGACCTCTCTGCAAAAAGTTCTAACTTTACTTTGGATGACGACAATCCTTAGGTAAGTGTAGAAACCCCCATGGTTTTTCATGTTGGCTTGAACCGCACGGTTGCGGGCAAATAGAGGGTTTCAGGCACCCACATGCAAACCCCCAATGGCATTCTCGGATCAACCCACCGGGCCTTTGGATGGTCGCCCCCTCCCTCGGCGTGGCTTCACCAGGCGCCAAGTCGCTCGGGGGCGGATAAAACCGCGAATTCCCGGCCTCGACTGCTGGAGGCTTTGAGGTAAGAGATGGTGCCACGTGTACCAACAACGAGCCATGACCCCTGAAACAGTGTGGGTTTCTTCATGAAAGTCACATTTGGGTAACCCCAAATGGTCTGTGGCACAAGCCCCGTTTAGTTGCTGCACGTATAATTGTGCTTTGGTGCATATTATAACCCTAAAAATAAACCCTGACAAGTACAACCCACAACTGGGAACTGTCTTTCTTCGACAAAAACATGTTCGTGAACTCACCCCATCCCACCCCACCCCACCCTTATGGGTTGTTCAATATGGATGATCCCAAAAACCTACTCCGTCCTGGGACACCACGACGAAATAACAAAGTGGCTTCTGACATGCCACGGGGGGCCCCTCGGTACCTGGACCGGAAAGAAGTTCCAACTTGAACATAGGTTAAAGCAGCCCACAAATTCCAATCTACCTTGGTTGACGGTGGAAGGGAGCCAACATTTATTTTTAGCAGTTAAGTGGTTGGATTTCAACGGCTCCGTTGTTTTTTCTTTTGTTTTCCTCCTTCTTTTTTGTTGAACTCCCGCCTGGGGATCAATTGTTCTTTTTGGAATCACATATTTTGAAATCACGCCTGGGGGGTCCAGGTGTTCCTTCTTTTTGAAATCACTCCTCGGGACCCGTATTTTATTGACATTACACCTGGGGGGGGGGGGGGTTCGGTGTTTGGTTTTTTGAAATCACGCCCAGGCGTGATGTGAAGGACCCCCAGGGGTGATTTCAAAAGAAAAACGCCAGCCCAAAGGCGTGAATTCAACAAAAAAAACGCCCCGGCCCACAGGCATGAATGCAACAAAACAAGCACCGGGACCCCCAGGCGTGATTGAAGAAAAAAAACGGGACCCCAAATGCGTGAAAAAAAAGAAACAGGCGTGATTTCAAAAAAAAAACAACACCTGGACCCCCCGGGCGAGATTTCAAACAAAGAAAAAGCGGGACCGAGCTGGTGTAAATTCAAAGAAAAAAAACACCGGTTCCGAATTCAACCACTAAACCACTAGAAGCAAAAATGTAATATGTTTTCCAACAACAACCATGCTACCTGGCTGGGATCATCCCTAAAGCTGTTTATCTACCCGGGTTCTTGAACAAACTTGGTGAGTGTTTCCAATGTCAATGATTCCAGGAGTACCGCTTCCATGTCCATTCTTTCCAGGGATCCGAATCTGTTCAGGAGACCATCAAAAACCCATGGAACACAGCAGCTGATTGAAAAGACCGATGGTTGAAAAGAATGGGGAATCAACCCCTAGAGTTATTGCAACCCAAGAATATGGTTGGTGGCTTCCCAACTTGTTTGGGGTATAGTTCTTTCAGGTCCAGGTACTCGCAAACACTTAAACAAGTTTCCCCTCAAATTGTGAGACAATGGCAACGGGAAAATACATCCGCATGACATGAACCTACCTGAACTACCCATAGAAAAGGCATCTCACTAACCATAATTTTAAGTTGCAATAACCCATGTTCAAGGTACTCTTTTCAGGGTACAGGTATACATTCGAAGAGATGCCCATGGGTGTCTTTCTATGGGCTTGTCTTTCTTGGGGAGGACACAAACGCCCAACTTGGACGTTCCCCTATTTTGAGACCCCACTGTAACGCCGCTCTCATGCCCCAGTGATTCCAGAAAAGTCACCGCTCTCATGCCCCAGTGATTCCAGAAAAGTAACCAAGGCAATCATGAACAAAAACATTAAAAAACAAGAAAGCAAAACAAACACAAAAAACAAGAACACAAACAAACACAAAAAAAACACATTTTTTTTTTATGCAAGGGACATGGCAAAGGCTTTGGGCCCACTGGAAAAGGCTTTGGGTTCTGTGGCTTCTTCCCGTAGTTCGAACTGCACGCATTTGAAAGGTACCCGAGAGATGTGGAGTCTCCATGACCCTTAAAAAAATGGGTCATTACCCAAAATAATGGGGTCAATGACCCATTTTTAAAGGGTCATGGAGACTCTAGGTATGTAGAAATGGGGTAAGACCCACCACAAACCAAAGCGCAGTTTACAGTTTACAACTTGTCCACTGGACTTGGCATGTGAGGGTCTGCGGGTTGGTCTCCGAGTAAATTGGATTCGGATTCAATCAGCTTCCATGTAAAAGATGTCTCGGGAACTTTGAGGGTTCAGGAACCCCCAAGCGGCAAGTCCAGACTTACACGGACTTCTCCCGTGGACTTTAAACTTGACCGACTGGAAATTCAGGTGTTTCAACCGGGGCACCAACCCAATCAAATAAATAACTCTCTGGAGTCTCCGTCATGACCCCTGAATTTTGGGCAATGACCAACCATTTTTTCAGGATCAGAAGGAGACTCCAGGTGCGCGCAGAGAGAAACTCGGAATTCTCAGAACGTCCGACTTGCAGCCGGACGGCTTTTTTGGCCGGTCGCAGGTGCTGGACAGCATGCGACCAGTTTCAAGGATCAAACTGGTTCTGAACCTTTCTTGGCAAGGCCTTTTGTGTGGCTTACCATATGGTCAGGAATCCTAAGGAACATCACCCATTGCAGATTTTGGGGTTTCAATAGCCCATTTCTAAGTTGGAATTTGGAGGGTTCAGGATCCTGTTTTTTCAGGGATAGCCCCCGGGCCCCCCGCCCTTTACATATAGCCCTTTCCCCCCCTTCCCCCCCCCCCCCTGCCGGGAGAGAGGGATGCTTCTTTTTCACGGAACCTCCTAATAAACCCAGGGAAAACAGCTGCTTTTTGAAAAGTGCCCTATAGAATCCCAAGGCCGTGTTATTTTAAGTATCTGGGGATCAAATGCCTTCATAGTTTGGCCCAAAATTTAGGATCTTGAGCTCCTAGACATGAGGAATCCACCCCTAGAAATCTGGCTTGCCATGCTCAACCTCCGGCACCCAGCGATCAGCAAGGCCAGGTTGGGATCCCGCCGATTGGGCGCCCAAAGGGCCAGAATCTCATGGCTTCTCAGGGGCCCTACAACCTTAACCCCCCAAGCTTACCGGTTTTGGTAGATGAACCTGGACCCCACTTAGTCATGTGAAACAGGTTCACTGGTAAAAGATCGTTTAGCAGGATGCGTCTTGTAATAATCCCTTTCAGGATGTGTCTTGCAATCACATCCTTTCAAAGAAGACTCGCCAGTTGCCCCGGCAAACATGTTGAACAAATAGAAAGTAAACATGATAGAAAGGCAAAAGTAAACATCTTGAAACACGTCTCAGACAACATGATAGACAAGTTCACATGTTGAAAACCAGTTGCCACCTCCGGCAACCGTCGCCTCAGTGACTCAGTGGAGTCGTTGCGGGGGCGACGGACTATGACCAAGAACATCGCCATTTGGTGTGTGTGTGTTTTTAACGGGCACCCAGGAAACAGGGCCTGGTTCGAAGAGACGGCCACAGGTTTTACCACCCCTTTGTGTAGAGACAAACAATGGTTCCTCAAACAAGTTGAAGGTCAAATGACAAGATCAGATGCACACACACACATACACACAAACACACAAACCTGGGCTTCTCTCAAATTAGGCTCACTTTAGAAACAGGTTGTTTCCCTGTGAATCAGCCAAGGGGGGTGGTGTACAGCCCCCGCGCCCGGAAAGGGCCGCAAGCGCGGCCCGTGAAATATTTCGCGCCGGAAGGGTGGACCTTTTGACCAGTTCGGACTACGACAGATTCATGTGGACGCAATGAATTTCGCCCCGACCAACAAATTGTATGGCTTGTTTTTGGCGTTTACCATACTCTTGGGGGGCAAGAAACACCATGTTTCAGGGTTTAATATGGCAATCACCAATTTTCAGTGTCCAGCTTTAGATATATCTTTAACGGATACCAAATCTGATACCGTCTTTCTTTCTCCCATGCCGTTGCCACTCACCTTCGCCAAAAGGCCCTTTTGGGCCCACGCGGGCCGGCCACGCCGAAGGCCGCTCTCGGCTCGCTGGCGCTCGAAGGGCTCAGGCGGCCTTTGGGTCCGTGATGACCTTGGGGTCCAGCGCGATGCGCTTCACCAGCCTCGATCCGAAACGTTTCGGATCCAACCGGACCGGACGGGTTTTGGTCTCGGACGGGGTGGTTCGCTTTCAAAAGGGAGAGACGGAGAAACCCAGGGGAAAACACGGGGAAGCGCCGAGGTGCGCTGTAAAGGGAAGCGCCCAACACACCGCGGAAAAGCCATGGACAACAGCGGAGTGTGTGTGTGTGTGTGTGTGTGTGTGTGTGTGTGTGTGTGTGTGTGTGGTTCTTCTTTGTTTGTTTACGCGTGCGAAACCGCGGTTTTTTGTTGGTAAACGGAAGCATGATCACTTCCTGAGCAGATTGGCCAGAAAAGGTCACCAAACTTGTTGCTTATCTCAATGGTCCAGACCCAAAAAGCTCTTTGGAAGTAAGCAAAAAAAACAAAGGTTCAAAACAAACCGGTGAATCAGGCACCTTCAGATTTGCGGAATCCTGTGACTGATTTGGGGGTGGTACTTGTTCGATTCGCCCAAGTTAGGTTCAGAACGCCTGACCTGGGTGCAAAAACCCACCAGGAGCTTGAGGTTAGCTCCACTTAGGGGACACAACTTACCACCTCGAAGCCAGGTATGTCAAAAGGGAAACCGAAAGGACTGCCTTCCCATTTTTTGGAGGACTCCTACTTTCAGAAACATCCACCTGGACTTCCCTTTCGGATTCTCTTTCCCACTTCCAGTTTGCACCATACCGGCGGTGCAGGAGGTGACCAAAGGAACCCTTGTAAAACCAAGAGGCAACCAAAAACCCTGGAAGCGCTGGGTGTGGTTTGCACATACCTTGGACAGCCATGTTTGGAGAAGTGCAGAGGCCTTTTGAGGACGCCCTTTGGATCCCAGTTCCCACTACCCCAGATCCCAGTTCCCAGTTCCTGCAGATCCCAGTTCCCCCAGTTTCCTGTGGATGGGTGCGACATCCAGAAATCGCACCACTTGCAAAGCCATGGTTGACACCCTTTCTTGTTGGTATTTACGTTGGGGAGTCGAATCATTCCGTTGGGTTTCGGCGGCGCGAAATCGATTTCGTCCATCAGTAGGTTACCAGCAATTGTCCTACGTTTCATGTTCGAGGGCTGGCAATCCCCCTAGACATGGAGACGGGATTCCTGGGAAAAGGTTTGGGGCGACGGAGAAACAAACAAAAAACAAAAAAAACGCTGAAAATGCCAAGCTGGCAGGGAAAACGTTTGGGATCCGGATGCAGTAAATACACCTGAACATTGCCTGACTTGTTTTCTGGTGGTTTGAACAACTTGATTTTGGTGTTGCAAAAGCAACATGTTTCAATTGGTTGCAACATGAATTTCTTTTAAGGAGCCCTGAAAAGGTTTGGGAGTATCTCGTCACTTTCTACAACCTGTAGATTTCCATGGGGCAAAACATCGGGCACCCAATTTTAACGGGACACCCCCTGCACTGGAAAACACGGAAACGGAATGGGCACAGATCGGGAAAAAACTTTCAGAACTAACCCTAGAGAACTATCCAAAAAAAACATCACCAACCATAATGTTGGGTGCAATAACACATGTTTTAGTTGGAGTTTGGAGGGTCCAGGTTGTCGTCACAAGTTGAAAAGTGGTGTCGGCCAATCCCACTCCACCCGGCTCCTTTCGGGCAAAGAGCCGCGTTTCGAGCCCCGTAGTTGCAATCGACCGAATCCACACCGAGGCTGAAGGTGGCTTCGTTTGCAACATGGAAACCTTGGGCTTTTTCGGTTCAATCTCAGAAGGTTGCGCCGAGGACACACCTGCATTTCTTGGGCCTCCATCACTCGATATGGGGTCTACCGAAGATATAAAAACCTGATGTGGACATGTGATTTTCTGTGCACAGATGTGGGAGATGGGGGGAACCAGCCAAGCCCTTGAAGGCTGGAAGCCAAAAGGAAAGCGACCATCTTTGGAGCTTTTGGGCTGCAGGAAGCACCCATGCGTGGGGAATTCACTAACCAGAATCTTGGCGCGAAAACCCGAAAACCACATTTTGAGGGTCCAGGCATCTGGATTTGTTCTGCAATTGTTTGTGGCTTTCAGTGGCTTAGTGGAACTACAACAGAGACTAAACCCTGAAAACCTACCTGGACCCTCAAATGTCGGATCGTGAAACCTGACGCATTGCCACACAAATATATATATATATATATGGTTGGTGAGTTCCATTTGTTCTGGGTAGTTTGAGGGTCCAGGTAGGCTTACTCCTGGCTTCAGACCATAAGCTTGTCATGGCTTCAGTTCAAATGACATTCTTAAACAAATGGAAGAAGGCGAGCCAACTCCAAGCCTGACACCCATTTGGCCTGGCCCATTGCCCCGGCCCCCCATGGTTGGGTCGAACGATTGACTGAACACACTCCTTGTGGTTTCCCTTCAACATGGTAGTCTGTGCCAGCGGCTTCAGCCTAGTTTGCGGAAAAAAACAAACTGAAGCACCAACCCAAAAACAACAGGACTTTCCATACTGTGGCCGGACGAAGTCCATTTTGCACCACTTTGAAACCATGATAAACCACTGTTTGTTGGTATTTGTAGGGGAAAACATCCTTCCAGGATTTCTTAGGTGGTGCGAAATTGTTTTCCCCCATGCACAGTATGCTCCCCGTTTTTGTAGCCAACTACGCAAACCCCTGAATCATAGAAGTCTCAGGGGGACCATGAAAAGGGGGCTATCCCTGATGAACCGCTTTCTACGGCCTTCAGGGCTTATCGACTTGGCTTGTCCTGGCCCCTGCCTTCCCAACCCCCCCAACCACCCCAACCCCCCCCCGAACCAACCCCCCAACCCCCCAACCCCCCAACCCCCCAACCCACCTACCCCCCCAACCCACCTCCCCAACCCCCCGAACCACCCGAACCCCACCCCGCCAGCCCCCCGTAGCCGGGCTCCATGTCTGGGCTTCCGCGCCCCCGCGCACGAGCCATGAGCTCACGGTTGGGCAGAGGCACCTGAAGCTCGTGCTGGCGCAGTGCCGTGGCGAATAAATTTGGAAACGCTTTGTTGATTAATAGGGGGTGCCCCTGTTTTAGTGGAGAGTCATCACTATTGGAGGTGAGCACCCCCCCTATGAAGAAATCGGTTTAATCCGGGGCTAACATTATTCACCACCACACGGGACATCCTAATACGCTTTCCCCATGTCCAAGAACTCCTGGCCCGTGGCTTGGTTGGCTGTCTAGGGGACACTTCCATTTCCATTCTGAACCCAGGAATCCGTTTTTCTTTTCAGGAAACCAAACACCCAGGGGAAACAGCCGGTTTTTGAAAAGAACGATGCTTGAAAAGAATGGGGAATCAACCCCTAGAACAATGCCGCAAACTAATGTGGTTTCCTTGTTGGTTTCCTTTGTACCATTTGCGAGTCATGGCATCATTTGCCATTTCAATCCGACAATTTGTAGCAAACTGCCTCGGGTGCTTGAATTTGCCTGTGTCCTTTAGGGGAACAAAATATGGGTTTGTCTTGTTTTGAAACCACCCCACAAATTGCGGTGTCCCTTTGGTTTTCCTTCGAGCCACAAACATGGGTACCCTCACAAAAAGACACACATTTGTTTGACCATGGTTTCCCTTTGGTGTTCCTTTAAAAGCACAAGCACACGGATACCCTCAAACCCTCAAACAAACAAAATACGTGCACCTGGACCCATCAATCTACCCATGAAAAAAGGGAGTTCCCCAATTTCACAATGTTGGATTGCAAGTTGGCCCATTTTTAAGGCTGGGAATTTTGGTTGGATCCAGGTGAACCCAACATGGGGACATGTGCAATCTACCCTCCCACCAACCAACATTGGAGGTGCATAGACCCCTGTAGAAAGACACTTTCTTCTCGGAAAGGGGCTTGTGCACGTCTACCCACATGTGGTTCCCGCAAGGACATAGGACAAGTAAAGAGTCCAACTCAACGATAAACTAGCGCACGTTTTGACCAGCAAGCAAAAGCGGCAACCGCCACCAAAGGGCAGCGCGGGGTTTCGAGTGGTCAGCGAGAAACAATGCGTAGGGTCCCTCCAGAAAGGTGCGATCCAAACCCTCCGATCAGAACCAGAACCTCCTTCTAAGAAGGCTTTTCGATCCGGTTCGAACCCTCAAACTCCCCGTATAAAAACGGGAATTCACCAATTCCATCATGTTGGGTTGCAATAACCCATCTTTAAGTTGGGGTTTGAGGGTTTTGTTTATCAGGTGAGCTGCGATCAACATTCACATGAAGAAATTCAGTGTTGCGGTGCCAAAATGGGATACGTTTGGTCACCATGTTCTCCCGACATTCAAAGTTCCAACTAAAAAATAGGTTATTGCAACCCAACATTTCTTTTGGTGAATTTCAACTCTTGTACGGGCCCCGTTCTTTCGGGTTCAGGCACACATTAACTAAATTAATTTCCATAACGACCACCCTCTTGGAGATGACTCGCCCGGTTGTCGCGAGCCTTTTGATGTTCCCCCCCGTTCCATAAATACCTCGCTCGCCGAGTTCCTGGACTGTCTTGCCAAAATTTGCATGTATCTAGAGTCTCCATGACCCTTTAAAAATGGGTCATTGACCCCATTATTTTGGGTAATGACCCCATTTTTTAAGGGTCATGGAGACTCCAGGTAGTTGAAGAGCAACGGCAAACACTCACCCCTGTGCGATAGGTAGAAAATGCGACATGGAATGAAGCGGAAGGGACTCCCGAAGAAAGGACACCACCAGTTGGATTGTTTATAAGGGTCATTCCCTCATTCCCTGCTGAGAACCAGCAAGCTTTGCCTGGACCCCGAAAAAAATAACCGTAAAAACAGAGAACTCGCCAATTCCAGTTGCAAAACCCAATGTTTAAAACGACTTGTGGGTCCAGGTAGTCATTTGTTGGGCCTGGACCATTTTAGTGCTAAACACAAAGTTTGGACTTTTTTGGCCAATCCACTGAAAAAGTAAGATACAAATCGTTGGACCTTGAGTGAGTCACCCTGCCCATAGGCACAGCAAAGCAACCAACCAACCAACCAACCAACCAACCAACCAAGCAAGCAAGCAAGCAAGCAAGCAAGCAAGCAACCAACCAACCAACCAACCAACCAATCAACCAACCATACAAAAAACCAATCTACCCTCAAACTAGCCATAGCAAAGGGACTTCACGCCATAATTGGGGCAGTGACCAATTTAGGAAGTGGCCAAATGAGTACGCTTTACCTTCGTTTACAGGCAAACCAACGGAAGACTATCACTTTCTTGACCGAGGTATGTGAGTGTATTTATCTCTCTACCCTCACCATTTGCGTGTGTAATTTCAAAGAGGGAAGTTGATATAGGGAAAGCCAATCCACAAATTTCCCTCAACAAATGATCATTTCCGATTTTTTTGAAGTGAATTCCCCCTTTTTTTCACGGATAGTTTTAAGTACTTGGAAAGCTGTTCCACCACAACCCGGCTGAGGTCCCAACCTCCGGCCTCACGAAAGACAAAGCCGAAACGACGCGCGACGCACGATCAGAAACGACCCACGTGCACGGCTGCCGTCCCAAATCCCAAGACTGAGAGTCATGGAGTTGAGTGGGGAGGTTGGACCCGTTTGCCCGGATTTGGTGCAGTGCGAAGACACGCATGACAATTCCACTAGTCCTCCAGTAGAGAAGTTAGAAAAAGGGTACGGTAGCCTTTTTCTGTAGTCTATTTTAGTAGGGGAACCCTCCCTCCAAAAAAGGCCTTGTGGTTGGTGTTTGACGTCAACGTAGGATTTTACGGAACCTCGGACTCTACAAAAAGGTCTGCCAGGGAAAGTCCGCGGCTCTGCTTTAAGAGGCTCCTTATTTGATTTGGGGCCTAACCAAACCACCACGTTTTTGAGACCGGGTCCCACCGGTGTCCGGGGTGGTCGGGCCTCTGGGTAGAGAGCGGGGAGCTCTGGAACGGTTTCATTGAACTTCGCTTTCGAAAAAACCGCTCGAGCAGTCCTTCACAACTTGGCGACGGTTCACAAGCCATCTGCTTTATTTATCCATGAAGCCATGACATGTTAAACTGGCAAAGGAGCCGAGGCATGAAAGTTGCTCCTCAATGCTTCGCAGTTTCTGGCACTTTGTGAATAGCAAGACCCCAAGCTTCATGGGATCCTTCGACCCTCCCCCGAGTTCCCCTACGCCCCTTATGTGGCCTTGCTTTTTGTTGTTTTTGTTGTTTGGAGGGGGGAGGCGAACAATGTTGGCGCAAGTTGGGGATCTGAAATCCCACATGTCACAAATGTTTGGTGGCAACTGGACACACACACACAAACACAAGCGCACACGCAGATAGACACGTAAACACAAGCATACACATGCAGCGCGCACACACACACACACACGCAAACGTTCGCAAAGCGCGCCCACACACAAACACACACACACACACACACACTCACACAAACACAAAATGAAACACAAACACAAACACAGAGACACACAGAAACACACAGAGACACCCAGAGACACACAGAGACACACAGAGACACACAGAGACACACAAAGACACACAGAGACACACAGACACACACACACACAGACACGCAGACACAGACAAGCACACAAACAAACACACACACACACACACAGACACAGACACAGACACAGATACACAGACACACGCACATGCAGACGCAGACGCAGACGCACACGCGCACGCAAAGACACACGCACACGCACACGCACACGGGCGCGCGCTCACACTCAAGCATACATAGGCACACTGGCACGAACAAACAACAAAAAAATCAAACAAACAAACAAACAAACAAATAAACATGCAAACAAACAAACAAACAAACAAACAAACAAACAAACAATCAAACAAGCAAAGCAAAGCAAAGCAAAACAAAACAAACAAACACACAAAAATACATACAAACAACCAACAACTGATACTGGGACTTTCGGCCCAGTTGGTAGGTGGTGAGGGACCCATGCAACAGCGGCATAGTAGAATGCAGCCCACAAAATCTACCGGGTAAACTCCACTGCGGGCCAAAGTGGGTGGGGAATATTCTAGGTGCTTGGCCACTTGCAAACTGACAGAGTTCTGCACTATTCTCCTTCAACATCAATTCCAAAGGAAGCGCCATGATATTGACCTTGATCTTCCAGGACCCTGAAAAAGCAGGCCTTTGGCTGATTTGCCTTTTTTAACCAAGAGACAAATCCAGAAGGACCCTGTTTTTGCGGGCCCTTGGAAGACCAAGGTTGACCTCTCCAAAAGGGGAGAAGTCAAAAACACTCAACCAACACTTCCGGCAGCTCCCAAGGGCTCCCCTCTAAGGCAAATGTAGATATTCCCAGCTCCGAGTCCGGCTCGCTTCCGACCAGGTAGGAAAATCAGCTCCGGCTGGGTTTCTTTCTTGTATTTCCCACATGGCCATGGGTCAAAAACCCGTACCCCCGGTGGACATCCCAATCTCCAGTAAAATTGACTAAAATGGGTGGTGCACCTATCCCAAAATGGTACCATTGGTTTTGAACCATGGCAGAATGTTGAAATCACATTCTCGGAACCGCAGTATTTCTTTCAGGACTCTTGCCATGGAACCGCGTCTCGCGTCTTGCAAAAGCGGCCCAATGTGTGTTTTCGGTGGCGTCCCGGGGCCGGAAAGGCTTCCCCGAGGGCCCGCGGTTGTTTCCTTTTGGGATGCCGCCTTGTTTCTGGCCCCAGGCGCGAAGCAAAAAAACACATACAAACACACTAATAGACTTGGTTGACGTTGGAAGGGGAGCCAACCATTTAAATCTTAGCAGCTAAGTGGTTGGATTTCAACCACTAAGCCACAAAAAGGTAACATGTTTCCCAACAACAACCATGACTAGGCCTCCAAGAATGCCAATTCGAAAGGTACGAATTCAAGGAGCCGGATAGAACCCAGGTGTTCTTTGTTTGGAATCGCTACGTAGTTGCTCGCTCATCTTGCTTGGTGGAGAGGCCAAACTGAGGAATTCCAAGTAGCAGCAGCTACCTGGACCCTTGAATGTCCAACTTGAAAATGGGTTGTTGCAACCCGAAATTATGGGATTGGCGATTTCTCCCTTTCTTTATGGGTAGTTCTTTCGGGCTAAGGGATTGATGGATCCATAAGCGACCCTCGCAGATGCCTGGCGTTGCGCCAGAGACTCGGCGGATACTTTTTGCACCTCCCATGCCCCGCCCCGCCGCCTCTGTCTCGGCTCGGGGCGTAAGCCTGTTCGACGTTGGGCTGTCGGGAACAGAACTTGGGCTGGCCTCTGTTTAAGCAAAGCAACCGAAAAGAAGGACGCCAATCTTACCTAGGTCCTCCAGATTTGGAGGTTAGAATATAGGTACCTTTTTTTCTGTAGTCTATTTTAGTAGGGGAACCCTCCCCCAAAAAAGACTAAAAGAGAACTACTGGGGGACCTGTCTAACCCAAAAGAGCGCTTTCTTTCTGATCCCCCTAAAAGTGGATAACTTGTGGGTTAAACCTGAAAACCCAACCTTTCACCAACTAAAACTCACTTCCGATCGAGTCGATGGGCCAAAAAAGTAGCCAAACATTTTTGTAGCTACCACCAAAATGGTTCACGCCCAAAAAAAAAATGACTCAGGAATTTGAGGACGTGGGATCCAGTGTTTCGGGTGGAAAAAACCAGGTCGCTCTAAGGTCTTTGGGCTCTATGGAGTGTAAACCAGTTCCAGGGCTAGAAGCAGCTCCCTGCTACAAGCTGAACTTTTTGTGGGTTGCATGGGACACGAAACACTAAAGACCAAAAACAACACAGGAACCGGACGGCTTTTTAACCGCCAAGAGTTTCTGGGAATCCAGAAATTCGGGGGTCAACGCCGATTCCTCTGGGCTAAGAGGCCGATTGCAAAACCCCAGGAGCAGAAACCCCACGCGATCCGCGAGGCATCGGCACGAGAGCTTCCGGGTTACCCGGTGAGCGTCATGTGCGCCGGTCCGGGAAGCGGGAAGCAAGTCGCCAAAGGAAACCAAGCTGCAAAGCTTGTGCACATCCTTGGGTGCTAGGGTTCCAGCATGGGGACTCTTGATAACACGGGGATGGTGTGTCTTTGAGTCGAAAAATGAGCACTTAGCTTACCCGGCGAATCGTAGGCAAGCGCTTATACCAGGTAACCCTCCCCAGTGTCCTTTTGTTTTCAAAAGGGGGTTTCCTTTTATACAGGTACCCGGACGCTCAAAACGCTGACTATAAACCCAAAACCCCCTCTTTGCATGAGTAGTTTCAGCGTTCAGATACTTGCAAGCCGCTGCGGCCAACCCTAACTAGCTGGTAATGGGAAGGGTTTCAACGCACGCCACCACAAAATTCAATAATTAACCCCATGGGAAAGATTTGTCTGCCTGGACCCTCAAAGTTCCCTCAAAAACCGGGTCTTGCCCCAACACATGTTGTGAATACCATTTTCCCCACCCGACAGGAAGGGGTTGTTAGATTTTATGTGGGAATCCGCGTTTGCGATGCTTCTACACCACGCCCCCGCCCAGTATCCCGCCAGAGCAGCTCGCCAGCGATCCCGCCGAGTATCCCGCCAGAAGTGTTTGGGTAGTTGGGTTTATGGTGGTTTCCCTTTATCCCCTTTATGTTGGTGGAAAAAGCCAGAGTCATGGTTCAAATGGTAAGGCAAAATTCCAGTTTCGAGTTTCTTTTATTTGGAGCCCTTTTTGTCTCTACCAAACACCACCTGGATCTCGAGTTCGCATCCCCGCATGGTTTTCACTCGAAGCCTACAGGTCCGAAGGCGACAGGTTCTCTCGAAGAAAAAGGCTGGCTAGGCTTTGGTTACATGAAATGGCTCTTGGATTTCCAAATGGCTTATCCGGGCGGCCTGGTCAGATAGGCTTTTTCAACCGTGCTTAAAAAGCAACAGACCTTCCGGAAGTAAGCTTTTTTGGAAATCCAACAGAAATGGCCCCAAAACATGCCAAAACACACTAAAAAAGCTCTGTTTGCCTGTTTCGAATTTCCTGTAACCCAACCCTTTGACTGGCGGTGTTTGGTTTTCCACTGGGCTTCATATGACAAGATGAGTCACCCTAATGTGGGTCAAGTGGATGGTTGCGAAATGCAGAAATCGCACCAGGAAATGAAACAATGTTTGTTAAATGGGTTTTGTATGGGTTTTGTGCGGGTCTTGTATGGTCTTTGTCTGGTTTTTGTACGGTTTTATAAAGTAAAACCAGGTGTTTGAGTGGGAAAAATGTGATTTTGGTAAGCAACAGGTTAAACCTTGGGGTAGAGGGTACCTTCAGGGGGAGGGGGCGGGGGGTAAATGAAATACATGCAATTTCCCTTCCCTCGATTTGGGAACGAATCGATCGCAAGCGATCGAACTCGACATGTTTTGGGGGTCGCCATTCAGATGGACCGAATCGATTCCAAGGAGCGGCTCGGAGTCCAAGGTAAGCAAACGGATTGGATCTGCGCTTCCCAGAGGCTCTTGGCTTCGGCTATGGAAGACCCGCGACCCCCTCCATTAGACACCCCGGAAACCGGTTGGGACCCGGGCTCAAAACCAGGTGGTTAGGCCCTAAATCAATCGAATTGGAGCCTCGGGGTTGGGGATCATGGGATCATCACCACTTCTTCGCCCGTTGTTTGGTCCTCTTTGGTCATCTGGTACTCTTTATTTTACAGGGCTGGATGAAAAAAAAGCTTCTGGTTTCACCTCTACTCCTTAGTAATCTGCTGAAAAGTAATATCCTTCTTGGTTTCTCCGAAGAAGTCACAAAACGAGACCATCTTCTGGCAGCTTACCGTGGGCACCGACCCAACTGACCTGAGAGCCACGGACCGGATACCTCGCTGAGAGATCAAACGGCGCTGGATGCCCACGCCCGGACACTTGCGATCCCTTGCAAGCTAAGGGCACCTCCAAAGAGATGCCTCCCAACAAAAACGGGGTTTGGTGGGTTCCACGGAAAAAAGAGAGAAACAAGTGAAACCAATCCCGGAGGTCTAGAGAAAAAAAAGGAGGAAAAAAAGAAGTGAAACCAATCCCGGAGGTCTAGCGTACGTGGCGTTCCCTTCGAGAAACCGGGTGGGTTGCTTCCAGCGCCCTTGAGAAATTGTGTTACCTTTAGATATGGAAATGCCATCCGGCTCACACCAAAGATCAGCCATAGAAACGGGGGTGCCTGGGACCCCCGAACGTCCACAAAATTCCCTGATTTTTTTTTTTTACCCCAACCATATGGGGTGCATTCCCTTTCTATCTGGTAGTTTGAAGGTTCAGGGGTGGACTTTGGGCATCTGCCAACACCCATCCGTTTCTTTCATCCCGTGCCTGGATCAACAGCTTTGGCTTGCGAGAAGACCTGACAAGCGACTAGCTGTGCTAGCTGGGGATTTCGTTCTCTAGGGTCCCAAGACCCTAATGTCAACCCCGGCTTGATAAACCCCTGGTTGATTAATAGGGGGGTGTCCCCTTTTAGTGGGGAGATTCCTCACTTTTGGAGGGAACACCCCCTAATAATGGGACGGGTTGATTAATCCTGAGTCAACATTACCCTGGATGGTTGCGAAATCCATTTCGCACCACCTACTACCCTGGAATGGGTGCGTGCTTCCCCCCAAAATAATAATAATACCAACAAACCTTATGGTTTCTTCTGCTTCAAAGTGGTCCGAAATGGACTTCGCAACCATCCACAGCATTATCGTCCAAACCGATCCCCGTGCCAAAGGGGTTGACAATGGTTGACATTTTTTTGGGTTAAATGGACACCCCCACTAAACCCGTCAAAAATGAAAAACCAAAGGGGACGGCTGGGAACCGCCAAGATATGTTGAGGTCTTTTAGGTCTTGGAATCCTAGGGTGGGGTCGATTCCACTTCTTCGTCTTCTTTTTGCGGCAAAAACCGAGGTGCCACAAAAAAGAGGCAGACCCAGCTGTCAAAAGCCGCGTAAGCTATAAAGAACAGACCGGGCTTCTGCTCGACCGCTAAGCCTACTCACACAGAAGCTGGGACTGTTTCCCCAGATTCGACCACGGAAGGCGGTTGCATTGCGAATTCTGAAAAACCAACGCAGCTCGTTGGGTTCGCATGCCTGCGTCAAGAGACCCCATTCTCAAAATTTGCGCACTTTGACAGAACAGCCACATAATTGGATCAATATGGGGGTGTCGTTTTTGAGGGTACCAGTTTTAAGCTTTTAAAGGGACACCAAAAGGAACACCACCGTTTTGTTTTGGGTGGAGATCTCCTAAATAAATATGCTGTATATGTATTGTCTGGGTGAATGCTCACAAGTCGATCAACAAACCTGGAGTGTCGAGAGATGAGCCTTGTAACATGAGGTCTACATCTTATAAACATAGGCTTCGGTCGCTGGAATTGGCCACCGGAATCTCTGCTTCGACCTCTTGGTATTGAATAAAACTCAAAACTCGGCGGCAGGTATTGCTGGAGTCTCCATGATCCTTTAAAAATGGGGTCATTACCCAAAATATTTCGGGGTCATGGAGTCATGGAGACTCCAGGTTGAATAAAAAGACAAAAATCGGCGGCATACCCACGCCAACAAGTAAGCATTCGCGGCAGTAGAAGATGTCCTAGTGCTGACCCAGGATTACAGAACCCGTCTCATTATTAGAGGTTATTCCCTCCAAAAGTGATGAATCCCAACTAAAAGGGGACACCCCCCAATCAAAATCAATCAGGGGTTTACTAAGCCGGGGTTAACATTAAATGGGTGAAGAGAAAAGGGGCTTTTTGTTCACTTCTTGTTACGCACTAACTGAAAAGCAGTGGGATACACAGGACAATTGGTCTAACTCTGAGCAGGCCTTCCCCTCGAGCAAATGCGAAATCAAACAAATCCAAATCATTGGGTCTGCTACTCTTCGGTTGGTTACAAGGGAAATGACAAATGCCACCAGTTTGGGGACCCCCCACCCTTTTTATCCGACCAAAGATCAACTTGTAAAGGACCTTTGACATCACTCCAGGTTTCCTGTCACTCAGGCCACACATGGTGTTGCAAGGTAGCTCGAAAAGGTTAGCCCCAGGCCCTTGGGTATTCTTGGGCTGTCTGGCAGGCAAAGGAATCAGCTTGAAACAAAAGAATCATCAAATCAGCCACCAAGATCTGAAGGGGACGCCCTCCACTTTCCAAGGCGACGCCCAAAATGAATGTTTGCCCCGAGAGGACTGGACGTGCAAACATCGTGGCCCCCGAAAGATGGGGTCATGTGTGAGCAGCTCTCTCGTGTCATAGGTGGCCTTTTGGAAAAATCGATGGGTTTCCGCTGGTAAATGGAACAAAACCCATCTAAACCAGTGCCATCGATTTGTAACCAGGCTCACCTAAAAAGGACACCTTTGTCTCGTGTTTTGTTTTTTGATTGCAGGGCCCAGAACTTTGGCATCAGATCCACTCAATTCCGTGGCTTGGCCATGTTTGGTTTTTCAAGATGCTCCAAACCCTGACAAATTTGAAATGTGGGTCAAGAAAAGGGACCCATGTGCGACCCATGTGTTGCTCTGGTAAGTGGAACCAAGGACTGAAACCTGCTGTTCAGTCTTGGCTGCTGCTGATCCCTCTGCAAAAGTTTAACTTTTTGTGGGTATAGTAGACAACCCCTTGATGTCCCAAAAAGCTAAATCTAAAGATCCAACCCAATAGCAGTCAAGCAGTACCCATTGAAGACTCTGATTCGGAACCCCGAGTCCAATCACTCGCCTCGTCGAGCACCGAGGGCTGCCAACCCCCCAGCAAGGTGCTGGTCTTGCAGACCTGCCGACCTCGATCGTGGCCACTCTATGGAGCATTGGTATACCTCACTTGCCCAAAGGACCTGCAAATAAAAGGTGATCACCTTTTGGGACCTCTACTAAGAAAAGACCAAAAAGGGAAAACCAAAAGGTCAAAAGGTCGGCTTTGAACAACTGAGATACGTATGTCTGATGTCGCTACAAACTGATGCAATCAAACTCAGCCAATTTCAGCTTTCTTGTTGCCTAGAGTCTCCCTCTGACCTGTCAAGAATGGGTCCATGACTTTGGAATTTTGGGATACTGACCAACCATTTTTGAAGGCTCATGGAGACTCCAGGTAGGGGCAATCCCTCCAAAAAACAAAAAAAGGACCCGGCTTCCCTTTGAAGACAAATAATACCTCACGTAAGTCCCTTTCGTTTTGGTTTGGGGTGGTTCTCTCCATGCTCAATTTGGTCAATCCTGTCTGTGTCAAACTGGGGACTCGGACTCCGAACTGCCGGCCCGGATGGTTCCCCTTCGAATTTCCGAAGCTGGGCTGAATCGCAAACCCAGTGGATCCGATAGGCGCCTCGTCTTGGGCTCCCCTAACACGAGGGTGTTCTCTGGCGACACGAGTGATTCCCGGACCCACTGAATCCCAGTGGCGTTGTGCCCTGGTGAGGTCACCAACCAAAAATTGCCGGTTTTTTTACAATCGGGGCGGAGGTGGTTTTTGTGGTTCCACCCCTGTAGAAGGTTAAAAGAGTACTAAAAGAGTACTAAAAAAGGACCAACAGGGGGAAGAACAGGTGAAATCCACAAAAGGCGCATCCAAACCGTTTCCCAGAGACCTATGCAGGTAAACGGATCCAACGGAATCCATCCCCGAATCCCAATTCGAAGGGCTCCAGTCTCGAGCCGTCCTGGGATCGGCTCTAAGGATCTGTCATGCTGTCATGCTCGTTTCGGGGCATGAAAACTCGGAACCCCTTTGTGGAATGCGCGCAAAAACAGTGTTTTTAGGGGGCAAACACCACATAACAAAACGTTTTCCGGGAGTTTTGGGGAGGGAAACTTCACAAAAAGGGGGGGGGCAACATAAGCAACCCGAATTTGTAGCGCAGCTTCGGGGCAAACTAAAACAAGTCTTTACGGGGCAAGCTCACGAATCCAACTGGTTAGGGCATTTTACGTGGCAAACTAAATACAAGTTATTACGGGGGTAAACCACACAACCCGAAGGGGGAAAATTAAGTCAAGTTTTTAGGGGCAAACAAAACAACCCGAAAAGAAACTGAGTGGGGCAAACTAAATCTAGTCTTTCGGGGCCAACCTAAACACCGGGCAAACTCAAAAGTGTTCAGGGGCTAGGGCGCAAACGAAGCAACCCAAACGACAACTTACGGGGCAAACTCCATAAACTGTTTAGGGGCAAACAAACCAACCTGGACCCTCAAACTAAGCAAACAACAAGGAATTCACTCACCAACCATAATTTTGGGTTGCAACAACCCATCGATGAGTCGGGCCTTTGAGGGGTCATGTCTTCGGGCAAACAAAACAACCCGTGTTTAGGGGGCAAACTAAGAAAAACAAATTGGGGGTAAACACAACAATCCCAATTGTTAGGGAAGCAGGGGGGCAAACTAACACAGGTTGCCTGGGGGGGCAAACAGAAGAACTGAGAAGCCCTTCAGTAGCATTGATATGTTGCCCTTATGGCTACCTTGAGGGGCCAGGAACTCATTCTGTGAGGTGCTGGCGGGTGCTCTCGGGGCTGTTGGTGGTGCTGCCGCCGCCTCGAACCGCTGAAAGGGAAACATGCGGGGCCGGGTTGGGTGGGTTGGGTGAGGGGCTGGGTACATGGGAGTTAATCAAAAGGTCCGCGATACATGGCTGACAATTGGTTGGAACACCACTAAGATGCTATTCCCGCACGGGAAACGTTACCCATGGTCATGTAGGCCGAACGGAATATTGATCAACCCCCACATGAGTCGCAATCAAAACCCGGTATTAACATGGTTGACCCAGAACCATGTAAGGAAATACCAAGGCGGATATCCGCAACAATTTATGGCTGGGATTGTCCCTTACTAACCTTCATCGGTCTCCGGGTTTTGAGCAAGTGGCTCACATGAGAAGAAAACAAATATGGAAAGGGCTGGGTGACTTGCGAACCTCCGAACCGCCAACCGAGAGCTGAACATTTCGGCCACGAACTGCCTGGACGAAAAAAAAGGATCCGACTTAACAAAACGGTTCACGCAACTCAACATTCTGGTGGGCGAGTCCCTTTTTCCTGGGTAGTTTGAGGATTCAGGTATGCAGTTCATTCTTTTTTGCTGGGGGGGAGGGGGTTCTTGGATGTTGAACCTATTTAACTATTTAGTACATGGAGTAAAACCTATAGGTCATAGCTTGGGTGATTCACCGGGGTTAGTCGGTGACCCATCCCAGTGGATCCCAGTTAGCCATACGTAACCCTCCGTCATAAATAGGTACCCCAAATGGGTTGCCCCGGTAAACAGAAACACGGACCAAAACCTGCGGTCCAATTCCTGGTGGCTTAATTTTGACCCATACCCAAATGAATTCGTGGCCTCTCCTCGCTCATCCCGGATCCACGTAGCTGGATTTGCCAGTTTCCTTTTGGCTTTTGAAGGTTGGTTCCCTTGGTTCCCCGCTATACCGTTGTTTTTTTTTGTTTTTTCCTTTTTTTTTTTTTTTTCGGAATCACTTGGATGGGGAATGCAGAAGCGGCCTCGGGACTGCGGACTTGTTTTTTCATGCAGAAATTCGGCATTTCTTTGCCACAATTCCAAGGCCTGAAATACGAACTGGATGCGCAGATGATAAAGAAGAGACCAACAAAAAACGTAAAGAAATGGCTGGGAACCATCCAGTTGCATTTCAGGGATCCAAACAAAACCCTCCCCAACGGTTTCTACACTAATCTTCCCCAAACGAGAAGGCCACATCTTGCTCATTCCGAATCCTTCTGGTTCTTGAATCAACCGATATTGCGGGCTCCTGGGATGCCTCGCCCGACCCAGTGATTCCATCTACCTTCACATGGTAAGTAGCCAAAGGAACCACCCTTAAACGGCAAAAGGACGAATGGTGAGCTCCCTACTTTTGTTTGAGAAACGCCTGGGATCCCCTGAGTAGCAACGCAACAGCCAACAGCCAACAGCCTGAACCCTCAAAGTACCCATAAAACCAGGGACTTCAGTCACCACATCATTTTGGGGCAATAAACCGTGTTTCGGGTCAGGCAGATGGGTCAGGTACATTGGTCCCATTTTCTTTGCAGACCGGAATTTTGAGGGTTCAGGCAGAGGGGACCCCCGGATCAACAAACGCTGGTTGGTTAATAGGACGGTGTCCCTTTTTAGTGGAGACCCGGACCACCTTTGAGGGCTTTTTCACCCAGGATCTTGTTTAGGAGAATCTAGTTGTCAGCCCAAGGAATGGGGACTTGTAAGCCAAGGATGTTGAGCTGACGTGGGGGGGGGGGTCATCCAAGTTGGTAAGGCAACTTATTTATGAGGCGGGCAGGTATCAGGGGTCAACATTACTGAAAAGTACCTGAACCCTTAAAATACCCATAATCACATAGCATCCACCAACCAATCATTTCGGGGTTGCAACAACATGTGGCTATGACTTTTGATAGGGAACACCCTCCAAATCTCCAAAGTGGTTGGTGGACCACTTTATCCCCACCTAAAAGTCCAGCAAGGGCTCCCCAAACAAAATTTAGACCCATGCTTTTTAACGCTGGACCCCCCCCCCCCCCCGGCCTTCTCAGGGGACCCTCCAACTACCCACAAAAAACTTGGCACACCGATTCCGTAACTTTTGGTTGCAAAAACAAATGCATAAGTCGGAACTTTGGGTTGGGTCGAGCTATCCACACCCAAGTCTTCGCTCTCAGGCCGTGGCTAGCCGTGCCCGAAATCTCCTGAGATCGCGGGGCGCAAAAACGGAAACCGCGCAGAACAGACCGTAAGGGTCCAAGTCGAGAATGGGCTTTGAGGGTAAAAGTTGGGTACCTGCAAAGAAGGTCATGTTGACCCCGGATTAATAAACCCATGTTTATTCATATGGGGGTGTTCCCCTAAAAGTGATAAATCCCCACTAAAACCAGGGACACCCTCATATGAAAATAAGCAGTTTTTAGTTTATATTATTATTACATATATAATAATTTAAACAAAAATCCGGGGTCACCATTACTGGGATCTTGAGGATGGGAGGGGCTCAGCAGTCCTCTGCCAAAAGACCAACTGGGGCCGAAGAAGGAAGCCAAAGCGCTGTGAGACAGGAACTAGGTCCTCCAGTTTTGAGAGCTTAGAATTAGGGTACCCGTTTTTGTATTGTTTTTTTTTCCTGTAGTCGATTCGGTCTATTCTGGTAGGGGAACCCTGCCGCCCAAAAAATTGGCAAGAGGGCACTACTGGGGGACCTAGGGAACAAGGCTGTGTGCCAAAACGAGGCACCTGGAAGAGTCAAACAGAAAGACAGCAACATGAGAATCCAGCTCGAATCACACATACGCGCAATTGCATGTACCTTGGCTGGAACTAGGACCCCTGCAAAATATATATATATATATACATATATACATATATACCTGGAGCACCCTTCGTTACATAAATTTCTGCCCTTAGCCCAAACGTATTGCAAAACCAGGGGTCGTCACCAAAATATGGTAAACGTACACTTTTTCCTGCTTCGAGCGTTTTTCCCAAAACCGGGCTGGTCGGTCCTCCAAGATGATCGGTCGCTGAATATTCAAAAGGAGCGAGCAGAAATCAAAGTGCAAAACGAGCGCAAATATCCGCAAAACGAGCGCAAATATCCGCAAACAAGTGCAATTTTAAAAAATGTAACAATCCCGCCTTCCTCTGGATGGAAGAAGGGATTTGGTCGAGCGTTTTTCGGGGGGGGGGGCGAGCGTTTTTTGGGGGGTCGAGCAGAAATCGGTAATTCGAGCGTTTTTTTCTCGTACCTAAAAAAAAGGGCACGTTGGGTGCCTCAGGTATATATGTTCCAGGCCGTGGACCGTGGGGGTGGGGTGGGTGGGTGGTGGGGTGGTGGTGGGGTGGTGGGGTGGTGGTTGGGTGGTTGGGTGGTTGGGCCAACCCCCCCCCTTTTTGCGTGGGGGGTGGGGTGGGTGGTGGGGTGGTGGGGTGGTGGGGTGGTGGGGTGGTTGGGTGGTTGGGTGGTTGGGTGGTTGGGTGGTTGGGGTGTGGTTCGGAGTTGGTTTAGGCTTGGTGGGTTGGTTTAGGGTTGGTTCAGGGTTGGTTCAGGGTTGGTTTGCGGTGGGTTTCGGGTGGGTTTGGGTTTTGGGTTGATTTAGGCTTAGGGTTGGGGTTAAGGAGGGGTTGCAGGGTGGTTTGGTTTAGGGTAGGATGTTGCGAGAGGTGCGGGGGTGTTGGTTCACGGGGTGAAAGGGGGTCTGGGACCGAAGCTGCAGGGCTCGCACGGTACTGGACAGCATCCCCAGCATTGCCAGCATCATCCCCAAGATGCGGATGATGCGGGGGAGTGGGGGGACCATACCATTGGGGGGGGGGGGGGTACGTGGCCCAGGGACTGGTACATATATATATATATACTATACATATGTTTTGCCTGGTTTGTTGAAAACAAAGGGAACCTCAAAAAAGCAAAAACAATAAAAGGGGAACTAATACTGGGGAGGGTACATGGTGTAAACTGTGGCCATAATCAAAAGCAACCAGAAGAGGACCAAACATGCGAAGCTTCTTTGCTTCTACGCCTCTTGTCAGGAGCTGCCTGATTCTCTTGGTTGACGTTGGAAGGGAAGCAACCATTTAATATTAGCAGTTCAGTGGGGATTTCCCACTAAACCACAATAAGCAAACATGTAAATTGTTTCCCAACAACAACCATGAGGAGCTGCCTGATTCTTGCGAGCCAATCAGGTCCTTCAGGGGCTTACAGAAGGCCTAGCCCAAAGTGGATTCGGACGGCTCGGACCCGGAGACCAAGGCAGTGATCGATCTAGGGGTACCTTCCATTTCCATTTCCAGGGATCCGATTCTTTCTGGAAAACCTCCGGAAGGGAAAACGGATCCGGATGGTTGAACAGAATAACCCGAAAATTGAGTCTCCCTGCGATCGCCAGTCGCCCAGTCGCCAATTGGCCGACCAAAGGCCACAGAATCTCTTTGCTTTCTGCGACCTCTACGCTTCCATTTGGTTCAGACCCCAGGAAAACATAAACATATTTCCAGTAGTGATGAATAAACACATATTCTTAAGCAAACGGAGGTAAGCCTTGTTCGCGTGCCAAATGGGATCTTATACTTGCATCATCTCCCACGACGCTCAGAAATCCTGTAAAGCAGTTTGTATCTGACGCACGGAAACGTTTGATTGTGAGCTGTGGGAATGACTTCGGAATGACAATTGGCTTCCGACCGTTTGAAGGGGGCAGGCATTCAATGTCAGCAAAGACGCCTGCCATTGTTCAAAGCGGCCAGCAAAGTCTTACGATACCCCATGCCCTCTCTCTGCAAATCAAGCTTGTCAGAACTTGGTCGACCTTGACAGGAGGGGCTTGTTCAAGGTGAAACTGACATGGCTTGGGGCAATGGGAACCCCGGCAAATAATAAGCCCCTCACACTAATTGTTGGGGTGTCACCCACAAGAATGACGAATTCCACAAGGGAAATTCATCAACCAAGGGTTGATGTATCCAGGGGGAACATCAGTCCCTGCAATGCCTAGGTGTTGATTGTGAGTATCTCTTAAGACTTTGCCCAGTTCCATTGAACCAAGTGGCTCACCAGGAAAACCAAAAGGTCAGCTTTTGCGCAACCTATGCCTCCAGTTGCTTAAGTCCCTGGAACAAATGAGAACATCTTTCCAGCAGTGAGAAATTCCAACTAAAACGCCGACAGGGAAAATATAACATAATTTCTAGGGGTTGATTCCCCATTCTTTTCAGCCATCGTTTTTTCCCAACAACCAGCCATTTCCCCAGGGTTTTTGGTGGTTTTCTACCCTGGAAAGAATCGGGAAGTTACCCCTAGAATATTCTTAAGCAAATGGAAGTGTGTACTAAATGGGCTAAGCCTAGTTTTGGCGCAGACCCCACGTCACTCTCGTGGGGTTCCGCACAGCCCTCGTTTGAAGGCAACTGGGCGCCCCAGCTGTGCCAACCAGCGAGAGGCGGGCGCCCACACCTCTGCAAACCCATTTTGGGTTTATCGGGGGCACCCTTTTCACCTTGGTTCAGGAAAGCGCTACCCCATATATTTGTTTGTACTTGAACCCGAAAGAACTACCCAGAAAAAGTGGGCGAAATCACAAACTCCAAAAACTTGGGTTGCAATGCCTCTTTTCAAAGTCGGACGTTTAAGGGTTCAGGTATACCCTTCTCAACTCGAATCAGCGGAAAGCCACATGAACAACCACAATTTTCTTGGGGGCCCCCTATTTTGATACACCTTTGTGCGTACTTGACTCATGGGGCCCGGACTCAACACGTAGCAAACGGGCTCCGATCGCTTGCACCAGAGAAAAGGAAAGTCATATGGGTGTGTCTTTTCTTGAGGGTACCCTTTCCAGGGTTGGTTCAAAAGGAAAGTAAAAGGAAACCACCCATTTCGTGGGGTGCCCAAAAAAACGACGCACCCATATTAAGCAGAGACTTCATTTCCTAAACGAGGGTTGTTCCCAACAATGTCACACAGGGTTGGTAGACAAAATAGGCCCCTAAAAGGTTGGCACTAGCAAAAAGAAAGAAACAAGAAAAAGGAAAAAAAAAAAGACGGGTGGAAGCAAAGGAATGCTTGCACATCCGCCTTTCACATCGCCCCCATCAGCTCCTTGAAGAAGCCGGTTTTTACGGGTTCGAACCGTGCCCCCACACTGGCACAGGATAAGCATAGGGTCGCCCAATTGACATGCTGGCCCAATTATTCTTATGGGTACCTGGGCCCTTAAGCATTGACTCAAAACATGATTGTGATATCATGGTCCACCTGTGGATTGAGCAGCTATTGTATAACCCTCCCCCTTTCCGGATCCCCTCCCTGGAACCACAATGGACCTGGAGCATATGTGTTCTAAGATTCTGCTTGGTGAGTTCCAACTTTCTATGGGTATATAGTTCTTTCGGGTTCAAATGAACCAGCCAGGTGATCTTTCCTATCCTAAGGTTCCAAAAGATTAATCCTTTATGCCTGGCTCCTGTGGGCATTCACCAATGCACCAATGCATGGCTTCCTGCCGTATGAGATACGACCGTTTGGGAGGGTGACTTCAGCGGTGATTGGCGCTGCAAGTGAGTTATGCAGTCGGGAAAGGGTTTCCGCCCCGTTCGCTGCTTTCTTCAGCGTGTGGGAACCACTTCCATACCGGTTAAAAGCCTAACAGTTTATATGCCCTTACTTCCCCCCCCCCCCCCTAGCTGTCCCCCCTCTCTTCAGACTTCCTGAGATTTGCCAACACAAAGCATATCAGGACCCTCAAACTTCCCACAAACAAGGCAATTCACCCACCATATTTGGGGTTGCAACGACCAACTCCTCAGTTGGACTTTTGAGGCTCCGGGTACCCATAATCAAATCATCGGGGAACGCGCCCAAAACAGGGAATTCACCCCACACAGTTCTAAGTTGGAATTGTGGTTGGGTCCAGGTACCTGTGCTGAACTTACCACCAACATGCTCCCGAAATGGATCTCCGGTCCAGTGCCCAACCGGCCTCCCATAGACCGGCTGTGGTGCAGAGGCAGAGGGCTCGCCACTGCAGCCCTGCCGCTGACATACATTGGGCAGAAAAGGAGCTGCAAAAGCGAATTGACAGGAGAAAATGAGTTGAACACCCTCAGAATTCCAACTTGAACATTATGTGGGTGTGGCTCAAAATTAAACAGGAGGGGTTACGCAGGTTTTGGTCCATGTTTCCAATTACCAGGGTTCCATCTTGGTACCGGTTTTTTGAGCCACACCCATTTGTTCTTGCCACCCATTGGTTGGTGAGCTCCAAGTTCCTGAGAGTGCTTCCGGGAGGTTTTTCCAAGTCGACCAGCGATATTTGGCCAGAGGCCGAATCCAGGGAAAGCGGCCAAGAGCCAAAGACGTGGGAGGCCAAAAGCGGAAGCGGGTGGCCGGGTCAAAGCGTCAAAGGGAGTAACGTAAGAGCCCAAACAATGAGAATGGGGGGGGGGGATTGGAGGATGTTAAAACAACAAATTGTCATGATTATAGAAAAGGTGTGAAGTAAAAAGGAAATCTTTAGGCACCTACAGTTGCCCGACACAAGCCAAGAAAGCAATCAGCGCGAAGCCATGGTTCAGCAGACCGCTATGTCAAAAGCGGGCCAGAAGCGGTACACATCACCGCAGGAGACCGGAGACGGAAGAAGGAGGAGACGGAGACGCAAAGCTATCTTCCTGGGTTGATCAAGGATCCGGATGCATTATACACCTGAACATTGCAACTTGTAAATGGTGGTTTCCCTTTGTTTTGGTGTGGAAACAGCAACATGTTTCAAATGGTTGCATTTTTTTTTTTAAGTAGCCCTGATGCTGCACAGCAAGTCCTAACATTTTGTTTGCCACTTGCCATGGCTCAAATTTAAAAGTTTTAACTTTAGGAACTCTTTTCGAAGTGAGAACAAGAGATGCGAGAAGGCGAGAAGCATCAGAACTCATCAATTGAGACCAAGGGATCCGAGGGTAGCAGAGCTTTGACCTGCCAACCCGCCATAAACAAGCTGCATCGGCTTTCACCAACCATAATGTTGGTTGGCAATAACCAATTTTTAAGAGAATAATGAGGTATAAACTTTCACCAACCATCATTTTGGTTGGCAATGACCCATTTTTAAGAGAATCATGAGGGTCTAGGTATGCTTTACAATTGTCTGGACCCCGTGTTGGCGTTGCAGAAAACCCACCAAAAAAAAACGTGCACAATAAGTCCCCTCTTAGAGGCAAATGGTCGCGGCCCAATAACATGAACCAACATGGCACATTGGGAAATAGAACCAACAACTAATACCTGCGTAACCCTAGTTCTCGAATTTCGAGCCATACCCACATGTGTTTTGGACGCACTTTCTGTGCCAATGGCATCTTCAAAGCAGCCAGGTATAGTCCTGAATTCAAAGCCCGAGGGGTAGCACAGTTGACTCTCCAGAACTGAGTAGTCCGGTTTAAGACAGAATCAACCCCCAGGCCCGGGGAAGATCTTTGAGAGTGATTCCATTTACCTCATTTCGCAGAGAACCATGGGCTTGCCAGCCTTCAACATCCAAAAGAAAATGTCGAAGGTGTACCTGCTGACAGCGGCCCATCCGCCAGGAATTTGGAGTTCAGCTCGACCGCCGCTGCGGTGCAGCCCTCGCACATTCTCAAACACACGAGGTCGCCGTCTGCCGGCCACATGCGAATCAAGTGTACCTCCAGCTTGGCCGTTTCATTGTCGCAGCTTTCGCATTGGGCTTCGGCCATGTTGGCAGAGGGACAACGAATCAGATGTCGGTGCCTTGGGCCTGCAGGCACCACAGAGACCCAGCAAACCCTTGTAAAAGGAATTGCTAATGTCGCACTTGGTTTGATATCGGTAGTCTGAATTGTGTCAAGGGTCCTCGGCTTAAACATGAACCCCCCCCACGGATTCGGTATGATGATTCATGTCAAGTTGTTTCTCCGGGGAGAAAACAAAAAACGGCAAGACACTGGGCCAACAAAGTTGGCCAACAAACAACCGGGCAAACCCTTAGGATTCCTTTTTGAAGTGGTCCCCAAACCATCAAATGTAGGATAACTTCTTTACAAACAAGTAGAGGCAAACCGGCCCTGAGTGTGCTGAATGTGACTGCTTTGGGGGTTGCTTGAATGTCCAACTTTTTTCACGCGGTTGCTGAAACTCCAAAACAAAAGCCTTAGCATTTTATGTTGAATCCGTGCTTCACCTAACCAAGCTCTTCCCAGCTCAAGGGGTAAGTGGTCCCCAAACCGTCAAATTTAAGATAACTGATTTACATATTGTTGAAAAAAATGCCAAGGTCATACGGTCGCACAAAGGGAGGGGTGCCCCCGTTTAGGCCAGTGATCCTGTTTAATACGACTGTTTGGGGGTCTTCTTGAGTGTCAAGCCCTTCTGGGGTGGGTCAAATCTGGCAATACTTAATTTAGACTAACAATGCTAGAGTAACTACTGGGAATCTGAGAGTAAGTCTTGGCAATACTAAATTCAGACTTGGCAATCTAAAGGTAACCGCCGGGAATCTATAAGCAAGTCCTGGCAATACTAAATTTAGACTAGGCAATTGAAAAGTAACAACCGGGAATCAAGTAATTCCTGGCAATACTACATTTAGACTAGGCAATGTTAAACCAGGTTCTGGCAATACTAAACAAGGCAGTCGCGATCCAATAGGAAGTGCTGGCAATGCAAAACTAAGTATTGGCAATTCTGACCAGCAATACTTCAGTCATCCGAGCTCCCTGCCAGACCTTTCTTCAGCAAAATTTTGGTTGACGTTGGAAGGGAAGCAACAATTTAAATGTTAGCAGTTCAGTGGGGGGTTCCCACTAAACCACAATCTAAAATGTTTCCCAACAACAACCATGAAATGACGTCAACAGAGGCAGAACCCGAGTAGGAGACAAACACGTCCCACCATTCGCAGAAGGGCTTTGGGAGTCCCGACCCTGAGTCGTAGAACCTGATAGAGTAGTCTATCTGGTGAAGACTCAAAAGGAAGGCCGGTTTGGCTACCCCTAACCTTGGTCAGTACGCACCCAGCTTCACAGGGTGCCCAAAACGTGGCAGCCTGTGTTGCTATTTGAAAGGGGGCCAAAGCCCAACCAAGCTAACAACCGCGTTTTCTCTTCATGCCATTTCCTGGCGTTTCACCATGACACCTATTCTTTGGCAGTAGACTGAAATGGACGACAGCGGCCTGAAGCAATTACTCTGCCACAAACATGAAGCCTGGCTCGGGGGGGTGTTGCTAAATGTTCCTCTGAAAGAGGCCCTGTGGGCTCTACAGAAATCTTGGGTGGAGGGTACGTGGATGACCACACACTGCTTCGTGGCTTTCCCCTATCAGCTTCCTTCGTGGAGGTGTCCACTGGTGGTTTGGTGGCCCTTCGCGGCATCCCTACAACTTACCCCTTAAAACTCCAAGCCCTGGGGAAGTTAATCTTTTACAAACATATAGCCCAGGTTACCCCCAAAAAGTTGTGTGTGTTTTAAGAGGTAAGACAAGAACCAGGGACCTGTTCCAATCCAAATCCAAACCACGAATCCAAAGCACCAATAAAGGGCAACCCGACCTTAGGTTTCCCTTGAACCACTCCCCAAAACTGCAAGGAGAACAAAAACGAGACACACATTTATCCAGAGCCTTGCTCTGAGTGTACCAGTCCCTGAGGTATGATTAAGGCTACGAATACAGCGGGAAAGTATGTCATTCCCACATGTTGGTTTACCTGGACCCTCAAACTACCCATAAACAAACTTTGATTTACCCCAGAAGTCTGCAGAATCACCGATGTGTGCTTTGTTTCTCCGGGGAATGTTGAGGTCCTTGAAGGGTGCCATCTACTTGTTACATGTAGGGACTGATTCACGGCTTAGTGGGATTCCTCCATTTGCTCAGTCCCCCTGGAGAAAAAAGAAGGTCCAGCAGTCATAGATTGATTCCAGCTTTAAAAAAATAACAACAAAAAAACAAAAACAACAAAAACAAGGGACAGCGCAAGACATCTTACGACATCTACTTCAGCAAATGGAAGGGCTGGTCGAGTCCCCCGGTGTTGGGCTTCCGGCCTGGCCCGATTGCCGACCTTCTGATTCTCCGCTCTCAAGGGCTTCACGCCCTGGACTCGCTCGACTTGCGTGTCGTTCTTTCGACCCTTCGGGCTTTCTTTTGGGGGGGTGCTTGGTTTAAAGGGACACCAAAGGCAAACCACGATTTTGCAGACCAAAGGGAAACTCTGCCATTGGCCTTCACAACTGACGACAACGTGCACCTCTCACGTCCCGAGTGGATGGGCTACAGGCTGAACTGTCTGTTTACATCTCAAACGGCCCAAATCCAAAAATTATGAAGCCCAGGAACTCAGGAGACCTACGCTGATAGACGATTTCCATTACGCACCTAAGATACCTTGGGCCACCTGTGTTTGTTGGTATTTACGTTGGGGAGAAGACTCATTTCAGGGTTGCTGATCGGTGGTGCACAAATTTGTCAATCCGCAGTATGGATAAAACCTTTGCAAATACCGTTGGAAAAAACCAGCTACCAACTGCTGCGAAATTGATCTTAACCATCATCTGGAATGACCCCGCAGCGCGAATGGATGATTGCGGGGCGGGGCTGCAGAATGAGCCCTTGTTTGTGCGACGATTTTCTGGTGCTAACAAATGGGTTCCTTTGGGATGCTGCACACATGAGTAGAATAGTTTAAGGAGTTTAACGGCCCTTTGCAAAGCCTCCCCGGGTGTGTAAAATCATGGAAGGGTGCCTACGCGCAGTGCCTGCACAGACTTTTCTCGGTCGCTACTCTTAGTTCCCCCACAATATCGCCTACGATGTGCCTCCGCGGCATATTAATAGAGAGTTCCCCGCGAATAATGAATACTAAGCGAATACGTAGCCAAAAACAAACAACAACTCTGCTCACAGGATCCTTGGTGCTTGTACTGGAACCCGTTTGAGCCCGTGTCCCCGATCGAGCTGTCTCACCAATTGTTTTGAAGTTAGGTGCCCCTTAAAAGTCGACCAGCCAAACAGAGAAACACCCAGAATCTGCGGAGTGTTCATCTTCTTTTGACAGAGAACCCGTTATTCCACTATTCATGTAAGTGGACAGGCGGCCATGCTCGACGGCATTGTCGTCTTCCAAAACCCGATCGTCGACTTCCATGAAAGGTGTGCTCTCTCGCTCTCCTCGATCGTCACAAGCTACGACAATTGGTCCCCGGCAAAGGGAACCACTGGAAACATGTGACCTTTTTGGACAAATACATGGTCCTGTCATCTACTTCAAAACTAACCTAACAAGGCCACCTATGACTGGAAGCTGGTGATCAATTTTCTATCTGGTTTGCTCATCTATTCCGAACTGCGATATGAGCGAGAGATGCCATGACCGGCCTCTGTGGGGTGCTCTGCCCCTGACTTGGACAAACGAACAAGCGGGGATACGGAGGGAGCGGGCGGAAATGGGGGGATTCCCTGCCACTTCCCATAAACTCAGCTGCAAACGGGGGAATCCGATATCCAACTGGTGGCCCAGTGGATCCCATTCCCCAGTTTAGCAGGCAACCAACCACTGTGCACGTGTTGCTTTTTGTTTTTCAGTTTCTTTGATTCCGGGTGGTTCCCTTGGTTGCCTACCAACGGGTCAAGTTGTGTACCTTTTTTTTTTTTGGTGGTTCTGTTGGTTACCTACTAACGGGTCAAAAATTGCACCTTTTGTTGTTTGTTCTTTTTCTGGGGTGGTTCCCTTGGTTACCTTTCTGGCCATGGGTCAAAAGCCAAATCGTACCCCCGGTGAACATCCGATTCAATCCAACCACCAAAATAGGCTCTAAAATGGGTGGTGAATTCACCTACCCCCAAACAAATACCCACAGCCATATAGGTAACTGGGATCATTGGGAGGAAAAAGGGAAGCCGCTCAGCTGCGGATTTGGCGCACGCGCAACCTACCCCGCATTCCCGGCCTCGGGGGTGATCTTCTGCATCCGAGTGAACTTCCTCGCGGATTGCTCGCGGGCATATGTTTTGCGCGGTCTCGGCCGCGGTCTCCCTAAAGGAATTTCAAAGAAAAACCCACACCCGTGTCGTGTGTCCTTCCATCTCTAGACCAACCCCAACAAAGAAAGGGCTGGTACTGCACACACAACAAAAAAACTGATGCCAAGCAGTAAGTAATCTGGAAATGCTTGGCTTCTCTCACCGGCCAGTCTAGAGATTCATAATGGCCGGTCACACAAAAAACTTCAAAGCCAGCCATAGAAAACTGATGTAGGCTGGACTCATCTCTCTACCATGCTCCGCAACTCGCTCTCTGGCAAGTCTGTGTCACTCATTCTTGGTTCCCCCTTCCTACGTCAGGCTCCAGCCAGCAAGGCATGAAGGGCCGGACAGATACCGGGAGTCTCCCTGATTGTTTATAAATGGGTCCACGACCCCTTTATTTTGGGTAATGACCCCATTTTTGAAGGGTCATGGAGACTGCAGGTAGATAAAGATATGTGGCACACCATAATCCACTCATCCAGGCCCACTGTTCACGGCTGGAGTGATAAGACCTTCCCACGTCAGGATCGGTGAAAAGAGGAGAGACTCACCGAAAGTGGACCAGCCCCAACAAAGAAAGGCCTGAGTTAGTGGACATACCAAGCTTATGTTAGGGGGTTCCCCCATCTTGACATGGGTGTGTCTTTGCTCAACCCCAGAACAGGTGGTGCTCCTGGTGGCTTCCCTTTAGAACCAAACAAACAATATCCTCAAAAAAGACACATCCACATAAACAAAGAATATCCTCCAGACGACACAGCTACATACAGTCCATGGAGTGAATTGTGCTTTTCAAGAATCATGATGAGCCCAGGACAGTCCTAGGACAAGCCCTTACAATGTCCGATAAATGGGGTTAAGAAGCTATGTCATTCAGCAAGGAGGGCCGAGAAAACACTAGGGGGGTCTGCTTGTGTAGGCAGATTGGCTAAGCCAGGTTCTACCCTCCTAGAGATGAATCTGGAATCTGAACTGCAAAAAATCTGAATTCATGGGCTGTCCTCCAAACCCTGGCTAGAAGTTTTAGAACTTCTGGCGGGTTCAATGGAAACCCGACCACTAAACCCTCTAAAACCAAAAACCTACCGGGATGGGCTAGAAACCGCATTTTTGTTTAGAGCAGGGCTGTGGAATCCACTTCTGTGATACAACAAAAGGGTCTCCCAAACACTACCACCCCCATGTAAACAGGTGATTCCCTTGTATCACAGAAGTGGTTGGATAAACCCCTTGATCCCACAACCCGGGCTTAGAGGAATCTCCTTTTTGCGGCCCCGCCTTTTGGGCAAGTTATGTCAGCTAGGAGAGCCACCCACGTGCTGGTGTAACCTCACAGGGATCCCCATAAAGGTCCATGGTGGTTCACGTCGGAAGCCAAAGCCTCTGCACCTGGGTGCTTATTGCTTGCCTATCACGATGTTCGATGGGAGACGTTTGCAAGTCGAATTTCATGAACCCACGGCCAAGCAAGGCTGAGCCGAATTTCCATTAGCCGTAGTTAGTCAAGTAAAGTGAAGAACCTAATTGAGAGCCAAGCAAGATCACCCAAATGGGTATGGGTCAAAATTAAACCACCAAATAAATCGCAGGTTTTACCATTTGCCGGGGGCAAGCCATTTTGGCTACACATTTTTGACCCACAGCCAAACAGGGATCCTTACATTATACACCTGAACATTGCCTTGTAAATGGTAAATTCGCTTTATTTTGGTGTTGAAAAAGCAACATGTTTCAAATGTTTGCAAAATGTATCTTTTCAGGAGCCCTACCAAACAGGGCTGTGGGAAATGGAATCCACTTCTGTGATACAACAAAAAGGGCTTCCCAAAGACTAACCCCCCCATATAAAGAAGGAGATTCCAGACTTGTATCACAGAAGTGGTTGGATAAACCCCGAGTGATCCCACAGCCCTGCCAAAGGCCAAAAGAAGGGCTGAAGAACTGCGAGGCCGCCGGCGGATCTTTCCACTGAGGCCGCCGGCGACAAGTTCAAAGTGCTCTCGGACTGGCTGCCGGATCCTGGCGCCCCCCCAAAAAATCGGGATGGGGTGTCTCAGTGTCTTGGGCATGTCTCAGTGTTTTGGGTTACCTGGACCCTCAAACTAGCCATAAACAAGTTGGAATTCACCCATTCCATGATTCAGTGGTAATCTGCCCCTTTTTAAGTTGGAATGTGTTGGGTGTCCAGGTATCCGCAAAGAAAGACACACCCGAGTGTTGCTTGGATATTGCCCGCATACTACTCCCCCCAACAAGTGCCTGGTTGTCCAGCAGCGGGGCGAGGTTCGGTTCATGTTGGCTGGACAAATCCATGTTGTTTGCTCAGAATCCAGGGATTGGAAAATCTACCTGGACCCTCAAACTACCTATGACACTATAATTGTTGGGGCAATACCCCATTTTTGGTTAGCCCGTGGTTGAAAAAGTAACAGCTGGTTAAATGGCTTGTGACAACTCGACATGAGGCCCAGGAAAACTTGCTTAAGGGCTGCAAGCTAGTCGCGTTTGAACCGTCCATGCAGTGACCATGTACCTGGAGTCTCCATGACCCTCAAACAAATGGGTCCATTGACACTTTATTTTGAGTAATGACCCCATGTTCAAAGGGTCGTGGCCTCTAGGTAGCCTGCAAAATAGACTCTGAGTGTCCACCATATTGTGGACGGTTGCGAAATCCATGTCGCACCGCCTTTTACACATCCTATGATGATTCCCCGCAAATGCCAACAATGGCTTCAGCCATGGTTTCTTAGCGCTGTCCAAACTGATCCCCTGCTGCAAGTTTCACCTTTCGTGGATTCTTAGAGGCTGATTCCTTGTCCATTCTTTTCCACCATGACTCTTTTCAAAAATTCAGATCTGTTTCCCTTGGGCTCTTGGTGGTTTTCTAGAAAGAAGAACCGATCCCTGGAAAGAATGGACATGGAAGCAACCCTTAGAGGTTTAGTGACACCTAGCACTCAACCTCAAATACCTGAGAAAACCTAAGGAACGGATGGGAACCATCGAGGTGCTGCGAGGCTCGCGGAAATAGGCGAAACCATCCACTGTAGATATCCAGCCACCAGGTTGAATACAGGGATCCTTACAATATACACCGGAACATTGCCTTGTAAATGGTGGTTTCCCTTTATTTTGGTGGAAAAAGCCATGTTTCAAATTGGCAAAATGTATCTTTTAAGGAGCCCTGTTGATGAATGTAATTGTTCCTCAACGGCAAAACGGGTTACCACAAATAGAGATCTGCGGTTGACGAATGTTCCCCACAAGCCTTGGTTGACGTTGGGTTAGGGGAGCAACAATCTTAAATTTTAGCAGTTAAGTGGCTGGATTTCAACCACTAAGCCACAATAAGCAAACATATTTCAAATGTTTCCCATCAACAACCATGAAACAGGGAAAAAGGGGCGCATTGCCACCACATGGAGATCTCCTGGGGTCCCGACCCCCCTCCACCTCCCCCAGCTCCACTGCTTCCCAACTATTTTTCTGCAGTCGATTTTAGTAGGGGACTTTCCCAACCCAAAAAAGGGGTGAGAAAGGGCACCTAGCTGGGGGACCTCGTCCATTCTTCAATCAAACCCTTTCAATTTCGTGGGGATCTAGGATTCCTGTCATCTCTCTGCCCCTCCCGCAGCTCCATTTTTCAATATATATATATATGTATATATATATAACAAAATACCCCTCCCCCAGCTCCATTTTTTAAAACAAAAACACAAAAACATTCGTGGGGATCTCGGCTTCTCGCTTCTTCGATTCGCTCGCGCCTCGGCTCAGCACGGGGGCTTTGGCCTCGTTGATGGCGGCGTCCGGCGGAGGTGGCAGGCCCGGGTGCCTCACGTCGGCAGGAAAACGCGCCAGCGACGTTCCAAGCGGCCTGAAAAGGCGACTTCCCGTTTTTTGTTGGGTGGTTGGTTTGTTCTTGGTTTCTTTTTGCTCTTCTTTTCTTTGATGAGTTCACATGGATTGAATTGCATGTGCGTTTCTTTTGTTGAAATGAAACTAACTTTTTCTTTCATGAGTTCACATGGTTTGAATTGCATACGTGTTCCTTTGTTGAAATGAATTTAACTTCTATTCTCGGTGCAATGTGTTTTTGGATTCAATGCCGCAGGAAAGAAGCTGTGCAAGGGAAGGCCTGTGTTGGATCCTGCCGGCCCCTGGCCATCGACGAAGCACGCCAGACCCTGTGCCCACGCGAACCGTGAATCTTCAAGCGAATCCCTTCAGCAAGCTCCGGGCAACTCAAGCAAGCCCTGCCTCCAGCGAGTGACAAAAAGAAGAAGAAGAAGAAGAAGAAGAAAGTTCAAACGGGTTTGGTCCGTTGCAAGAGTCTAAAATGATAACTTGGACCCAACCAAAATTCCAACTCCTTGGTGCATTCCAACTTGCTTATTGGGAAGTTCTTCCGTCCAGCTAAATACAACACAACAGCAGCTGAAAAGGCCGGGCCCCTCATCAAGGGACCCAACGGACAGTTATGCGGCGCGCCCGACAAGGCAGTGATGCCTGTTGTTCCTTGGTACTAGGTACCTAGGCTACGTAGGGTCTCCAAAATCTAGGTTTCACATGATGGTTTCCCCTGGTTGTCTACTACTTGGCGGCAAAATCCACTGACCTGCGAAGTAACGCGGTGCCAAGCAGTCACCGGCTCTTGCGTTTGTGTGGCGGACCGGGGGCGGGCTCCAATTTCCACGTAGGCTTGGAAGGCATGGAATTCGCAGCCGACACATGGTTCACTTCCCTGTGTTTTTGGCGCTGCCACAAACACAGACACACGTGGCGCACGTGCAATAAAGACAACACACACACAAACACAAACACAAACACAAACACAAACACACTCACACACACACTCACACTCACACTCACACTCACACACACACAACAGAAACGACAAACACTCTAATTATTACCCTCCCACCATCTAGCACGGAAGTGCACAGACCGCATTTCCAAGAGGAGAGTAGTCTTTCTACAGGGGTCTGTGCACAAATCATGCAAGTCGATCCATTGACCCCCCCCACAAAACAACAAAAACAAACAGGCCACCGGCAGCACGTCTCGAGTTGTTTCTCTCTCCCCGTTTGAGCTCCGGGCTTGTTCCAAAGGCCCAGGATGCCGTCATGAGAACCCACCGCCACGACGTCACTCTGGCTACCTGGGACGGTTGGTCGATGCGAAATCCATTTGCTTGACGTTGACGTTGGGTTAGGGAGCAAAATTATCAAAACAATCTAGCACTTCAGTGGATTTGGATTTCAACCACTAAACCACAACAAGCAAAAATGTTTCAAATGTTTCCCAACAACAACCAAGTTTGCACCACTTTGAAACTATGTTTGAAACCATTGTGTTGGTACTAATTACACGGGAGAATCGTTCCAAGGTATCTTAGGTGTTGGGTTTGGACATGTGGTCGCGATTGCATGACCAGGGTATAATGATGACCCCGGATAAACAAACCCGTCTCCAACAGTGGTAAGTCCCCACCTACAAGCGGACACCCCTCGATCCAAAATCAACCTGGGGCTCCGCTTTTCAGAGTAACGTTAGCGATCCCAAAAGGGTCTGACCTTCTGAGGTCACCAAGCATCAATTTGGGTTGCTCTGACCCATTTTTCAGGCTGAGAATTTTGGTGTCCAGGTGCCTGCTTGTCAGCGCGGAATGCCACTGGTATGGTGACGACCTTTCACTGGCATGCCACCTCCAAGCAAACTTCCTTCGTCAAAGCCATGCTAGATGGCAAGGAGCCCGGGACTCAAGAACTTTTTACATGGCCCTGTCTGATCAGGTACACGTAGGCCAGCGAAAAGTCGCGTTTGGCGTACAGCCCCCACTCCAGGGCCTATCAACCACCCTTGACCCCCCTCCCAACGCTTAAGGTTCAGGCAACAAATGAGACGAAATGAGGCGTCAAATTCTGAAACAAGTGAGAACCCCAAGACCCCCTCCAACAGTCAAGGTGTGAATGGCAAAACAAGGCCAAATGTCTTGGGCGTCAGGCGCCCTTTTCACGTCTGGTTTACACTCCCCTGGCTGAAACTTATCCCCTTAAAGGGACGCCAACCATGGTTTCAACCTGGACCCTAAAAACTCGTTCTGGAACCATGGGCTTCTTTCCGTGATGCGATACGGATGTCGCAACTGGACTGCCCGCAGATTTCCCACTAAAAGTGACTAACTGTTAGTGGCTTGAACTCGGAAATCTCCACTAAAAAAGCTAAAAAGCAAAATTTTAAAAGTTGAACTCGGAAATCTCCACTAAACACTAAAAAACCACAAAGCTAAAAAGCTCAAAGGCTCAACGGCTACGCATGGCTGGCTTCGCCAAGGCAACCCTCCGTACCAGCGCTATCGCCCAACGCTGGGGGTTTCCGGCTGAAGGTCGCGGTCCGCACCGACTCCGCGCCGCAAATCGCCTGGCAACCGCCGAGCTCCACATCGGGGCGTCGGTCCCAAAAGTCTGGGGGGTGATTCCTTGTCCATTCCGAAAATGACGAACAAAGGAGGTGCAAACACCTTTGAACACCTGGCTCTTTTCAAAAACTCCAGGAAAAGCGGGTATTTCTAGGAGTTGATTCCATGTCCATTCTTTTCGGCCATCCGTCTTTTCAAAAACCAGATCCAATTGTTTGCAGGGTTTTGGTGGTTTGCTAGAAAGAAGCATCCCTGGAAAGAATGGGGAAGTTACCGATAGAAAAATGATTGCTTTGGTTGTTGGCTTCCATTTAAATCCACCCCGAACGAGGTGATTCCTTCATAATCGCTTGTCGGCGAGGCAATTTCTTGCTGTGGCGAGGCAATTTCTTGATGGGTTTCCTAGTTGCTTCCCTCGGCTTCCCCGATAAGTCCCTTTCAGCCAGCCCTTAAAACAGCTTTCCCGTCAGGAAAGCCTTGATAAGTTTTAAACCAGCCCTTAAAACAAAGGTACCAAACAAAGACACTTGGAAGCCAAAAGTTCAAGAGCACAAAGTTGACTTTTGGTTCAGAACCCCCCACCCCCTGAGCCCTTTGGCTGCGCTGTTGTGAAAAGCTGGATGCAAAGTCCTGATTGCTTTTGGGGGAAGTCTGAAATGCCGTGGGTGAGCCTTTCTACAAGAGCTACCAAAGTCCACTCACTTGCTGAGTGGATGGCCCAAAAAAGGTTCTAGCTTTATACTTACCACTAAAATGGTCTTCCCAAAAAGCTTAAAGTTCATGAGCTCAGGAGAAGTGAGTCCAGAATACTCTGGTGTTTTATCTTGAGGGCCTCCAAGCTCCCTTCAAATTGGCTACGAAATTATGCGATGCATTCCGTTTCTTATGGGTAGCTTGAGGGTTCGTTGGTACCTACTGTTGCGGGAAGGAAAACCAACGAACACCCTCCTAAAACGATTGAACCGTGGGCCATGGAGGTGTTGGGCAAGTTCAAGTCTAAGGATCCAACCAACTCGCAGCCAAGACTCTATGATGATTTCCACTATTTCCAAACCACTAGCATGGTAAACTGGATAGAGCCTTTGTATAATGACTCAAAAGTGGCTGTATCTCGCATTAAACTTCCGGTGGTTCGGGGAGTTATCGCTCTTTTCTCGTTGTTAAGACCTGCCCTCTATCCTCTCTCCGACTTCAATAGCAGTAAGACCCATTGAGGAAACTGAGTCCTCAGATCCCCCGGCGAACAGTTTAAGTGGGCTAAATGGAAAACCAACCACTAAACACCAACAAGCCTTTTAGTGGGCTAAACGGAAAACCCCACTAAACACCAACAAGCAAAAAAGCTAAAAAGCTAAAAAAAAGAGAAGCTAAAACGCTAAGGGAAGCTGTTCAAAGCCTCCCCTACATTTCAGTCACTCCCTGAATTTGTTTTGGCTTCATGATCAATCTCGGTCGCTTTCTGCTCCCCTGCTAAAAGTTTAACTGTTAGTGGTTTAGTGGAAAACCCATTAGTTGGCAAAAAGTTAAAGTCCTAACAGACAAGCAAAATGCACCAAAGCAATGATGACAAGCTTTCAAGGCTTCATGGAACCAGAATGCCTTGGGTGGGGGGGTGTTTGGGGGTCCCCCGTAATGTGATGCAATCTAGCTCCGAAATGGCCCACACCCTGAATGTCACGTCCTCTCTACAGCTGTCCCCATGCAAGGGCGTCCAACACACAAAGCCATGTCATGAGTAAATATCACTTCTACCTGTACGACTGGCCTTTGCAAGAATATCCCCAATATTTAAGTCCATAGGTAGGACTTTACTTGTATAGAGCTTAAATACAACTCAACTCCTCTAAATAAAACAGTACAAGCAGCATCATGGATCACGCCCATGACAGTCCAAGGGGGCATTTGGCGCAGTACTTCAAGCCGAGTCCGCACCCAGAAACCCATGCTGCGAGTCCGCACCCAGAAATGCTGCATTTCCGGCAACCTATAGCCCCCGATCAGCCTGGATGGTCGCTTGCTTCCGAATTCTTTTTTTCCCGCGGATTCATCACTGCCCTAAGGGTCCAAACATGTTCCGGGGCTTCACATGTAGCTCGGGGGCGTCAAGTATGGAAGGCAAAGCCCCCAACTTTGAGCCTCCACAGCAACACCTTGGTTCAATGTTTGCAATCACGAGGGATGCTATCCAAAACTATCGGGAGTTGGGATCGAGGCCTTTCCCATGAATTCAATAGCTGTAGTCAACTCTAACAAATGCTCTCCCACAGCATTGCTCAAGTGGAAACTGCACATGAAGCGCAATAAGCATGTGCAAATCAATGCTTTCTGACGCCGACCTATATGCGCGATGTATATATAAAGCGATCAAATCTTTGTCGACGCCATGTTGCGCGAACCGATACTTGTCCCGCACTGACGCTATCCTAACGAATCGGTGCCCCGTGATTAGAGCTGGCACTCGCTAATACTATCCGACGCCTATCCGACGCTCGGGGCGTCAGAATGCCTCATTTTGGAGGCCCCACGCGATGCTAACCGACGCTAACCAATGCTATCCGACGCCTATCCGAGCCTATCCGACTTATATCCGACGTCTATCCGACGCCATCTGCCGCCTACCGGACGATATTTGACGCTATCCGACTCCTATCCGACGCCTATCCGACGACTATCCGACGCCTATCCGACGCCTATCCGACGCTATCCGACGCCATCCGACGCCTATCCGACGCCCATCCGACACCCATCTAGCACTATCCGACGCCCGTCCGACGCCCATCCGACACCCACCGACGCCCATCCGACACCCATCCGACGCCGATCTGATGCTATCAAGCGGTTTGCGGTAGTTGCGATGCCTATCCAACGCTCGGGGCGTCAAATGGCTTCATTTTTGAAGCCCCATGGACAAGCTATTTGTTCGGGCCCTCACTCTTGGACCCCGAAGCAGGCCTCCGCGGGGCGCCCCTCAGATATCAATGGCCCCCGGGGTGTGCATTGCAAGGCCCCGGGGCGCGCAATGCACACCCCATCGACCCTTAGGGTAGGCCTCAGATCCCCCGCTAAAAGTGACTAACTTTTAGAGGGTTGAATGGAAACTACCACTAAGCGCTAGAAGGCAAAAAGCTAAGGACACACCGCCCTCAAGCTTGACAAGCCTCTCCCCCAGTCTTACCGAGGCGAGCGCCCGGACAAACAAATACGGCCTCGAGGCGCTGGTGGAGCTGCAAATCGAACTTCTTGGTCCTGCGAAATCAACGGAAACACATCGGCGTCAACAAACGAGTTAGGACATGAAACTGTGGAAGGCTGCGAAATCCGCTTCTCGCACCACCTAAGAAACACTGGAATGATTCGTTGTCACTGTAAATACCATCAAACGTCATGGTTTCAACCATGGTCTCATTTCGTGGAGCGAGAAGCCGAAATTTGCAACCCCCACAGTAGCGGGCTCCACTGGGTCGGTCATCTTTTTTTGAGGGACCCGGCTGTTGGGCTGGTTTGAAGGGAAACCAAAAGGACACAAACCTATGAGGGGTTCTCCTAGCTTGAGACCAACTTCCTGAACAAATCCGGAGGGCTACAGAACGGTTTTGGTTTGGGCATCAAGGATTTCAGACTTCCGGTTTAGGGGGTGAACCACTTGCGTCGAATTTCGACAGACTATCTAGGTTACAACCATGGTCATATGCCAAGCAACTCGGCTTGTCTCACTTGCCCTGGAGTTATAACCTACTCGGCGTGGATTTCACGTCTATACATCTGGGTCAACTGGGAGTGGCTAACTCACTGGACCGCAGTTACCCTTCAGCCATCTTCCGTTTGGCTTTTGAAAGGGTGGCAAGCCCTGGGTTGAATAGTATACAAGCAGGTATATGGATCTACAGGCGAAAGGGTGGAAGCTGACGGCAAGTTGACCATCCCCAGCTCAGTTGCTGACTGGATATTTGCTAAACCACAAAAATGATCCAGACCCAAAAAGTGACTAAAGCCCAAACCCAGAAAGTGACCCGAAAAATTGCTGGTGCTCAGTAGGGAATATCCGAGTCCGGGTTTTGGAAATGAACCGGTAGCGGATTCCCGAATAAAGGAAACCGTCTCGAGTTTTTTTTTTTTTTTTTTTTTTTTTTTCCGGGGTCATTCCCTGCTTTAATTGATGTTGACCACATATTAATAAACTCCTGTGCAACAATATGGAGGTGTGGAATCAGACCACTTTTGGCGGGGCCCAACCCACCCCCCAATTAGAACAACAGAGCTCAATTTAACTCCGGGGTCCACATTGTCTCGAGCCCGCCAACAAAAACAACAAAAAGTGACCTGCCCGCAGCTTCCCCGCCGGACGAAACCTTGGTTGACGTTGGGATTGGGAGCAACAATTCTCGAATTTTAGCAGTTCAGTGGAGTTGGATTTCAACCACTCAACCACAATAAGCAAACATGTGTCCCATGTTTCCCAACAACAACCATGAGAAAATCCATGAAACCATTTGGCTGTGGGACAAAAATGCGTGCCCAAAATGGCTTGCCCTGGTAAATGGGAAAAAAAAGAAGAAACAAACTATCTCCATGAAAACCCCCCGCCGGGCGCGTTCTTCGAAGAACGCGTCCGACGAATCGACCCGGGCGGCCTCGGGGAGACGCAGACGCGCCACACCGTGAGCTCCGAGGACACCGCGATAAGCCTTCGCGGCGACAAGGCGGCGGCGGCACGCGTCGCGAGTCGCGAGCGCGACGGGGCAGGAAGAAAAACGGCCATGGGGTCGGGTTCTGAGCCTCAAACCCACGGAGAGAGTGACATGGACCCTTGAGAAAGGCCAAGTTAGAAAGAGGAACCGTTTCATCCATGTCATTGATTTTGGGGTGCGATCCATTTTTGAGAGGAAGCTTGAAGCGTCCCGTAAACCGTCTTCCAAAGGTGGCATGTCAGGCCAAACATATCGTGGCTATGAGTTTTGTTTGGTGAACACCCAACAGGGTTTAGTGGGCTCAAGTCACCAGCAGTAGGCATCTGAGGGTACCTGGAAGAACACTGTCCGCTTCAATGGACCCTCTTTCAGGTGCAAAGTTAGGCATGTCCAGCAGGGTCGCGACATTTTGAACGCGACATGAGGCAACAAACATCCCGACGCAGGTAGATTGGCCTCTCTGGGTGTGTGTGTGTGTGTCATGCATGAACATCCATTATAGCTTTCCTCCTCCCAGGGTGGCTGGTTTGTTACTTTCATGTTGGCTTGTATTGGCGGGTCGTTTGAGGGTACCCTCCTTATGGCTGTTTTAACAGGGAATCAAAGGGACACCACCCAGTTGTCGGGGGGTTCGCTCTTTTAAGACACACCCATATTTGTTTAGTACCGGTGCAGTGTTGGTGTACTACTGGTGGACTTGATTTGCAGCAACGAAAGGCTTGCTAGCTTTGTATTGGCATAGTACCTTGCCAGAAACGCCATAGTCTGGTTCTGAAATTTCGACCGTTTGGGTGAGGAGGGAAGTGGACCACAGGTGAAAACGACCTGGCTCCTCAGAGTGCATGTGCGTTTGTCTGCCAAAGACAATGTGACATGTTGCCGGAAAACACGAGTCGGATACAACCAGCCTCTGTAACCTCCCTGCACACGGATATATCATCCGGTTCAACTTAGCCTGTTCTAGTGATTTTTACTTGGTTTAGTGGTTGGGCTTCGTTGGCTGTGGTTGGGCTTCTCAGTTTGTTTTGAGGCGTTTAGTTGGCTTCGTAGTTCCATTTTACCGAACGTTGCCGACTTTTAGTAGGGCATCTGAGGACAGCCCAGTTTGATTGGTCGGATCGCAAAGATTAATAAACCCTGTTGATTTTGAGAGGTGGGGCGTGTCCCCTTTAGTGAGCGTTCATCACTTTTAGAGGTAGCAATCCTCCAATAATAGGACGGGATTATTATTATTTTGTGGTCAACACTACTTATGTTTTGGAGGGTTTCAACGCACGAACCCAACCACTAAACCAGCTAAACCTAAAAGCAAGCTGCAAACACACCATTGGGAACCACATCAGCTCAAAACACACCCAACCAAAAAGATAAGCATCCTTCCAGATAATAACTGGCTGATTTGTGATCCGTTCAACCCAAAGCACCACAACAAAAAAAAAAAAAAAAACAACAACCTAAAAACCAACCCAACCACTAAACCAACTAAAAAAAAAGAAGCTAAGTTGAACTGGATGGCTGGGCACCAGCCCACCAGACCCCAGAACACCACCCACCAGACGGCCACGGCCCCCGGCCACTGCCCCGACGCGGAGAAGGTCACCCGCCGCAGCCCGCTGCGGTCGCAACGCCTGGCGCCAGCGCCGTGCTGAGCGCGGATCGCTCGATCGGAACGATGCGACGCGGAACATGGGCGTTGGGTCCTTTTTGGAAGGGTCTCTTATATTGATACACATGTATATACACATGCGACTTACAATATATATATATATATATACATATATATATATGTTTAGTTATGACGCATCTCTCTATATATATATGTGTATATATATATATATATATATATGTAGGCAATAGTAATTTATCATTGTTGTTATGTGTATGTGTATAAATAAAGTATCAGGTGTATATATATATATATATGTATATATATATATATATATATGCATGTAGATGTACAATATTGAAACGAGTTGGAATTCAGCAACCACAATTGTGGGTCATGTTTAAGTTGGTATTTTGTGGGTTCAAGGACATGTTTTGCCGTTTGAAAGGAAAGTTACAAAGGCAAGCCTTTGGTCTGGCAATGGGCTCACATGCATTGTCTCCTTGGTATAAATCCGTGAGGGTACACAGGAAACATATGTACTGACTCTGCTTCATATTTCGACTCCAAAATATGGGCCGGGTACACTTTTTGTGTGTTGGGACACCACATGAAAGCCAACCATTTTGGGAGTCCATAGCGTTTTCCCTCTGAGGTCTCCTTTGTACGATGTTTGGTAAGGCACCTGAACCCTCAAACTACCCATCGACAAGTTGGAACTCACCCACCATAATAATATTGAAATCTTTTCTGGAATTCTTCCCGTCCAGGCGGTCCAGGAACCCTAGGATACGTCCAGGGCTTTTCAGGGACGATCACCCCAGCGACCAACAAGCCAGCTATAGCATCATGCGTGTAAAGTGCCTACCTGACGTCGGCCCTGCCACCCGCCACCCGGAATCTGTGTTCCCCTTTGAAACCCAGAAAGCTCATTTGAGTCACAATCAAAACCTGGTATTCAAATGGTGTACCCACTGTAAAGACCGTTTGCTCAAACGACATCCGTTTGGTTTCTCTCTGAGGACCGAGGCTTGCCTGAGATTTCAACCCCCATTGAAACAAAGACCTCAGATCCATGGACCTGGCTACCTGGAGTCTCCACCCCTAAAAAATGAGGGGGGGTCCTTGCTTCCTGGGCACCCCGGCAGCTCGTGGAGGTGCTGCTCCAGCAGCCAGGTGTTCACGTGCCAGACCCGCAGACACTGGTCCTGGCGGGTTTGACCCGGCGACCAGACGGGACACGTTTTGTTCAGGGCTCCCTTGGGAGCCTTCAAACAACCCATGAGAAACCATGGATTTGTTTGTTCATCCCTAAATGTGTGCTTGCAATGACTTCCTTTTTCAGCTTTTTAAGTTGGTAGTTGCGGGTCCAGTTTTCTTTTGCGCCCCCTGGAAACGTCACCCCTGCAAAAGCAAACTCATGATACAATGGACGCAAATGGTGATGTTCAAACCCCCCACGAGGGAAATATTGGGAGCCCTGTCCCAACCTGTCAAGCTGAAAACCCCCGAAAAAAGCAGGGTGGTTCCAGAAACCTCAAGTTGAAAGCTACCCCTTGAGTAAGTGGGTCCTCTTGAGCCTGAAGAGTGATCTGAAACAACAACAACTTGACCCTGACCAGCCCCAGGAAACTGGAAACCTGCCAACAAAAAGACGGCATGTGCCAGACATCATCATTTACAAAAACTGTGACTTCACCCAGTTCGTCTGAAGTGGATGCCCTGAGACCGTGGTCCGAACCGCACAAGTTGAAAGCTTGGCAAAGCTGGGTCCAGTATGCGTCGAGCAGAAAACTTTGTAGTCCCTACACTTGATCCGTAAAGGGACGCCGCAAAACCAAGCACGGACAAGAATTGATTTTGAACGTCACTTGGGTGTCCGAACAAGCAGCGCGTGGGTAACGCAACTTCATCAATCATCAAAACATAAAACGCCTCAAAGTGTGGATGGTCGTCAGGACCGCTCCAAAACATGGACCAGTCAATCCCAACATCTAAACAACACATTTGGGAGGAGACCTTCCATGTGTCTGCCTGTGTGTGTGTGTGTCTGTGTGTGTGTGTGCACGTCGGTGTGTCTGTGCATCTGTGCATCTGTGCATCTGTGTATCTGTGTGTGCGCGTGATCGCGCATGCGCGTGTGAGTGCGTGTCTTGCTTGGCGACAACCAAACTCAGTTTTTTTCTTTTTTTGAATTTAAAGAATAAAGAAATAACAAGTAAAAAACTTAAAATAAAAAATAAAAAATAAAAAATGGAGGTGACACCTGGAAGTCCCGAAGTGGTGTCCCGTAACCAGCACACCCCCACCTGCTTTTTGGTGACCATACTTGGGATTTTCAGTTGATGGGGATCCGGATGCTGGACCGGGTGTAGAAAACCTCACATTCTGAGTGGACTGGCCATGTACTGCCAAAATGGTCAAAACCAAGTGACTGAAGTGCAGGAACGGACGGCTCGAGAACTGGCTATACGTAGGTTCACTTTTGGTGCTGCAAAAAGGTATATACCCTCAAAAACAAGTCACACACACACATATTTGAAGACACACACTTTGGAGGAGATTCTCCCCAAGTGGTGCCCCAAGGGTCTGAACCAAAAAGTGACTAAAGTACAGGAACTCAGGGAGTGGACTGGTTCTATGTAGGTTCAATCCTAGTCAGAAAGTGGGCAGTAGCCATAACAAGTCAACCATAGATCAGTCTATATATACATATCGCCTCAAAAAAGAAGGTCACACACATGCACCTGGAGTCTCCTTCTGACACTTTAGAACTTGGTCATTCCTCAAACAAAGAAATGGGTTCTGACCCCATGAAGAGTCAGATCCGGAGACTCCAGGTGTAGTTTCAACTTTTGGAGGAGACCCCCCCCGAAGTGGTGCCATGTCCATGGCTCGACACTTTTCTGTTTCCGCCTTGCAGGGCTCGTGGGAATCCGCTCGCTTCTGATGGAAGTTGCCATGGGGGGTGCCATGCAACGGACTCTTTCTTTTTCCAGTTACAGGGGAGGTAAGGCCAAATGAGGTGTTTTGCTCCAATGACTCTGCGTTTTTCAGTTGAAGGACATGAAAATGAGGTTTGTTCTCCAATGACTCTGCTTTTTCCACTTTGTTGGCCATGAAAATGACTGAAACTCTCCAGTTAAAAGGGGATTTTGCCTGGTATCAAACAAAACAAGTGGAATTCTCCAGTTCAAGGGGAGCTTTCCTGGTATCATAAAAAAAACAAAAACAAAAAAAACACCTCCTTCCCCCGCCGCTCCTTGCTGCAGGACACCACGCGCTGGTCGTAGGGCGCAGACGGCGGGGACGCCGCTAGGGAGGTCACCGTGGCCTCGTGGGCGTTCAGCGTCTTCTCCTCAGCTCCAACGAAAGCGGAGCGTCGTGTTTTGGAGTTGGTACCCCCTTTGTTCTAGGGGACACTTCCCCATTCTTTCCAGGGATCCTTCTTTTCAGAAAACCAGCAGTATCCAAGAGAAAAAGCAGGTTTTTGAAAAGAAGGATGGCTGTTCAGAATGGGGAATCAACCCCCAGAGTTGCTGGTGCATTGAAAGGAAAACCCAAAGGAAAATAAAACCATTTGGGGGGGGGAGCAAGACTCACCTAAACGAAAGCGGAGCGTCTTGGCTTGGAGCTCTCAATGCCAACAAATGAGGAGCACACAGTGATAAATGCACACTTGAAGTATTGCAAGTAGAAAAACAACATGGACACACTGCAATTCACGATGGTCTAGGTTGTCTTGTCTTGCATTCAGTTGGACTCAACCCTACCACAACATGTCAGGGATCTTACAACCCTCACCCCAAAGTTTCAAAGACCCTACCGTTGCTTCGTTCGGTCAAATAAGGCTAACTAGTTTTGGAGTTGGTACCGCCGTTGTTCTAGGGGTTGATTCCCCATTCTTTTCAACCATCGTTCTTTTTGGAAAGCCAGCAAAATCCAAGGGACAAATTGCAGGCGTTTGAAAAGAATGATGGTTGAAAAGAATGGGGAATCAACCCCTGGAGTTGTTGGTGGATTGAAAGAGACACCCAAAGGAAACCCACAGGAAACCAACAAATGAGGAGCATGTGAGTATATGTACAAGAAAACTGACATGTCCGCATAGTGTGGATGGACCAAATCCATTAAAACTGGAATGGTTCGATTCCCCAGCGTACATACCGTAACAAAGGCTATGGTTTCCTTCCCACGGTTCATGAAACCGTGGTCCGAGACTTGCGGGAGTGATCCGCAACCATCCACAGGATCATCTCATGCCGCATCCCAAGTTGGCTTCCTTTGGGCCCTTTAAACCTACCATCTCTACTCTTGGTATGGGCTGGCAAACAACTGACTGTTTCTTGCAGACCAGTAAAAATGAACAGAACCAAAAAACTGAAAAACCAAAAAACATGCCAAGAACAGTGAAGCTACCCCTTTGGTGTCAAGACCAAACCTTCAATAGGGCTCAGCTTGAGCTTTCACCTCTGAGTGCACAGCCAAGGTCAGCGAGAAGGCGTTCCAGACCTGCGTACAAGCGACGAGATTGAAGTACTCATTCGGAAAAGCACTGTTGACTGGCTCGTCTTTTTGAGGGTACCTGGACCTTCAAACTGTCCATCAAAAAAGGGGGAATTCGGAATTCCCACCATGATACCTAATCTACGTTTGGTTGTAAAGGAAAACCCAACGGGAACCACCATGTTCCTTTTTTTTTTGGGGGGGGGTCCTCAAAAAAGACACGAACAGGTTTTTCCATTGGGGCGCTTTGTTCAAAGACCAAACGGTTGGGTTGCAACCAGAGACGTGCGAAAACGGAGCTCTTGCAAGGGACAACATGCCACGAAACCGGGAAACTCAAGCCTCAAGCAAGACATCAAGATTGCCCACCAACAAAAGGGTCAAACAACGCCCAGACTATAGAAAAATTCACAGACCTTCCCTTCCTGTTACCATTCAATCAGGGCAGCCAATGGCTGCCACTTACCACTACCGGCGACCCAACATGTTCCTTCTTGTTTTTGAAGGGTGGTCCACTTGACTTCCTACAATACTGGTAAATGGAATCACTAATGGAAGCATGATTCAAAGTTCCCTCAAGTTCCAACTGATCACCTAGGATTATCAGAAATGGTGGACCTCGGACTGGGATTTGAATAAAAACTACTCAAGTAGCTTGTCACTTGCGAGTATACTCAGAAATGGTGGACCGCACCAGCCGAATTGCAAAATCCCACATAAATCGTGGGAAGTCTTGCAAATCCCAACCCCATGAAACCCCAATCCCCGTCTGCCTACTTTTTGAAGGACCGCCCCCCTCCCCCCCCACAAAGACATAAATATGTATGCTTTCCTTTGGTGTCCCTTAAAACCCACCAAAAAGAGCCAACTCCGCAAAATCCCATTCATTCCCAACCCAACGCCATGAACCCTTCCATTTGCGTGCTCGCCCCCTGGCAAAAAATAACAACACAATTCCAGCAGTCATGGATTCCAACTTTAAAACCAACAAGGGGGCAATAGAACACTTTGGGTGTCCCTTGAAACCCACCAGAAAAAGCTACCAGCTCCAACACAACCACGACACACCCCAGGCACCGATTGGGACTCCCGCACGGCGCCTGCATTTGGCCCTCCGAAAAGCCACAGACGATCCAGTACCCGTCCCCGGTGTAGGCCAAGCTGGCCGGCCACCCTGTCTGCATGATACTCCGCGTCCTCTGTGGCACCTCCTCGGGCGCAGGCTGAGCCAGTTGCCACTTCAAGTACCCTGAGAAAGAAAAACAATGTCCGACTGGTGATAGACTCCCTTAAAGACCAACAGGGAAAAACAACAAAACAACACCTGTTCTTCAGCAAATGGGCCGGAACTCTCCTCCTGACCCTTAAAAATCGGTTGGTCATTACCCGAAATCCGGGTCATGACCCCATGTTGAACAGAACGGGACGCGCGGCGGGCCCTGTATTTTTGTTGCTTTGTTTCCAATGTTTTATCTTTTTGGCTTTGGCAGCTGATCACCTTTGCATGGAGTATATTTGCTTCAAGTGCAATGCTTTGATTATGTAATTGTAGTATGTGGTCGAAGGTAAGGAGGGAGACTCCAGGTGAAAAAAAATGGGCGATGACCAACTGGACTTCACTGACGGGTGGAAAACATCCCCGCCTTTGGCGGCAGTATACGATTTGTCGTTGGGTCCAAAACAACCTGTTGGCCGTGTACCTTTTAACGGCCCCTACTGTGAGGCGTTAGCTAGCCTTATTTGACCGCACGAAGCAACGGCAGTGTCTTTGAAACTTTGGGGTGAGGGTTGTAAGGTCCCTGACATGTTGTGGTAGGGTTGAGTCCAACTGAATGCAAGACAAGAAAACCTAGACCATGGTGGATTGCAGTGTGTCCATGTTGTTGTTTTTACTTGCAATACTTCAATTGTGCATTTATCGCTTTGTTTGGTGTCTGTTTGCTCCTTCTCTGACTGGAAACACATTGGGTGCTAAATACTGTGGATGGACGAAACCCTGCACCACCCAAGAAATCCTGAAATGATTCGATTCCCCTGTAAACACCAACAAACGTGCTGGTTTACTACCCTTTCTTTCTTAGGTGGTGCGGGGTTCCCGGATTTCGCAACCATCCACAGTGTGAAGGTTCTTTGGACCCCAGAGGCGTCGACGGCCTCAGGACCAGAGAAGCCAAACCAAAAAACCCGAAAGCTCACCCGGAGGTGTCTCGCTTCCGACTTCTGCGTGGAGAATCGGGAATGTATGTATGTCTGGGAAGCGAGGCGTTCCGAGCTAAGCTCATTTATGCTCAAACCTTTGGTGAAACCTGCTTAAACAAAGGAATGATTCAACAAAAGCAACAAAGAGGTGGGGCTGTCCGAACTTGGGTGCAAGGTGTGGCCTTTTCCTTCCGGCACCCATCGGCACCCTCTCAGTCCTCCCATCCGCCGGAGTAGTCCATAAGGCAGATGCTGCAGTTGCTGAAGGCGGCGAGGTTGTTGTCCTCGATGCATAAAACTACCCACCTAAAGGGTGTGTGATGTGTGTGATGTGTGTACATATATATATATATATATATATATATATATCTATATATACATACATACCAGAGCCCTCCAAGGGTTGTCAACTGGTTCCCAAAATGGCTCACACAAGGGCACATCAGGTACAAATGGACCACCCTTGGAGGGTGCTGGTATATGGTGTTCTTGGGGATATTGATTTGGGGGACATCTAGAGGCTAAGTCATGAGGCACATTGATTCTCTTGTGATACGGAGGGGTTTCAAATTTACCCTGCAAAAGCCAGGGGTTCAACTCCCCAAGCCGCCAACTAAGAGATAGCTGACAATCCGTCCTTTCCCTTTTTAGGGATCATTCTATTTCAGCTCCAAAACTGTTCAATTCTTGGCAAGTGAGCAACAACTTTGCTTTTGCCAGCAACCCGCTAAAATGGACAACTTGGACCCTCAAACTACCCGACCAAAATGGATGTCACCCTTGATTTTGGGGCAATACCCCAAATTTGAGTTCGAATTTTGAGTGTCCAGGTGGAAGCAGAAAAACCAACAGCTAAAGAAGATGCCAAGAACAGGTAAAGAACAAAACAGGTTCGACCCCCGGGCGCTCATTCCGGAAACTCAGGCCTCTGGCCGGTTCAGGTGACCCTTAGTTGGTTGATTGGTGCTATCGCTTTGGGGTATCCCTGGCTCCTGTATAGGAAAGGGTCCCTAACCTCCAAACTGGGGGGAAAGCTGAGTATTTGTTTGCCAGACTACCGGGGGAAGAAACCCAACAGACGTAGAAAAAGACGAAAACCTGTTGGCAAAAGTCGAACTGGACGATCAACATGTCAGGTCAGCAACAAGGGCAGCACCCTAAGCATCATTGGACCTCCAGTGTAAGGCTTTGGACCGCTCTTTTGACAGCCCAATTGATGTAAGGGTGTTGGGCTGTTGATAGATCCCCTGCTAAAAGTCGACAACTTCTGGTTCATTGGACGTGAGCCTGTCCTCAGATCTGCGAAAAGTCGACAACTTGTAGTGCGTTCAATCGCTAAACCAACTAAACACCACTCAGCACCTATCGAACCAAAGGGATGGCTGGGAACCACCAAAAATGGAAACGCGGTTCCGCTAAACCAACGAAAAGTCCACTAAAAACCTCAGGAAAACCAAAGGGAGAGCTGGTGTTCCCACCTAGAAACTACTTGGGGCTTGGTGTCTTCGTCTTCGGCTCCGCTTCGCTCCTGGCCCGCATGGCCGGTGGGATGATCCACCTCCGAGCTCGGGGAGAAGGCCACGCAGCACCACTCCGGCTCCTGCCGAGTCCACTCGCTCGAGAATTTTTTGCGGCGGGCGAGTCGGATCGAAGCGAAGCGAAGCGATGGGACCGAAAAAATTGTTCTTCTCACATTGTGGGCATGGTGGGTGTGGTGCTCAAAATTCAAAAAAGGGGGGGCAGACCGCAGGTGTTGGTGTCCATTTTTCCACTCACCAGGGCAACCCATTTTGGATTTCCGGCTTTTTGAGCCACAGCCATGTGGGCGTGCCTGTTTTGGCTGGCTTTAAAGGGAAAGCACAAGGAGACCAACCATTCTAGGACAAACCCATGTCTGACTTGCCCCTCAGGGACCCAGAAATAAACAGGAATCACCTTTTGGAGTCATGACTTAAATTGGGAATTCAAAAAGCGGAAACCAAAAGCCCCCAAATATCCAAGGCAAACGTCTTAGACTTCGACTCCCAGAGGGACGACCCCCGGCCAAAAATAACAAACAAGAAGCTCGAACGTGGCTCCTGGCCCTTAAGATTGGTGGAATCATAGCTTGGACTGACGTAGACCCCCTGCAAACAAAATAATCGTATTTCTGGTCAATGGTGGAAAGCCAGACAGGTTCCGGGTATTATTCAACAATTCTGACAAGCTCACCCAGGGGCAAAATCAACTCGTCCATCCAGGTTCTCGATGCGGCCCAGCTTTTGCAACGTCGCACTGGTGGCAAATCTTGTTCGCTTTCGGGGCTGCCCTCAGATCCCCCGCTAAAAGTTTAACTTTTGGTGACCTCCATGGAAACTACCACTACACACTAAAAAGCTAAAAGGTTAAGGGGATGGCTGGGAGCCACAAAGCTTTGATTTGTAGCGCTTCAGAGCCAAAACTTCCGCACGCCACTTCCAGTCTCCCCGGATTTCAACAGCGAGGGGTTGGCCAGCATGTGTTGAGCGCTTATCCGGGCTCTCACCATCAGGCCCCACCACTGGCCGGAAACCGTATGCCGCGCAGGACTGACAAGCGTTGTGAACCGGCGCGAGAACACCCGAAATTCTGGGTACAGCGCACTCACCATGAGGCTCCTTTTGGGGGGGCCAATGCTTTGAGGTATTGCAAAAAAAAAGAACTCAGTGGATCCGTTTATCTGTAAAGTAGGCAACCAGGAACACGGCCGGTTACCTACTATAAGCAAAACTGGGGTTTACTGGGTGGTATATGTTTGATTCCCCAAGCTGACCCTTCCTTCAACCTAGGAGACGGGCTTAGGAAACGGACGTCCACAAATTGCTTGAGTTGGTCGCAAGCCTCTTTCCGAATCACGGATGAGTCCCCTGTATAGCCATGGTGACAACCTACTTACGAAGTTGGTCGAACACCAAGTAGTTGAACGGGATGAAGGAAAATAGAGGGTGTTCCCCTCCAAAAAGGGGTCAGTCCCCAAAACAAAAACCATGGACTCCCCTATTAATAAACTGGGGTTGATGAATATGGGGTCAACATTCCCAAAAACAGATCTTGAGGGGATTGGGCGAAGCCTGTAAGTATTACCAAACAGGTGTGTCTCTTTGTGGGGGACCCCCCAAAACGGGTGAGTCTTCCTTTGGTTTCCCTGAACAAAAAAAACAAGAAAAGGGTATCTCAGGATCTCGGCTGGACTCCCGAGAAATGTGGATTGCGACATCCGCTTCTCGCGCAACGAAACGAAACCATGGAAAGGAAACCATTGTTTGGTACTTACAGGAAAATCATATAAATCATTCCAAGGTTTCCTAGGTGCAAGATTCCCTGGAATGGTATGATTTCCCTCTAACCAACTTAACAGATGGTTTCAATCCTGGCTTCTTCGGCGCGGTGCCTCAAATGGATTCGCAACCATCCACATCAAAAAAAAAGCTCCGTCGGTAGCATGCGGAGTCCTTGTCTTTGAGCGTATTGACCACCGGCCTGGATTGCACCAGTCGCCAGGGCGGGCCGCACTGATAGATGTGCAGCACCGAGCCTCGGAGGCTCGGGCGCGCATGGCTTAGCATGGCTATGGAAGCATGCGGCATGGATGCGGCATGGATGCGGCTTTACTCATATTCTAGAACCGTTTGGATGCGGGTTTACTCTGCGGATCCACCCCTGTATATTGAAAGAGTACTAAAAGAGTGGAAACAAAGAACCTACAGGAGGAAGAACAGCTGAAAGCACAAACAGCACATCCAAACCGTTTCTAGACATAGATCCCTTTCGCGCCGCCTGAGACACCAGAACGTTGGTTAGACTTTACGCTGAGGAATCGAATCATTCCGTTGGGGTTCTTAGGTGGTGCGAAATGGATGTTGTCCATCCACAGTATGCGGAAAATCGCCCGAAATCTAATTGATGCCAAAGTGCGAAAGTCCAGTAATGTTGACCCCGGATTAATAAACCTGGGGTTCATTCATTCATTCATTCATGCGCACTGCAAAAGTCTGAGGTCCGCACGTGAAATAAACAAGGGGCTTATTAATCCGGGGTGAACACTACTCTCCTTCCGTGGATTGGCCAAAAGTCTGTTATCACCGCCGAGCATCTCCGTTTTGTGCATACCGGGAATCAAGGCTTGCCAAACACCAAGAGCTGGTTTGGCCCTACTCAACTTGGTCGGTCTCTGTGTTTTTTGCGAGGAACTTTCCTTTGGAATTAGGACCCCAGCAAAAAAATATCTTTTTTGCCTGGTTAGTGGAAAACCAAGGAAACCCCAAAAAAGCAAAAAAGCAAAAAGGGGAGCTAATTCTGGGGAAGCTTTTTCATGGGCCTTGCGAGAAATCAACATGAAAGCCAGCGTTTCTCAGGGGGTCCCCTCGTTTGAGACAAAGGGTTGTTCTCGGACGGAAGAAACGGGCGACGTGAAGCCACGACCTGGAAGCTGCAAGGTGCAAACTGCATAGAACCCAGAAACCCTTCCAAATTCGTGTCTGGTTCTCTCACCTTCCATTTGGATTTTTTTGTCCCCTGAACAGAATGGCAGTATATGTCCAGTAGTGATAGATTCATGCAAAACCAACACGGAACAATTAACACAAATATTATGAAATGCAAATGGAAGCCCACTCGTGGACGTAGAGATATTAGAGGCTGCCCTGATGTTTGCTTGGACATAGGTAAGGGGGAGAGTCTGGTTCTCCCACCTGGGTGGAAAACACAGGACCGAATAAGCCCAACTAAGCTTCCAAGGTGGGGGTGCGGGGGGTCTTGGGGGGGGCCTTCGGGTTTGGAACGTCATGGTTCTTCACATCCGCAAACTGCAACCCTACAACCACCAGCTTGATATGAGATCCGGGGCCCCAATGAAAGCACCGTCACCCCCCCCCAGATCAGTGACACACTTCAAACCTCAGGCTGCTGTCGCCTGGAACCTTCTGTTCTAAAAACGGACCCAAGGCCGTGGTTCGCGACAGTGAGTTGTTTTTGGTGGGATGTCTTGTACCTCGAAGAGCAAGATGTCTGGGGAAGGGTCAGCGTAACCAATCCCGCCCCAAACCCGTACTTCCTGAGTGGACTGGTCTGAACAAGGCTTTGTGTTCTTATCGCTTTCCTAAGCTCAAAGTCCAACATCCCAGCCGAACACAGCACCTGAGATGGAGTCCCCTTCAATAGAACTCTCCCAGTTGCCCTCGCACGAGTACCATGCTTGTGGGAGGAAAACTAAGCGGGCAGGTGACATACATCAGGAAGTGAGCATGTGTGGTGTTTTTTTTTCATTTTTGAGTTGGTACCCTGTTTGAGGTTGTTCAAAGGATAATTTACGGGAGTACCCGGAAAAAAAGCCATCTTCAGTTCATGTTTCATATTTAGCCTGCGTTGTGGAAGAGATCCCAGATACCCGAACCCTGAAAATTCCAACTTCACATTGAGTAATGCAACCCACAATTGTGGACATTGGTGACTTCCAATTTGTTAGTTCTTTCGGGTTACAACTCCCCTTTAACTTAAAGATTAGGTTTGCCCCAATTACGGGCCCTGAGGTTGTCGACCTTCCGAAACGGGTCCCCCGGCTGTAGCACACCACCACCCAGCGCTGGGACGGGCTAATGGCGACCTCCTGAACGCCCGTGCCGGCTGGAGAAAGGACCCGAGCATTTGGGTATGTGGCCATGGGTCAAAATCCAAATCGTTACCCCCAGTGAACATCCCAATCCCCACAAAAATAGGTTCTAAAATGAGTGGTGAATTCACCTACCCCAAGATGGTATCATTGGTTTTGACCCACAGCCATGTCTCCTTTTGGATTCCTTTGAGTGTCCAGGGACATCTTCGAAGCTTGGCGAAGCTTTACAAATAATCTTAGGACTTGATTAATAAATCCCCCCGGAATAATGACTTTTTCTCGCCCCGGGCCAGAAAAAAATCCAATACTTATTTTTAATTAGCCAATACATAGTTTAGTCTTGGTGCCCCAGTTGACACAAGAAATCCCCCCGGAATAATAACTTTTCCGAGGCCAGAATTCCCAAAATTCGAATACTAGTTTTAATCTCCCCAATACTAATTGCAATTCAAACCCGGTGGCCAAGCAAACAAACACAAGGTTTCTTGGACTCCAGCACTGCCTCCCCCACACCCCCACAGGTTGTGTGCTTCCCAGCACTTTGTGGCCTTGCAGGGCCAGCTTGGACCCTTGGGGTTGCTTGACCTAGCCAGCCTGCTGAGCCCAGGCCGACAGCCCCACAGCAAAGGGACAAGCGGGGGGCCAAATCAAGCAGAATTCCTTCCCGCGCCGCCTGGTTGACAGATCTCTTTGGTGTAATGGATAATGCATTGCCTTCGTAAGCACAAGATCTTGAGGTCGATTCCCGGTGGCGTCTTTTTCCTTGTGCTGGTTTCCTCTGGCTGTGGTGGCTTTGGCTTTTTTTCTGCTCTGGGGGTTGTCTTTGAGTTTCAGAAGTGCTCAGTTCTCCTGCCCCTTCCTTCAGTTTGCCGGGCCTGTAACAATGCTTCTGCTGAATGTGGTGGAGCAATTTTGCTTCCCACCGCTTGCGGCCTTGCCTGGAGGCCAAGTGAACTTCCAGTGCCAGTTTGGAGACTTCAACAGCACCAAAACTTGCAATCCCAAGTACTCAGCTTGTACTGCAGACCTCAGACTTTTCATCCTTGCGTGGACTTCTGCACAGCAAGGCTCAGCAAGCGGTGCCCCCCTACAATAATAGCGTTACCCAGAATAATGGCCAAGCCCTGCAGCCACTGGTTCCCACATTCCCAAACCAAAAGCTCCAAACAATTCCAAAACCCCAAACTTCATCAGCGCCAAAACTTGCAATCCCAAGTACTCAGCTTGTACTGAAGACCTTAGACTTTTCATCCTTGCATGGACTTCTGCACAGCATGGCTCAGCAAGCGGTGCCCCCCTACAATAATAGCATTACCCAGAATAATGGCCAAGCCCTGCAGCCACTGGCTCCCACATTCCCAATCCAAAAGCTCCAAACAATTCCAAAACCCCAAACTTCATCAGCACCAAAACTTGCAATCCCAAGTACTCAGCTTGTACTGAAGACCTTAGACTTTTCATCCTTGCATGGACTTCTGCGCAGCATGGCTCAGCAAGCGGTGCCCCCCTACAATAATAGCAATACCCAGAATAATGGCCAAGCCCTGCAGCCACTGGTTCCCACATTCCCAAACCAAAAGCTCCAAACAATTCCAATACCCCAAACTTCATCAGCACCAAAACTTGCAATCCCAAGTACTCAGCTTGTACTGAAGACCTTAGACTTTTCATCCTGCTTGATACAAGTCTTGCTCCATGGCTGCACCCATTGCCTGCTCCAGTGCTTGCACTGCTTCAGCCCAGCCCCTTGCACACAAGAAACACCACCCCTACAATAATAACACCCGTCACATTAATGGTTAGCAACACAAACCAGCTGCCAGGCCTACACTACCCCCTACAATAATAAAAACCCCTCAGAATAAATGCCATCTACAAACCAGAATTCCACAAAAAAACTGCACCTTCAATTTATTTTTAAATTGCCCTTCACTTTTCTTCTTTCTTGTCTCTCTGCCTTCCCATCCCCCCCTCCCCCCTTCCACCCCCCCACAATTTGGACCCAGGCTTGTTGTAGGGGGGGGGGGGGACCGGGGGGGGCCCCCCCTATTAATCAAGAGCAAAGATTAACCGTCAAAAACCACCCGCAAAAGTCCAACTCAAACATGACTTATTCCAACTCAAAACTATGGTTGGTGACTTCAATAGTTTGAGGGTCCAGGTACTATCCCAAAAACCCGCAAGCTTGGAACCAAAACCCGAAGTTTTGGAAGGCTATATGTCCAGAAAACCAGGTTTTCGACGCAGATCCTGTCTTTTTGTGGGTTTTGGATAGCTAGCAGTCAATACTGCGGATGAACGAAACCCATTTCTGGATGAAAACCTACAAAGGCTGTTTGACAAACCACAAACGGATCCGCAACTGCCCATCGGTAGTGTTGACCCCAGTTTACCAACAGGCGGGCCCTCCAAAAACATGGTTTGTTGGTATATTTACAGGGAAGTCATCATTCCAGGGTTTCTTAGGTGGTGCGAAATGGATTTCGTCCATCCACAGTATTGATAAACTGGGGTCAATTCATTTGGGGTGAACATATATCCCCCATTTGAAGTCTCCGCTGGCATTTATCGGGTGAACTCCACAGGGACCCTGAAGCCTCGGGGATCCCATTCGAACGCTGACCCAAGGGATAGGAAATTGAAAGGGGTCAAAGAAATTGTGTCCAGGGCGTTAAACAATCACTTGTGTTTTGGTTCGACCACATAACCAAAACACCCCCAACAACTGCTTTTTTGACAGTGCTGCTGATTTTGGACACGGGAAAAATCAGTTGTTAAGGGTGTGGTGGACAGTGAGACGCGCTGCGCTGGTCCGGATCAACACCATCGACCCCTAGGTACCTGGGGCCCACTTGGATGACCACCCCATTTAGCAAGTAGCTAATATCCCAGCTCAGTCTCGCAAGTGGGTTGTGCAGGAGAATCAACCTAGGGGACTTATCAACTGGGATGCTGTGGATGGACAAAACCATGCACCAGTTGGGATGGATGAAACCTATCAGTACTGGAGAAAAACAATGACACCCAGTGTTGGGCCCGTTTGTTTGTCTGGGAATGCTATTCGAACAAGTTTAGTTCCTCATTCAGGAGCAAGTGACTGTAGCGGAGGGCTCTATCAATTATATCTGGACCCTCATGATTCCCCTAAACATGGGAAATTGCCCCAACATTGTGCGGTGGATTGCCCTTTTCATGGGTAGCTTGAGGGTCTAGGTAGACAGTCGTGCTCCATGCAGAGGAAATCTAGGCAGTCTGCGCCTTTTTTCTTTTTTGCGGTGGGTGGGGTGAAATTCCCGATCAAAGCCTTAGCCTTTTGGTTGTAAAAGGCTGGTCCATTTATACTAAAGCTCAGTGGCTCAAGGCCTCAGATCTAGCAAATCCAGTCTTTGCAGTGACCCCCCAGACCATCATGTTCAAAAGTCGAGGCCAAATACAAAGGGGGTAGCCAACAAGACTGATTCTGTTCAACCCGGCTGCTTTGGGAGCCTCTTTCATTCAAGGGGAAGGGTATCCTCTTTCGCCTCCCGAATCAGGGTTGAATATTTGGGATGGAAGGAATGAAGAGGATGGATAGGAAGGACAAGGCTGTATGGGCGTGTCCTTTTTCGGGTAGCTTCGTGGTTTTCCTTTTGGTCTCCCTTTGAAACCGCAAGAAAGTGGTAGCTTCCCGTATGGATGCCAAGGAAACAAGTCATACCCACTTGCTGGGAAAACCGAGCTGAAAAATCGGGGTTTGGTCATCCTTTCGGGACGGAACGGAGCACCCTGCGCGACGCTTCAATCACAACCTGTGGCCAAGAAACAAATATTCGCTGGGTCCTCGCTTACGAACACACATATGCATGGTTGCAACATGCAAACAACAGGCCTTACTGGCAGTAGTTGAGGCCTTATTTCGCAGTAGTTGAGCCAGGTTTGTCACCGCATCACTTTTATCATCCCATCGATGAACCCCTCCATTTTGTGTGGTGGTTTCCTACCAAAAGAACGCTCAACCCCCAAGAAAGACATGTTGTTTAAAGAAAACAAAAACAACTCAACCTGGATTCGCAAAAAAAATCCCAAAAAACAAATGGTTCTTGCCTCTTGCCAGGTGAATTCGCTCTTTTATGAGAAGTTTTTTGGGCCCAGGCGGACGGCTAACCGGGTAGACCCGTCCTTCGGCTCTGCGCGTCGGCCGCCCTTCAGCTTCGCGGCTTCCGCCCAGGTGTTGCAATCCCAGACCTGCGACTCGATCGCGCTGGTGAAGCACAGCCCAGGGCGGGTGCTCGCTGACCTCTTGGATTCGCCCTGGTGGACGATGGGTTCGGGGAGCAGACAAATAAATTCTAGCAGTTAAGTGGCTGGGCAAAAATGTAAACATGTGTTCCAACAACGATGAAGAAGTGAAGGTAGGTGGTAACGGTAACCGTTTTGGCCGTCCGGTTCAACTTAGGCTTGGTGGTTGTGTTTCCGTATTTCACCCGCTAGTTCTCAACTTTTAGCAGGGGATCTGAGGTACGCCAAGGGTTAGTGCACTGCACTAAGCCCCGTGAATGTGGAGTTGACCTTGTTGTTAGGCGTGGTGGCTAACCCAGGTAGCGTTTTCCACTTACTAACTTAACTTGGCTTCCCTGCCTATCGAACCTGCAAGACCATGGCCTCCGGCTGTGGAAACCCATTTCAACTCCTTCCGTGGGCGGCCTGTTGGCGGGAAAATCGATGACCTTCTGCCAGGGTCCCTTGTGCCACATGGTTTGCTTTTGAAACTCGGTCCCTTGAAGCAGCCAAGGAGCTGAGTCACCTCAGATCCCCCGCTGCAAGCTTAACTTTTCGTGGGAGAAATGGCAACTACCAAACACTAAACGACTCAAAAGCTGAACCGGATGGCTGGGAACCACCAAGAATTGACCTCCAGCGTGGATTTGGATGAGCAATTTGCAGGGGATTGGGAACCATCACCCTGCGTGGTGTTGCGCTAGGCACCCAACAGTCCAGGTAGCCGGAGGCTGGCAAGCATAAGCAACATGTTAGATACCCCCCACGGAATCTCGAAGGGGGGTAGGTACAAGGGGGCTGGGTAGTTGAGAGCTCGTGTTGGGTTCATTAGATTTCCCATGATTTCCCTAGCGTTTCTTAGGGTTCCTCAGGGTGCCTTGGGCAGCCTTATAGGGTGCCTTAGGCAGCCTTATAGGGTGCCTTAGGCAGCCTTCGGCAATCCCCCCCCCTCCACCTCGTCCGCGGATTCCAATGCTGCCGATTTGGGGCATTCGCAGGGTTTCCCCTGGCTTGCATCGGCTGCACAGAGTGGGTAGCGACTTGGGAAACGAACCAACTTCGGCACCTCCGCAATGTTGACCCCATACCTGGAAATCTCAAGGTGTGTAAAATGTCTGCCTTTTGAACGAACACTGCTTTAGTCTGGGAACATGAATTTCCAGGTATTAGTTCACCAACCAGCTTAACACAGGGGTCCCGGCGTCAACCTGGGTTCAGCAGGGATTCATACCACTTTTCAAGAGGCCCCTAATAATAGATTGGGGTTGATTACTATGGGGTCAACATCAATGAACACCCAGGACTAGCTCATCAACTCGTCTCACAACGGTTCCAGTCTGAAGGGTATCATTCGCTGGCCAATGGGAAATCCCTTCTAAAAGAATGGCTATTTCCTTTCCGATGAATTTGCCAGAGTGATTCATCCCACATTCACGCTGCATTCCAGATCTTAGCTTCCCGCCTTGATGTCGCCGGAGCCGGTGCCGGAAACTAAGTACCTCAGGCAACGCGCGCGAAAGAAAGGCGCTAAACTTGAGGTCTCAAGGCCCCGGCTGGTTGCAGGGTGCTCAACCACCTGGAGTCTCCTTTAAAAAAACACTGAGTCAAAATCAAATGTCTTAAAATGGTCTACCTAGGACCATGTAAACAAAGGAAAGGTTGGGACTATCCCTGACTGATCTGCATCCCGGGTTTTGAGGGTGGCTCAATTGGGGTCATTGCCCAAAACAAAAGAGTCATGGGCTTATGCTTGAATTTGGGTCAGATCCGGAGACTCCTTGGATAGTACCTAGAGTCTCCATGACCCTTTAAATTTGGGGTCATTACCCAAAATAAAGGGATCATGCCGGTCATGGACCCTTTTTTAAAGGGTCATGGAGACTCCAGGTAGTTCGTTGAAGGCCCTTCTTCTCCATTAAAGCCCCATAAATCTGCGTTCGGGTCAGCATCCTTAGGGCGAGGCAGAAACTGCCTGAAGGTCCTATGGATCCCAGCCATGATTCCTGCGCCCATGAAAAAGCCGATCAGGCGCAAAACGAAAATTATTGCGAAGACAAAAGACGGATAAGAAAGGCTTCCTCAAGATGAGGCTTCGTTTGCATGCAACCCCAAGAAACGTGGGGTTACCCTATATTATAGGTCCTCCTATACCCTCCTGTTCACTTCCATGGTTGTTCGAAAAAGGGTAATGCCTTGTGTGCAAAGGCCCGGCCTGAACCCCCAAACTACCGGTAAAAAATGCGAATTCACCCCATATTCTTACCCAAAAAGTTAAACCCCAAAGACCCGTTACCAAATTGCCAGAAAGCATGAAGGGCCCGAATTGGCCGTGAGTAGAGCGGGGTAGGTGTAAGAGGGGTAGGTAGTTGAGCCTGTTTCGGGCTCCGCAGAGTTGGCTAGGGTTGGGTTTGCTTAGAGAGCTTGGGGAACCCCTCCTTGGGCCCTTAGGGATTCCATGGATGAGTCGCCTTCACTCGGTTGCTTTCTGCTCCCCTGCTAAAAAGTTATCTTTTAGTGGTTTAGTGGAAAACCCATTTGTTGGCAAAAGAAAAAGCCCTGACATCCCTTGACAAAATGCACCAAAGTTCATGCTCCTGTTCGAAGGGTATGAAAAGGGGAGCATCCGGCCTCGTGTGGGAGCCGCGTCCCGGGATTTTTTTGTGGAAGCCCAGTACCCTTTTGGGGGGGTTCAAAGGGAAGCGATTTACCTCGACCCTCAAAATTGGTCAATTTGGGGGTGACCAAAACCAACCTGCTCCGAAATGGACTCTGGAAAGCACGGCTTGGATGTTGGTGATCAGGGCTCATGTGGGAGTTGACCTTTAGCAGGAAACCAAGAGTCAAAAGGGCGTTGCAACAGCTCCACTCCCTAAGCTATTTTCTTGGCTGAAAATTCCATGCGCGGCATCCGGAACAAGGGGGTTGCGTACACCCGCAGGCCCGGCATCCAGTCAGATACGCGCTGGGCGCAATTTCGCCACTCGTTAGCGAGGAAGATGCAAAGCTTCTTCTCCAGCGAACGCACTCGTTCACCTGACGCTCCATACCTGGAGTCTCCATGACCCTTTAAACAAGGGTCCATGACCGGCATGACCCTTTTATTTTGGGTAATGACCCCAACTTTAAAGGGTCATGGAGACTCTAGGTAGAGACACGTTCTTTACTCAGATCTTCGAAAGCCCAGCACCGCACAGCACCAGCTGCAGGTAAGGCCTTGCCATCCGAGTCGTCCATCCGCGCAACCAGTGTGAGGACGACCCACTCCAGATCTGAAGTTCTGGCCTGGGATTGATTTATGAGTAAACTACAAGCCAACCCTCAAACTACCCAAAAAAGATTTCACAAAGTCCATCATTTGGGGTTGCAGTAACTCCCATTTTTTAGGTGAAAGTTTGGTTGGGTCCAGGTACATCCCCGAAGAACATGCAGCTAGGCCGACCGCAGCAAGTGGTTGCAGAAAATTTGGGTATGGTGATTTTTCCTGGGTGCCCCTTTTCTGCATGGTATTGAAAGGGAAAGCCAAAAGGACCACCCGCCATTTCTAGGGATCCCTATGTTGAGAAGCTCCAACACCCCCTTCTGTGAGACCAAATTTCATGCTGTTCGGGGGGTTCTCTTGCTACAGAACATGGTCCTAAGAACCGTCTACTTCGGGCGTGTCTTCTTTTAAGGTCGAACCCCCCTTCCCTAAAAACAAGGATAGCATTAAAAACAAAAAAAATCGAGTGTGTCTTTTTAAGGTTGAACCCCCCTCCTTAAAAAAAGGACAAATCATAACCAAAAAAAAAACGTGTTTTCCTGTTGGTCTACCTTTAAAACCCAAGGGTGCCCCCCCTACGGTTACCCTTACAACCCAGCAAACACGCGGGTTTTTCGCTACAAGGAAGGGCCCCCCCGGATCTTTTCAGAAAACCATCAGAACCCCAGGGGAAATTTGGTTTTAGAAAGAACCGATGGTTGAAAAGCATGGACAATCACCCCCTACTAGGTCCTCCAGATTTGGAGGTTAGAATAAGGCTACCGTTTCTTTTTTCTGCAGTCTATATTGAGTAGGGGGTTGCCCCTCCCGCAAAGAAGAAACGGTAAGAGGGCACTGGAGGACCTACTTAAAGGGGCATTGTACGTCAGGTAAGTGGTTAGTAAGTCAGGTTATAACCCACAAAAGCCATGGTTATAAGTCTCCGTTCTGTGGGTTCTCTCACCTGGCTTAACCACTTACTAAGTACCAGATCGCCCCTTCAAGTAGAACGGGCTCGGGGCTCCAGCTGGCCGTCCCCCGTGAAGCTCAAGCAGGACACCGCGTTCGAGAAGCACGAGAGCCTGCGAGGCCGAGAGACGCACTTCGGGCTCGGCGGAGTTTTTTTGTTTCTAATTATTTGTTTTAATTATTTTTAGGTCAGCTGGGCAAAGCACTCTCAAAAAAGGAAAGAACAAAACATCCAAAACGGCACCTTGCAATATGGAATAATGTGCGCCGTACCTGGCTTGTATGTTGTGTGGTTGCTTCTTGTTGTTTGTTTGGTTGTTTGTTTGTTTGTTTGGTTGTTTGGTTGCTTGGTTGTTTGGTTGTTTGGTTGTTTGGTTGTCAGTCAGTCTGTCTGTCTGTCTGTCTGTCTGTCTCTGTCTGTCTCTGTCTGTCTGTCTGTCTGTCTGTCTGTCTGTCTGTCTCTGTCTGTCTGTCTGTCTGTCTGTCTGTCTGTCTGTCTGTCTGTCTCTGTCTGTCTGTCTGTCTGTCTGTCTGTCTGTCTGTCTGTCTGTCTGTCTGTCTGTCTGTCTGTCTGTCTGTCTGTCTGTCTGTCTGTCTGTCTGTCTGTCTGTCTGTCTGTCTGTCTGTCTGTCTCTGTCTGTCTCTGTCTGTCTCTGTCTGTCTCTGTCTTCTGTCTGTCTGTCTGTCTGTCTGTCTGCTTGCTTGCTTGTTTGGTTGTTGCCTTTTTTTGCATATATAGAATATAATTGGGGGGGGGAGGGGAGAATGGAAGCCCCAAAATGGCACCTTGAGATTTTGAGCCCAAGACAACAATCAGCCCAAGAGCCCAAGACCCCAACCATTCATGGGTCTTGTAGGATTTTGGTGCCTGAAGAGATGGTGCAGTCGGATCCTGAATGCAAAGTAGTGCAACTTGTGCATTTTGCTTTGTATCTATATGTACAAAGCAAGGAACAAACAAATCCTCAGTCTTGCAAAAAGGAGAGATGTCTGGTTGCTTCCGCACATATGGCTGTGTACCTAAAAAGGTGGTGTTCCTTGTGGGTTTCCCCTCAAAATCACCAAACAAGGGTACCCTCCAAAAAAAGGCACGCGAGACATCCCCAAGGTTGCGTTTTTTTCTCCCAAGGTCGCGCTTTTTTTTTCGCGCGGCAAACTTGCACATGTGGCATTGAGCCTTCCATTGCCTCCTTTCCTCAAGCTCACGGCTTGGCCGTTTCGGAGGTTGTTTTCTTTATAAATCACCCAGCCCTTAAACACAAAAACACGTTGGAGCTCTGCGCGGTTTCCCACTATATTTAAAGCGGGTTGTTACAAAGCAGTGGGTTACATGTTTCAATGATATCACCCTTTGCCTTGTTGTAGTCGCATGTCACAGACCTGAGCTGAGGAGCACGTTGTATTGTTTAAAGAGACAAAACAATGGATTAAACAAATAAAATTTCAACACATCCCTTCAGTTTTGAACAAAAGAAACAATGGATTTCATTTAAACAAATAATAACATCATCCCTTCAGATTCAGCTGCGGTGGCACCGGTGGCACCGGTGGGACCGGCCTCCGGTCGTATCTGAAGTGGTACTGGTGCTGAACTTCGATGCCTTCCTGGCGTCACGTAACACCCGCCAGATCCCAAAATCGGTCGTCTCCCCGCCGGTATGTGATTTTGGTGAAGTACTAGGTCCTCCAGTAAAACAAAATGGTTCCCCCGCTACGGGTTCCCCTCAAAGCCAAGCAAAAGAGGGTTCCGCACTCGAAAAAAGCACGGGGACCCTCTTTTTTCTAGGGGACGCTTCCCCGTTCTTTCCAGGGATCCGGATCTTTTCAGAAAACCATCAGAACCGTTCAGAAAACCAGTGGAAACAGCTGGTTTATTGAAAAGAACGATGGTTGCAAAACATGGGGAATCAACCGCCTAGGTCCTCCAGTAGAGAGGGTAGAATAAGGGTACCAACTTTTTCTGTAGTCTATTTTAGTAGGGAAGCCCTCCCGCAAAAACGTTGGCAAGAGGGCACTACTCGGGGACCTAGTTTATGGTAAACTGTGTACGTAGAGTCTTCTTCTGAACCTTAAACAATGGTTGGTCAGTACCCAAAATAAAGAAATGGGTCGGAAGGAGACTCCAGCTGAGGCCTGGAACCAATCAACATTCCCCCTCAAAATGGATGCAGTCCGAGGGAGGTACATTTAAACATACAGTGGATGCTAGATCCTCCAGATTTGGAGGGTAGAATAAGGCTACCAACTTTTTTTCTGTGGTCTACTTTAGTATCGGAACCCTTCCCCCAAAAAAGAAACGGTAAAAGCGCACCACTGGGGGACCTAGGATGGTTGCCAAACAAAGTGCCGCACCACCTTTCAGAAGCCCTGCAACGATTCGATTCTCCTCTAAATACCAACAAACAGGTTCAGCCATGGTCTCAAAGTGGTGTAGGAGTTTGTGCATCCGGAGTATGAGGCTGTCTAACTGTAGGACATGGATCCCTCAAAATAGGGTGAGGCTTCCCGATTCCTTTCAAAACACCCCATACCCTGAAACAACACCCATATTTGCCAGTTGAAAATCACCCCAAAAGGAAGACGTTCACCTTGACAACTCCAAAACACGATCTCGGACCCTCAATATTCAAAGGTGAAAATGGGTTGATGCAACCAATTTATTCATGGGTAGCTTGAAGGTTCAGGTGGGTCACAATCAAAACCCGGGTAGATGAGGGTTGGAAAGGGGCAGCTTTGGGTCAGAGATAGCGTGTAGTGTGAAGGTTCAGGATGTTATGTTTCTGACCAGGGGACATAGAACGAGAACCCTCAGCAGCCCAACTAAGCTCGGGGCTGGGGCCGCTTTCAGGGAGGGTTCCAGGGGGCACGGGCTTCCAGGGCGGTTGGGGATACCACGTGTTTCTCTTTCTGTTGTATACTTTTTCTGTTGGGGAGGGGAGGCTTGTCAAGGTAACACAAGCTCGCAACCGGTTCCAAAGAACTTCCTTTTTGTTGTTCCCATCTTTGATAGGTTGGTCCATGTGACGATTCCCCCAAGCTGCTGTTCTTTGCCGTTCGCTGACTCCCGGGCAGGGTCACTAGGCAATCCACTCTTGTCCCTAGGCGCTCGGGCCTAACCTTAAAAAACCTGGCGGCATTTGGGGGTTGATCAACTGGTCCGTACATGGGCTGACCATTGCTTGGAATACCACTAAGAAGATTTGATATGTCCCACATGGGAAAAGTTGCCCATGGTCATTTGGGGGGCAAACGGAATATTGATCAACCCCCATTTGGGTCCGTGTTTGTTGTCTTTTAGACATATTTGGAACATCTACGTGCAACGCCACAGAACACAAGCAGGGGCTCCTTTACGAATCCCTAAGCTGGGGGAAGCGAATGCAGACCTGGACCCTAAAGACTATGGTTGGTGAATTCCAACTTTGTTCCCCAACAGCTGAAAGCTTTGGGGTCTCAGCCCAGATAGGCTCCGTGGTGGTCCGGGATGCTGTTGGGGATATCACCTGAGCTTATCTTTCCCGGTACCTGGACCCTCGGACCCTCGGACCCTCGAAATTCCATTGTCCATGAAAAACGGGAGCTACTTCAACTGAACCCAGTTTGTATGTCTCTCAAGATTCCAACTCAAACGGGTGTTTTTGCACCCCAAAATATCTGGGACTTGGTGACTATCGACTTCCGCCCTGGTTGGCGAGTTTGAGGGTTCAGGTAGGTCATTCTCACACCAAAGGATCCGGACAAAACACCTGGGTCTGGATCGGCCCGCCGCAACAAATGGGCCATGCCGATGCACGTTCGACTGAGAAAATTGTGTGACACTGACCTTTGACATCCGTTTGCTTTTTCGCCCCCTGGAACAAAACAAAGCACAAATAGCGTAGTGAAATTCGATTCCCTTGAACACCAACAAGGGAAAATGAGCAATGGTCTTAAGCAAATGGAAGTTTGAGAAAGAGCTCTCGGGGTCGATGTTTTCCGTGTTGCTTTCATTCGTTCGCCTGCCCTTCTCTTTCCAGCACACATAGAAGTAGACAGGAGTCTTGAAGATGATCCTCTTGACAAGGCCGGCTTGTCCACTTCCACGATTGGTCCAGGTGGCGGATACTAATTATTTGTGATTCTGTGGATGGACGAAATCCTGCACCACCTGAGAAACCCTGGAATGAGTCGATTCCCCTGCAAATACCGACAAACAGTAGTTTCAACCATGGTTTCAAAGTGGTGCGAAACGGATTTCGCAACCATCCACAGTTTACCTAAGTGGGATGCGCGCTCCCATGACTACTTTAGCTCTGTCAGGATTCATCCCATTCATGTCCCTGTCCACTTCCATGACTCGGTTGCTCTGGGCAAAAGGTGGATCACTTTAGGCTGAATGGACTCGCTTGCTTTCTGCGAAGCCCTGCTAAAAGTGACTAACATTTAGTGGTTTTTTTACGGAAAACCCATTAGTTGGTCAAAAGTTCAAGTCCTAACATCCCTTGGCAACATGCGCCAAAGGGGAGAAGCCTTGTGTTTCCCAAAAGGAATTTCTCCAGGGGCCTGCAATTCACCCCAAAGCTCACCGATCGAGTGGATGGGCTAGACAAAGTGCAAACTATTTCTAGGTCCTCCAGATTTGGAGGTTAGAATAAGGGTACCGTGTTTTTGTTTTCCTGTAGTCTATTTTAGTAGGGGACCCCTCCCGCAAAAAAGTTGGCAAGAGGGCACTACTGGGGGCCCTAGAATTTGTTTACCAAAACCCAAACCCAGAATGCGACTAAAGTCCGAAACGGAACTCGGAACTCAGGGAGTGAGAAAAACAAGCCATGACTGGACAAAAGCAGCGGTTACACGCCCGGCCTCTTTACTCGAAGCCATTGGACCTCGGATGTGGCTGGTCTTTTTGGAGTTGGCACCCCTTTTTGGGTTGGTGTCAGGGGAAGCTATAAGGAAAACCCACCCATTTTGGGGGTCCTCTAAAAAAGACACACCCATGTGTGTGGAAGAAGGATTATAACCGGGAGTTCAATGCAACTTTACTGGGGATTCAATTGGACCGCCACTTGAAGCGGACAAACATACTGTGGATGGACGAAATCCTGCACCTCCATACGAGCCCTGGAATAATGAGCCGCCTGTGAATACCAAAAACCAATGGTTTCCCATGGTTTCAAAGTGGTGCAGGATTTAGTCCATCCACAGTATGGCTTGTTCGATTCGCCAAATTGGTCAGTGGAAGACGCCACCTGGGTGTGGGTCAAGATGAAAGAAACCACCAAAGGCCGCAGGTTGTAGTCCATTTGCCAGGGTTTCATTTTGTACATGTTTGTTAACCCACAGCCACCCGGGTTAGCCGCCCCACTAAAAAAAGGTTGACTCCACATTCACGGGGGACTTATAAGCGGGTGATAACCCTGGGCTGTTCACGGATCTTCTACAAGTTGAGCACTTGTGGTTTACGTGGGCACCCAACCATTAAACCCGTCTACAACCTGCAAACCTAAGGAACCGGACGGCTAGGTTGCCCGTACAACTTACTAGCTTGGCAACGAACACCCAAGTGTCCCAACTCTTGAACAAAAGCACGGCGTGCTTCTTCACGGGGGTTTTGCCAACCGGCCAAGGGCGCGTTGAGGCCTTGGAAACTGGGATAAAAAGGTAAATGCAAACCCCGACGCTACAAGGGGCTAAACAAATTCACACACTGTTCTTTTCTGATACTAAGTTGCTTTGCATTTGAAGTACCCACAACCCCAGTTCTAATTGCGTAGGCGCGTATTAAAACCCCTTGAACCGAAAATCAATGCTCACTTCTGGGAGACCAGCCATTTTAAGAACACTATGATGATGAGTTGATGGACAAATATCCTTCGCCAGTTGGCCCAAAAGGAAATCAGGCAAATCTAGTATAAGAGGTCCGTTCTGGTCGGAAAACCATTGTGAGTGTCAAGGTGGCAAGCCACTAAATGGTTTTCTATAAACACTGTTTTTGCCCCAAACTTCTCGGCTAAACTTCCTTCTTTGTGGATAGCACTGCTCATAGTCTCCATGACCCTTACAAAAAATCGTCCATGACATTGTTTAGGCACTTCCATGTCTCGATTCACTGCTCCACTTCCCAAAATCCCAGACCTGCTGGCAATTGGTCTGCCTGAGTTTGTTGGAGGGGATGCAGCTTCATCAGGCCCATATCCCATGCGCAGGGCGGTAGCACGGGGCTCCGGCGTTGCCTGAAAGGTAGAATGTGTATACACATATACAAGGTACTCCAGTAGAGAGGTTAGAATAAGGGTACCATTTTTTCTTCTGTAGTCTATTTAGTAGGGGAACCCTCCCCCGAAAAAAAAGGGTAAAAGGGCACTACTGGAAGACCTAGACACAGAATGTAGGCTATACAAGCTTGAGACCAATGAATGTGTGTTGTATATGCAGCCAGCAAATCCAGTCGCTCGTTGGCCGCTTTTCCGCCGCTTACTTTGGCGGCACGCGCCGGATGAAGGAGGCGGGAAAGAGGCTTTGCCTAGGCTCCGGAGCGGTCGAACAAGCGCGAATCAGGTCCCTACTGTTCCTCCATTTGCTTCAGTACCCTGGAAAAAAAGGAAATATTTCCAGTAGTGATAGATTCCCTTTAAAACCAACAGGGGAAAATAAAACATATTCTTGACCAAATGAAGTGTTGACTGAACTGTTTCCAAGAAACCAACTACATGAAATTCTAGAGGAAACCCCTGACTTTGGTGGGTATTTGGCTAACTTCCTGTAGAATTTCCTGTAGCTGGTTTCTATGACTGTTGGAAAAAGTCCTGTACCAGTTGGGATGGCTGAAGCTCATATGGGTTGTCATTTTTGTTGGAACCCCGGGACCCAAACTTGTGGTGTTCCTTGGGTTTCCCTTTTCACCAACCCAACAATGGGTACCCTCAAAAAAGACACAACCATAGCATTCACAACATGAATGCCAGGCAAAACTGCCTCCAGGCGCCCAAAAAAAAACAATCAACGCCTCTTCGCAAGGAAAACGAGCGAGAGCCCCAGAAACGTGGAACAAGTTTGGGACGTCTCCTTAAGAAACCCTTCCTTGGTCAACACCTAGGTCCTCCAGTAGAGAGATTAGAACCAGGGTACCAACTTTTTGTCTGTCTATGTTGCTAGGGGAACCCCATTTTTTTTTTTTCCTTAGCTCACTTCCTGAGAGGACTGGGCCCCCAAAAAGTAACCAGACTTGCTATTGACCACTATGGCCCCAACCCTAAGAGTTTGAAGTCCAGGTGGTCGACGCACTTCCCCAAACGCTTCACGCGTGTCTCTGTCACCTTCCAAGCCTGCAAACGCCCAGTGGATCGATCCCAGCTACCGCAGCTTCCTGACCAAATGGAAGACTTAGAAGAAAAAGAAGGAGAAAAACAACTCCGCCGCAATCACATGTGGTCAGCACCACTCGACTTGACGTTCAAACCTAGGAATTGATCATGCTGTGGATGGTTGCGAAATCCATTTCGCACCATTTTGAAACCATCGGAGACCATTCTTTGTTGGTATTTACAGAGGAATCGACTCATTCCAGGGCTTCTTAAGTGGTGCGAAATGGATTTCGTCCATCCACTGTGTCTTCTGTTGGAGGGCAAAGATATCGCCTGGGCCAGCCGAGCCCTGCCATGGGTTTGAGTTGTGTTGGTTAGGAAACATGAAGACAGCCCACAAGGGCCACGGAAACCATTCACCCAGCCAAGTGCTCCAAACCTCCTCTCACCGCGCTCATGATTTCGCCTTCAGGCAAAAGAGGCTTGCCGCCAGAAAAGAAGGGAACCCCAAAATGGCTGGTTGCCTAAAGCCCGAAGCGTGGTTCTACCATGTCCTTACAGGCCTCCTGGTAGCGCCTTAGATCTCTCTCTTTCAAAGCAAACACACCTGTCACCTTTAGCTCCCCGAACAGCTCCCTTCCAACCTGCTAGGATTCAGAAAACTTCGTCGGAACGCGGAAAAAACCAAAGGCGATCATCGTTCGGAACCAAAAGGCGAAATATGGACCAAGGGAAGCCAAAGGCTTAGACCCGCCTGAAGCCTCAAGAACTACCCAAAATTAAAGTTGGAAGTCCCCAACCCTGAAGTCTCCTCTAAAACCGGGGTGATGACCCCTGTATTTTGGGTCGCCCTTTGGATGATCCGGAGACTCCAGGACCATCATTTTGGGGTGCAAAAACAAACCTTTCAGTTAGACATTGTCTTGCAGATTGTCGGGGAATGACCCCTAGAACCCATCCCTGGTCCTTTCCTTCACGGTAATTTGTAGGTTCAATCCCAACACCCAGAAGGCCATTGGGTGTGTCTTTGTTCGAGGGTGACCTTTCTTTTGCGGTCTGACAAGGACACCCAAAGGAAACCATTTATTTTGGAGGTCCCCTAAAGACACACCCATCTAGGGGTGGATTCCCCATTCTGTTCAATCATCGTTATTTTCAATAACCTGCCGTTTTCCCTGGGTTTCTGGAGGTTTTCTGGAAAGACTCGGTTCCCTGAAAGAATGGACATGGAAGCGGTGCCCCTAGAATCATTGACATTGTGGACACTCAAGTTTTTCCAAGAACCAGGGCGGATAGAAAAAGCTTCAGGGATAATCCCAGCCAGGAAGGTTGGAATTTGTGGGGAAGGTAGCCCCTACTGTTTATTTCAGGGCATCATGTCGACCCTCTACTAAAAAAGGAGGTATATACCATGGAAAACCCGGTTTTCCCAACAGGGATCCTTACATTATACACCTGAACATTGCCTTGTAAATGGTGGTGTCCCTTTATTTTGGTGGAAAACGCAACATGTTTCAACTGGTTGCAACATGAATTTCTTTTAAGGAGCCCTGCCCAAACTACCCTGACCTCTACTAAAAAAGGAGGTATATACATATATATATATATATATCATGAAAAAACCGGTTTTCCCAACAGGGATCCTTACATTATACACCTGAATATTGCCTTGTAAATGGTGGTGTCCCTTTATTTTGGTGGAAAAAGCAACATGTTTCAACTGGTTGCAACATGAATTTCTTTTAAGGAGCCCTGCCCAAACTACCCTGACCTCTACTAAAAAAGGAGGTATATATCATGGAAAACCAGGGAATCCCAAAACCGCCCTGAAAAAGACGGGTATTTGTTGAGAAAAAAATGCCAACGATAAATCTTCGCTGCGCGGTGCTTCGCCGCTTGGTGGATCCTTCGCAGCTCGTCGGGCTCGAAGGCGCCGTAGCGGACCCGCAGCCAGTGGAGCCTCGAGTGGCGAGTGGCGGCGCTCACCCGGCGCGAGTGGCTCACCTCCCAGGATCGGCACACATAAACTTGTGGGTTTCAAACACGAAAAGCACGAATCCCGAAAAACTTATAAAGCGTGCTTTACACAAGTTCAATCTTTTTTTGGTAAACTCGTTTTTTTCACATTAACCCTAGGGTCAGGCCGTGTTATGTTAAGTCTCTGATCCAAGGCCTTGGTTCGGCCCATTTTTTAGGATCTTGGGCTCCTAATGGGGAATCCACCCCTAGACTCGGTTGCGAAATCTGCGAAGCCCTGCTAAAAATGACTAACTCGTCAGTGGGCTAAATGGAAAACTCAGTTGTTGGCAAAAAGTCAAAGTCCTAACATCCAGGCAAGATGCAACAAAGTAATCACCTGGACCTGGACCCTCAAAATACCAAAGTTTAATGCATTGACCCAATGTGTTTGGTTTCAATTTTACCCCTTTTGATGGGAAATACCCCTAGAAGACCAACATGGTCCACCTGGACCCAACCAAAATTCCATCTTAACAATGGGGGCAAATTGCAACCCGAAATTGTGGGATTGGGGAATTCCAAGTTGAAGGAGATCAAGAACGACAAGAAGACACCCCCATAGCTGTCCTTGTGGTAAACTAGACGGCCCTGATAAATGGAATGAAATCAATTTAAGCCAGCGCCATCTATGTTAGTCAACCTACCTAAAAAGGACGCCTATGCCAAGCCCCCTCCCCCCCAAAAAAAAAGGGGAAGAAAAACCGACCGTCGCAAAGGCACAGCTGGTCGCCGTTCGCCAGCGCCTCCAGAGCCTGAGTCCGGATTGGGGACAGGGTGGCTCGTCTCTTTTGATGCTACCGTGGATGGTAGCGAAATCCATTTCGCACCACGAAATGACACTTCCATTTGGTCCAGTAGTGATGAAATCCTTGTAAAACCAACAAGGGAAAATACAAAATATTAAGCAAATGGAAGGAAGCCATGGTTGAAACCATCATTTGTTGGCATTGACAGGGGAATCGGATCGTTCCAGGGTTTCTTAGGTGGTGCGAAACGGATTTCGTCCATCCACAGTATAACCCTCAAAATACAAACTGAAAAAACAACATGTTGTTTGCCCCAAATGTTGGGGCGGATTCCCAGTTTTAGTTGCGGGTAGCTTGAGGGTTCAGGCCCCTTTTGGTAATTTTGACAAGAAGCGAGTAGCAAAACCACCATGTCCCCTAAAATAAGACACACCCATGTTCAGGAAAGGAATTTGAAGGATTTGTGTATGGAGGTTCTATGCCACTAAGCGATTCTTTGGCCTACATCTAGGCTTGAAACTTCTTGAGCCACCGATCGCAACCCCAAGCGGGTTGGTGATCAGCCTCCAGATGTTCAGAATTTTGGCCTCGGGTCCTGAACCCAAACAAGACCGAATCAGACCAATATCGCTTGTCGCTTGGGACACATCTTCGCGGTCTCTTGAGAAATCCGAACCACCTCGTGCTCACAACCCTGGCACTACAGCTGTCGAGGCCTCCTCACTTTCGATCGAGTGGGTTCGCAGCAAGACATCCACATGTGTCTATTTCCGACTACCTACAGTCTTTTTCCTCCATGACCCTGTAAAAGTGGGGTCATTGTCCAATTTTTTTGCGGCTATGACCGCATTTTTTAGGGTCATGGAGACTCTAGGCACAATGGTCCCAACCCCAAAAGCATGAAGTTCGAAATAGAAGTCTGCAGGGGGTGAGTCACTTAATTAGTTGGTTTTGACGGCCCCCCACGCACCGCGATTCTATTTTGAGTTGCCCAAAGACCCAGAAATAAGCTTTGGGGCCCCTGAATATGGGAACCAACACCAGGGAAACCCAAAGGTCAGATTCGGTCGATTCGAATTGGTAGCTCGCGAGTACCTGGACCCTTCACGTCTTAAACATTTGTTATTGCCCCAACATTCTGATTGTGAATTCAGAACCTTCAAACTATCCATGAAACGGGAATTCACCAATCCCACCAAACGGGAATTCACCAATCCCACCAAACGGGAATTCACCAAACCCACCAACCAAACTGTTGAGCAATAACCCATTTGCAAGTTGAAATTTTGGCTGGGTCCAGGACAGTATGCTTTTCTCGTTTTGCCTTCATCCAGCCATCCATATACTATATCACCCGGACGTCTGTATGCTTGTCCAAAAACCAGGTTTTCCAGCAAAGAACCCGGATATGTTGAGAACCTTTAACACAAAAAGGTTCTTGGAGTAGAGGGTACCTAGGTCCTCCAGTAGAGAGGCTAGAATAAGGGTACTCTTTTTTTCTGTAGTCTATTCTAGTAAGGAAACCTTCCCGACCAAACAAGTTGGTGAGAACGGGCACTAATGGGCAACCTAGGAAGGTTCTTGGAGGGGAGGGTACCTTTGGTTGCACATGATTTGAAGCTTCTTGTTGAAATGCCAGGAATATATATATATATAATCATACATAGATACATATTTATATTTGCATATATATATATATATATATATATGCATAATTATATATGTATATGAGCCAGCGTCTATATTTGCTGTGGGGTGTATTCATTCTACTTTTAGTGAGTCCCTTATCGTTCTCCACGTTTCGCGTGTTCGTGCTGTGCCCGATGAACCTCTGCAGGGATCGCGCGCCTCGAAGCGCTCCCACTGTGGCGCCGTGCGAATTTGTAAAGCGCCCGATGAACCCTCTGCAGGGATTGCGCGTGCCACAGCGCCCTCGCTGTGACGCCGTGCGAATTTTAAAACTGCCCGATGAACCGTCTGCAGGGATCCTGCGCGCCCAAGCGCTCTCGCTGTGGCGCCGTGCAAATTCGTAAAGTGCCCAATGAACCCTCTGCGAGGATTGCGCGTGTCAAAGCGCCCTCGCTGCGACGCCGTGCGAATTTGGAAAGTGCCCGGTGAACCCTCTGCAGTGATCCTGCACGCCCAAGCGCTCTCGCTGTGGCGCCGTGCAAATTCGTAAAGTGCCCAATGAACCCTCTGCGAGGATTGCGCGTGTCAAAGCGCCCTCGCTGCGACTCCGTGCGAATTTGGAAAGTGCCCGGTGAACCCTCTTCGCGGTGACCACGCGTGCCCAAGCGCTCTCGCTATAGCGCCGCGCGAACTCGAAAAGCACCCGACAAACTTTCTACGCAAACACAGCACTGGAACCACACGCGTAGTCTTTTGTAAGCAAATGCACTAGGCCTCACATTTGCAACTCGGGCCAATGCTCGGGGTATCGACGGGGTATCGACCGGGGTATCGTTCTGGGCGTGTGTCGCGTGACGAAAATTTTCACAATTTTCCATAAGCTGTTAGAGCCAAGCAAACACACAATAGCCTTCTCTGCCTTGCGGTAATCATATATCAGTCTTGGCGGCTTGCTTGCTGGCAGCAACCTCAAGGTCGCAAGTCGCAACTTTCACCACAAGCGCAGTGCACAAGTTACACTTCGGCAGCTCCAGCTCGAAGGTCGCAGCTTGCGGCGGTCACGTGTCAGTCTAAGCGGCTTTTGCTTGCTGGCAGCAACCTCCAGGTCGCAAGTCGCAGCTTTCAGTACAGGCACGGTACACAAGTTAGACTTCGGCAGCTCCAGCTCGAAGGTCCAGCACAAACCATGTTCAGGGGTATCGTTTTTTGTGAGTCCCCTATCGTTCTCCAAGGAAAATGCAAAAAACCAGTATTGAATGAAACGCCGTTGATAAAGTGGTCTTTGATAATTCTGAGGTTGACTCATATGTATCTACAATATATATATATATATGTATATATTATTCCATCCATTCATCCATAGCTTTGGTTTGCATCCATCGCCTCCAGGTGCTCCATGGACGCTGGCGCCGCCCTCTCCAGCGCCTCCGCCCGCAGCAAACTCGAGTTCCGCAGCGCGGGCGCAGCGAAGGCTGCACCCAGCGCGCAGCTCCGGGCGTCCGGCGCCTAAAGTTCAAGGGCCTTCGACATCTAGGGGGGTTCTACTATCAAAGGCTGAATTCCAGGCACGTTGGAATTCCAGGCATGCTGTGGATGGTAGCGACATCCATTTTGCACCAAACTGAAACCATGGTTGAAACCAGCTTTTGTTGGTATATTTACAGGGAAGTCATCGTTCCAGGGTTTCTTAGGTGGTGCAGGATTTCGTCCATCCACAGTAGTGATAAAATGGGGTCAATTCATTTGGGGTACATATCCCCCATTTGAAGTCTCCGCTGCATTCATCGGGTGAAGTCTTGGCGGGATCCGATTTACTTGGGGTTCGGAACACCGTTTCCGGGAACCTCTATCAGGAGTTTCGCAGTGACTCACCCAAGGATAGTCAAGAGCAAGGGATCGAACAAAATGTATCCAGGGCGTGAAACAATAACTTGTGTTTTGGTTCGACCACTTAACCAACATCACAAGTATCAGCACCCCCCAACAACCTGCTTCTTGGACAGTACTTGTGGTTTTGGACATGGAAAAAAAAAACAGTTGTTGGGGTGGTGGTGGACAGTGTTGATCCCAACAAACACGCGCTGCATTGGTTCGGTCAACACCCATCGACATCTGGGTACCTGGGGCCCATTTGGATGACCACCCCATTTAGTAAGTGTCTAATATCCAAGCTCAGTCTCATAAGTGGGTTGTGCAGGATAATGAACGTAGGGGGCGTATCAACTGGGATGCTGTGGATGGACAAAACCATGCACCAATTGGGATGGACGAACACCTATCAATAGTGATGCTATTCGAACAAGTTTGTTTCCTCATTCAGGAGCAAGTAACTGTAGCGGGGGGCTCTATCAAGTATACCTGGACCCTCATAATTCCCCTGAACAGGGGGAATTGCCCCAAAATTCTGGGGTGCATTCCCCTTTTCATGGGTAGATTGAGGGTCTAGGTAGACAGTTGTGCTCCGTGCAGAGGAAATCTAGGCAGTCTGCGCCTGTTTTTCTTTTTGAGGTGGGTGGGTGAACTTCCCGATCGAAGCCTTAGTCCTTTGCTTGTAAACTCAGTTGTTCAGTAACCCTGGAAAAAAAAGGGAATCCTCTTTGGGGGTCCATGACTAGGTAGAGAGATTGGGATGAGGGTACCCCTTTTTTCTGTAGTCTATTTTAGTAGGGGAACCCTCAAGCTACCTGAACCGAACCGAAATTCCACCTTAACAATGGGTAAACTACCCGGAAAACAAAAATGAGTTGGAAAGTTGAGAGTTTAACTACCTGGTCCTTCTGACCCTTGAAAAATGGGTCCGTGACCCATTTCTTCATTATGGGCACTGATCAACCATGTATTGAAGGGTCATGGAGACTCCAGGTACCCATGAAGAAGGGACATCACCTAACATAATTCTGGGGGCAAGAGCCCACTTTCAGGCGTTTCCACCTGGACCCAACGGAAATTCCAACTTGGCAATGGGCAATCCCCCAAATGGGGCTGATTGATCTTCCCTTCTGTATGGCTGGCTTGAGGGTTCAGGTCAACGAATCCGTGCACATTTCCTCCGGGCTTCCAATTTGTGGTTGGTTTTGCGAATCCCCTGGACATACGTTTCTGAACGCTCGTACGAGACTCGCGGATTTCGCATCCGCACAACCATGCACAGCCCAAGAGCCTTAACACGAGGACATTGCACTCCACTGGTGCTTGCTCTAAGTCGGTGCTGTGTTTTAGTTGGGGGACCCTCCCCCAAACAACAGGAGAGAAGGGCACTACTGGGGGACCGTTGTTGTTTGCCATCAGAATGGTCTTACCAAGGAGTTTAAAGTCCAGGAACTCAGGGAGTGAGGTAACAAGCAGCCACTCTCCCATCACTCTCCCACCGCTCTCCAAGGCATTGTCTCTGTGAAATGGCATGGTCTGCCCCTGGAAATGCCAAGAAACCTGCAAGGCCGTAAGAAGTGTCAACCATGACAACGCCCTCGCACTCGCAAAACAAAAGAAGGCAACAGATGTTTTTACCAACGAAGGTTCACATGATCCTGGACTGGCAAAAACGTGAAACGCAGAATAAGTTGGGCAACAAACATTTGTTCAACATTAAGAATGATGAACAATTGATGAAGACATGACAAACAACATCATCCCCCAATTGCTACAACAAAACACATTGTTTTCGCTGAGGTCAGTCTATGGCTGTCATGTTCTCACAAACATGAGCTATCTCTGAGACTACTTTATCACAGAAAGTGGACTCCCAATTTCCATTTCTGTCTCACCAGGTTGCTCTAGAAAAGTCGTACGGTACCTCTTACTGGAAAGCAACCCCCAAATCCGTACCAAAACAAACTCATTACCATGCGGCCATAAATGCTCCGTTCATTCACCCCACAATTTTTGGGCTTGCAACAACCCACTTTGAAGTCGGATTTCCGAGGGTCCAGGTACCCATAGCGACCCCCCCCACCTCCCCACCGATCGGCCTCCGGCAGGCGGGCTATGAGCTCTTCCTCCGTGACATCGGTCGAAAGCTGGAAGAAGGGATCGGACTCCTGCGGCGGGTGGAGTTCAGTCGTGAATTATGCAAAATCTCTTGGCGGCTGCTGATCCCTCTGCATTTTTTGTTTTTTTTTTTATATAACTGTTTGTGGGTTTAGTCCGGAAAACCCAACTTCATTTCAACCAAAAAGCTGAAGTCTAAAGATCCATCCCAATAGCAGTCAAGATCTATACTGATCAAATGTGATACAACTCCTTGTCCTACTAATCATTTTAGTCCATCGACCCTTTTTATGAATCACTCGGTAGGGTTTGCTTTGAGGGCATCCCTGCTGTGGATGCACCAAATCCATTCGCACCACCTACGAACCCTGGAATCATTCGATTGCCATATAAAAAGGGGAATCCACCCCATAACTGCGGGGCAAAAAACACATTCTAAGACAAATTTACAGGTGCAAGAACCCAGTATGGAAAACAACAAAGTGGTTTCAGATCCATTCGCTTTGGTGACAAGTGCCTGAACCCTGGAACTACCCCCCCAAAAAATGGTGTTCACTCCCATTTCGTTCGGGGCAAAAAACATTTTCTGAGGGATTTGCGAGGGTTCAAGAACCCAACATAGAAAACCACAAGGTCATTTCGATCGGTCGATTTGCTGAGAAGTGAGGAGTGCCACACTACCCAATACAGGAACTCACCAATTCCACAATCTTGGGCTGCAAGTTGCAACCCCTATTTTCTTTACACAAAACAGGTCCCAACGAATGAAAATCCTCCCCATTTTTTAGGCTGGGAATCTTGCTAGGTCCTCCAGTAGAGAGGCCAGAATAAGGGTACCACCCTTTTTTCTGTAGTCTATTGTAGTAGGGGAACCCTCCCAACCAAACAAGTTGCTAAAAACGGGCTCCCCTAGTAGGCTGGCAATGTTTGGGTCCTCCCCATTTTTTCAGGATGGGAATGCTGTTTAGGTCCAGGTGGGTCGCACATTTTGGGTGGAGTCGAGTGCTTGGTGGACGCTGGAAGGGGAGCAAAAATTATTCAATTTTAGCAGTTAAGTGGATTTGGACTTCACCCACTAAACCACAAGCAAAAATCCCAACAACAACCATGAGTGAGTCCTTCAGCTGTTCCTCGAGGCTGCACCGGGCACATCGGCAGCTGAAGCCCTGCGCGCCGTGGTTCTCCGTCACCTGCCACGGAAAAAAAGAAGAAAAAAACACCTCCCCACGTGGCAGCCCCAAAAAGCGACCTGGAGCCCATGGAATCCAAACTAGGTCCTCCAGTAGAGAGGTTTTAATAAGGGTACCGACGTTTTTGCTGTAGTCTATTTTAGTAGGGGAACCCTCCCAATCAAAAAAGTTGGCAAAAGGGCACTACTGGGGACCTAGCAAAGGAGTTAGTGCCGTGCCAAATATATCCAACATTCGAACAAACGTGATGGTGTTCCTTATGGTTTCATTAACCGCAGTGCGAGTCCTCGCGGAGCTCGGTTTCAGCCATCCACAGTATGGGTTCCTGCTTGCTTTCAACTCACCCCATACCCTTAAACAATATCCATATGTTTCCCATTTTAACATCCATAGTCTGGTCACAACATGTCCCAAGGGGGACTTGCCAGCAGCAGGGTGTCCCAAACTGTGGCTTTCTGTGGCCCCCAAATGATGAACTTAAGACACAAAACATACCCACTACTCCAAGAACCATGTCGCAGGTTCTCGAAAAGAACCAAGTTCTTCGCGGGAAACTCCGGTTCTATGAAACACATACAAACGTGCGGGTTCTTGGAGTAGAGTGTACTAAAGCCATGGGAAAAGACTTGGTTGCTGCTGACCCCTCTGCAAAAAGTTTACAAATTATACAAAGGCCATGGGAAAAGAGTTGTCCCCCCCAAAGCGAGGAGAACCTCAGAAAAGGCAGACCTGTAGCTTAGTAAGTGTACCCCAAACCTACTGTAGATGGGCGAACTCCTACACCAGCTTGAAGCCATGGGATGCCATAGTTTTTGTTGGTATTTACAGGGGAATCGGATCATTCCAGGCCACAGTTAGAGTTCGAATCTTTTCTGCCAGCATCGTTTGCCGAAACCGCAAGGAGGTCAGATATTGCCAAACACTGACCAAGCATAGGAAGTCTCTTCCCCAACAAACCCCGTAGGAAAAGGTCAACATGGAGTCTCCATGACCCTGAAAATCATGGGGTCATTTCCCAAAATAAAGAGGTTATGGACTCATTTTCTAGGTCCTCCAATAGAGTTAGAATAAGGGTACCAACTTTTTCGGTAGTCTATTTTAGTAGGGGAACCGGGGACATAGTTTTTCAAGGGTCAGAAAGAGACTCCAGAAAGCTTTTGGACCCCCCTCTTCCCGCCTGGCGCCTTGACCGCAAGTCGCGCATGGCGTGCTGCGCGCCAAAGTACTCGAAGGTCACCTCCTCGCCCTGGGAGAGGTCCTCACCAGGACTCCAAACCTCCCTTCCAAACTGGGAGTGGTGGTTTCTCGGTTGCGAAATCTGCGAAGCCCTGCTAAAAGTGAGTAACTTTTAGTGGTTTAATTCGGAAAACCCATTTGTTGGCAAAAAGTTGAAGTCCTAACATCCAAGCAAATGGCACCAAAGGTTGGAGGCGGTCTTGTCATCTACCTCAACCTTGAAACTACCCAATACAAAAGGGAATTCACCTGTGGTGTGGGTGGCGGGAATGACGCAACATAATTTCTGCCAGACCCCTATTTCGGGATTGCTGGGTCGAATTCACAGTGAGGTCGGGTGACCTCGCTATAATTTACCCAGAAAACATGTTTTGAAGGGAATTTTTGAGGTTCTCAGCAACAACCAGGGACTCAAATCCCCCACCAATACAAACCACCAATTCAGGCAAGGGTTGCCTGATACCTGCGGGAGGCGGATGTGGGTGTTTTGAGTACCCTTTTTACCGTGGCTTAAAGGGAAACACCACAAGGAAAGCCACCATGTTTTGTTGGCTTTGTTTTGGGGAAACGCGTCCCCCCCATATAAGTGGTATCTTGATTGGGAAACCTTTGGTGGGCATCATTTAGTACAATCGCATTGGCGGTGGCTCCCTTCTTGAAACTCATAGCCAGAGTAGTTAGTTTACTCCCATAATCAATGACGGTATTGAAATTGGTTTTCAAGCTACACCAGAACCCCAATGATCTTGCGTGTCTCAATCAACATAGGCTGTTTGGACCCCAAACACGTGGTGGTCCTTTTGGTTTGCCTTTAAACGCGTACAGAAGTAGAGAGGTTAGAATAACAGGGATCCGGATGCATTATACACCTGAACATTGCAACTCGTAAATGGTGGTTGCCCTTTATTTTGGTGTTGAAAAAGCAACATGTTTTAAATGGTTGCAAAATGTATCTTTTAAGGAGCCCTGAATAAGGGTAACCCCTCTTTTTCTGTAGTCTATTTTAGTAGGCAACCCTCCCCAAAAAAGGGTTAAAACGGGCACCAATTGCTGGGGGACCTAGAACGAACCCCCTAGAAGACACTTTGAACCAACAGTACCACCCATATCGCAGAAAGACCGGCAACCAACCTGCGGCTTGTCCTCAAGAAACCCGGACTACGCTTGAAAAGATCCGCAGCTCTGCCTTGTTGCTTCCTGGGGAACATGCGAACATGCCCTTTTCCGAGGGAGGGCAAAAATACGGTTTTGTCGCCCAAAAAGAGAGGGACACAATGTGCTTTGCAACATGTATATATTGTTATATTTTTATATGTATGTGTATATATATATGTATATATTTATTGATCCACTTATACTACTCTCTCTCTCTCGGTATATATATATATATATTTATACATAATTACACACATTCAATCTATATCAATATGTATGTTACATGAACGTTTGGGGATCTCTCCAACCTCCAGGTAACCAAGTGTCACTTCTCGTCCCTCCGCTCTTGCCGCGCCTTGGCCGCCCGCAGCAGCATCACGCCGCCCCGAATTGGCGAGTCCGAGGACTCCGCTTCCGTGATGACGTAGTGAGCGCTGGGCCAGCAGGAGTGGTTCCTCGGTTCTGGCGCCCTACGTGGTCTGTGAAAGGGGGGGGGGGTTTGGGGGTGGTCCAACACTTCAGAAGGACCCTCCTAGTCTCCCTTTTTGTTTGACCCTCACAAAAGGCTCCCCAATTGACACGTGTAGAGGGGTTTCCCATGTGCCTGGAGTCTCCACGACCAATTATAAAAATGGTTGGTCATGACCCAAAATAAGGGGGTCATGGTCCTATTGTTGAAGGGTCATGGAGACTCCAGGTGGTCCAAGAACTTCCGGCTTCCATTTCCATTCTTTCCAGGGATCCGAATCATTCATGACACCAAAACCCAGAGAAAACAGCTGGTTTTGCAAAAGATTGGTTGAACAGGATGGGGAATCAACCCCTTCCTTGAGTCTCCTTCTGACCCTCATAAAAACGGTTGGTCATCACCCAAACAAAAGAAATGGGTCATGGACGCATTTTTGAAGGGTCAGAAGGAGACTCCAGGTTGAAACGTGGCCAAGAGGAAAGCTGTTGCGCCGTTCGAAGAATGAAGAGGAGAACCGTTGCGCCTTTTTTGCGGATCCCAGAATGGGCTTCAACATCACCTCTTGGCCCACTTCTTGATGTGCGATGTTTCCTTTCACGGCAAACATATTTGCTAGGCTGGAAAAATCGGACCCCAGCAAAAATATATATCTTTTTTGCCTGGTTAGAGGAAAACCAAGGGAACCCCAAAAAAGCGGGGGGGGGGGGGGGAAAACACAAAAAGTGTTGGGAGCCTTTTTTCTGGGGAAGAATTTGGAACCTTTCGGGCCGTGGGAATTGCAGCCCAGATCGCGCCGGATATCGTTTTTTTCAGATCCCCTGCTAAGAGTTTGTGAGTGCTAACTCGTGGCAGTAGCCCAACCAGTAAGCCAACCAGTAACCCAATCAAGTAAACCAACCAGTAAACCAACCAGTAAGCCAACCAGTAACCCAACCAAGTAAACCAATCAAGTAAACCAACCAGTAAACCAACCAGTAAACCAACCAGTAAGCCAACCAGTAACCCAATCAAGTAAACCAAGTAAACCAACCAGTAAGCCAACCAGTAACCAAGTAAACCAACCAACCAGTAAACCAACCAGTAAGCCAACCAGTAACCCAATCAAGTAAACCAACCAGTAAACCAACCAGTAAGCCAACCAGTAACCAACCAGTAAACCAACCAGTAAGCCAACCAGTAACCCAATCAAGTAAACCAACCAGTAAACCAACCAGTAAGCCAACCAGTAACCCAATCAAGTAAACCAACCAGTAAACCAACCAGTAAGCCAACCAGTAACCCAACCAAGTAAACCAATCAAGTAAACCAACCAGTAAGCCAACCAGTAAACCAACCAGCAAGCCAACCAGTAACCCAACCAAGTAAACCAACCAGTAAACCAACCAGTAAGCCAACCAGTAACCCAATCAAGTAAACCAACCAGTAAACCAACCAGTAAGCCAACCAGTAACCAACCAGTAAACCAACCAGTAAGCCAACCAGTAACCCAATCAAGTAAACCAACCAGTAAACCAACCAGTAAGCCAAGTAACCCAGTAAACAACAGTAAACCAACCAGTAAGCCAACCAGTAACCCAACCAACCAATCAAGTAAACCAACCAGTAAACCAACCAAGTAAACCAACCAGTAAACCAACCAGTCAAGCCAACCAGTAAACCAGTAGTAAACCAACCAACCAGTAAACCAACCAGTAAACCAACCAGTACCAACCAGTAACCCAATCAAGTAAACCAACCAGTAAACCAACCAGTAAGCCAACCAGTGTAAGTAAACCAACCAGTAAGTAAGCCAACCAGTAACCCAATCAAGTAAACCAACCAGTAAACCAACTAGTAAACCAACCAACAGTAACCCAATCAAGTAACCCAACCAGTAAACCAACTAGTAAACCAACCAACAGTAACCCAATCAAGTAAGCCAACCAACAGCAACCCAACCAGTAAGCCAACCAATAAACCAACCAGTAACCAATCAAGTAAACCAACAGTAAACCAACCAGTAAGCCAACCAGTAACCAACCAGTAAACCAACCAGTAACCCAAAAGTAACCCAACCAGTAAACCAACTAGTAAACCAACCAACAGTAACCCAATCAAGTAAGCCAACCAACAGCAACCCAACCAGTAAGCCAACCAATAAACCAATCAAGTAACCCAATCAAGTAAACCAACCAGTAAACCAACCAACAGTAACCCAACAAGTAACCCAACCAGTAAACCAACTAGTAAACCAACCAACAGTAACCCAATCAAGTAAGCCAACCAACAGCAACCCAACCAGTAAGCCAACCAATAAACCAACCAGTAACCCAACCAAGTAACCAACCAGTAAACCAACCAGTAAGCCAACCAGTAAACCAACCAGTAAACCAACCAGTAACCCAACAAGTAACCCAACCAGTAAACCAACTAGTAAACCAACCAACAGTAACCCAATCAAGTAAGCCAACCAACAGCAACCCAACCAGTAAGCCAACCAATAAACCAACCAGTAACCCAATCAAGTAAACCACCAGTAAGCCAACCAGTAAGCCAACCAGTAAACCAACCAGTAAGCCAACCAGTAACCCAACAAGTAACCCAAACCAGTAAACCAACTAGTAAACCAACCAACAGTAACCCAATCGAGTAAGCCAACCAACAGCAACCCAACCAGTAAGCCAACCAATAAACCAACCAGTAAACCAACCAGTAAACCAACCAGTAAACCAACCAGTAACCCAACAAGTAACCCAACCAGTAAACCAACTAGTAAACCAACCAACAGTAACCCAAACAAGTAAGCCAACCAACAGCAACCCAACCAGTAAGCCAACCAATAAACCAACCAGTAACCCAATCAAGTAAACCAACCAGTAAACCAACCAGTAACCCAACAAGTAACCCAACCAGTAAACCAACTAGTAAACCAACCAACAGTAACCCAATCAAGTAGGCCAACCAACAGCAACCCAACCAGTAAGCCAACCAATAAACCAACCAGTAACCCAATCAAGTAAACCAACCAGTAAACCAACCAGTAAGCCAACCAGTAAACCAACCAGTAAACCAACCAGTAACCCAACAAGTAACCCAACCAGTAAACCAACTAGTAAACCAACCAACAGTAACCCAATCAAGTAAGCCAACCAACAGCAACCCAACCAGTAAGCCAACCAATAAACCAACCAGTAACCCAATCAAGTAAACCAACCAGTAAACCAACCAGTAACCCAACAAGTAACCCAACCAGTAAACCAACTAGTAAACCAACCAACAGTAACCCAATCAAGTAGGCCAACCAACAGCAACCCAACCAGTAAGCCAACCAATAAACCAACCAGTAACCCAATCAAGTAAACCAACCAGTAAACCAACCAGTAAGCCAACCAGTAAACCAACCAGTAAACCAACCAGTAACCCAACAAGTAACCCAACCAGTAAACCAACTAGTAAACCAACCAACAGTAACCCAATCAAGTAAGCCAACCAACAGCAACCCAACCAGTAAGCCAACCAATAAACCAACCAGTAACCCAATCAAGTAAACCAAGAAAACAAAATGGAAGGGGGTGAGCCAGTAAAACCAACCAGAAAACCAACCCAGTAACCAACAAGTAACCTCACACCAGTAAACAACTAGTTAAACAACCAACAGTAACCCAATCATGTATAGCCAACCAACAGCAACCCAACCAGTAAGCCAACCAATAAACCAACCAGTAACCCAATCAAGTAAACCAACCAGTAAACCAACCAGTAAGCCAACCGGTAAACCAACCAACAGTAACCCAACCAGTAAACCAACCAACAGTAACCCAACCAGTAAGCCAACCAATAAACCAACCAGTAACCCAATCAAGTAAACCAACCAGTAAACCAACCAGTAAGCCAACCAGTAAACCAACCAGTAAACCAACCAGTAACCCAACAAGTAACCCAACCAGTAAACCAACTAGTAAACCAACCAACAGTAACCCAATCAAGTAAGCCAACCAACAGCAACCCAACCAGTAAGCCAACCAATAAACCAACCAGTAACCCAATCAAGTAAACCAACCAGTAAACCAACCAGTAAGCCAACCGGTAAACCAACCAACAGTAACCCAACCAGTAAACCAACCAACAGTAACCCAACCAGTAAGCCAACCAATAAACCAACCAGTAACCCAATCAAGTAAACCAACCAGTAAACCAACCAG